CGACTTCCGAAAGCATCAACCTATCACCAAAACCAATCTTGACCCTCTGCTTATGCATATTAAAAACGAGAACCATGTTTTCTGATCTCTTGAGACATATAAATATATATATTGATACTAGCTAAAGCACCGAAGGAGGACAGCAATAATCTTTTACTAAAAAAAAAAAAAAAAAAAAAAAAAAATCAATTACCAATACGAGTATCAGTAAATTTAATTTTCGATGGCCCCTAATTCGTAATGAATCAAGCTATGGTCAGCTCATTGTCACATTTAACTCTACTAGAGCCATACATATGGTGCTTATTCGATACCGGTACCCAAGAGTCTCAATACCTCTTTGCTGCGTTCGTTTCTTTCCCTAACGTTAAGGTCCTTTCTGTTCAACATCTTCTCTAAAATAGCCTCAGAGTATGGTGCCTTTGTCCGGGAAGGATCATTCTGCCTCTTGACTATACTAAAATAGTTATCATAGATGTTACCATCGTATGAGCCCAACGAAGAGTTGATAACAAAATCTGGAATCATAAACGCATCGGTCAACCCCACAACCTGTGGCCTGACTCTAGCATTCAACATTCCAACCTGGGACTGCACTTCGGCTAAGGCAGAGCCAGAAATCACGTTGTATTGGAGGAACAACGACGAATACTGGTTCAATGTGGACAAAGCATACAATTTAGCCAAGTTGGTTAATTGCTCAGACAAAGCAGCGTCACTTACGCTAGAGATTCTTTTAATAAAAGTTCCCAAGACATAAGTGTGGGCAAACACCTTAGAAATGCTCACTTGGTGTACCGAAATGGACTCCCATGAGTTTTTATTCTCTTCCAAAATCTCGTTGGCATGACCGGATAATCTCGCGACCAACGTCTGGTAGGCAGATAACAAATTCTGCAAGTTGTCAATTGACCCATTTAAAACTGGGGAAGAAGCAGCAACACTATAGCTGTTCAAGTAAGCAAACTCCCCCATCAAGCTTTTTCCCTTGAGTACCTTTTGCAAGTTCTGGATTACTGATTTACCTGCAGACATGGCCAAAACATTATTGTCACCTTCCCAGGTACATTGCACAGCCCAGTCCGTGTAGCCGGTACCGAACCCAGAGTAGGAAGAATAGCCATGACCCCCACAAGCCTGGCGGCATTCATCGATCAAGGAGGCGGTCAACCAGGTGCAGGTGGACTTCAAACTCGCTGAAATCACAAATAAAGTCTTCATCTCGGTAAGAGCCCCCCCAATTTTCTTTGTATTCCCAGTTTTTACAGAAGTGTCTAAGGTGTCAATGATACCCTTTAAGTAACTTTTCATCTTGTAACCGGTGGCAGACATGGCGTAAACAGCGGCCAAATAAGGCAATAATCTGTTTTGGTGCAAGGGATAATTCAACAACTGTTCTTCGCCGTCTGGGCTATGACCAAACTGCCTTCTACCAACGGCATATCTTAATGCGATGGTAATAAACCGGGAACCGTATCTGAAACAGTCGTAAACCATCCCAACCCTCCCTGTCAAAAGCGCAGAGTATGCCAACTGAGCCAAGGGAGCGTTGTGTACCGTCCCATCTCTATCCACTTTGTCGTACTTGGACAACATGTTTCCACGGGGAATGTGGACGTTGCTGAACTGGATCCACCCATTATCAATACCGTTTCTTCCCATCTTGGCACCAACATCACCTAACGAGACACCGGGCATCACGTCATGGTTGGCGTCTCTCAAGGGTACCACAAAGATTTTAACCCCATGGTCTACTCCCCTTACAATCAAGCGAGCGTAAGCAGCAATATGTGTAGCGGTGTGGGCAGCACCACCGATCCACCATTTGGTGGCTCCAATATGAGGCGTGTTTACAATAAATTCATCGGTTTCCGCGTCAAAAGTTGCAGTGGTTTCCAATCCGGCAACGTTGGAGCCGTGGGCGAGCTCAGTCATACCGAAACTGCCACATATCCCCTTGATTTTAGCAGAGCCCTGGGTGACAGTCCAGTAGTGGTATTGCTTCAGGGTGCCATTGCCACGTACACAGTTATGAAATAACCCTAAGTTGTTGTTTATACGAGTGCTCAGCTGGGGGTCAAAGGTGTTGAGCAAGTGCCAACGCATATTCCAGACCTCTGGCGTGTCTTTCTCCAAGTACTGGGCCAAACGGGCAATCTTCCGGGCTGTAAGCTCACGCTTTTCCTCATGAGTTAAATCGTAAATCTCAGGCGAGGTGGCGATGACTGGGTCACGCTCGAATTGGAGGAAGATACTCTTCACCAAGGCCACTTGCTTTGGATCACCCCCTTCTAAGAACTCATTCATAGCGTTGAGGTCGAAACTGGTCTGCGCTCTTTCTTTCCAGATGGAGGCGGCAGGGTCTGGGCCCTTGGAGTAGGTAACACTGGACATTTCGGATTGTAAGCTTGCGAATAGTTGGTGTTGGATGTACTCTGAAAAAAATAGGGGGAGAGAGTAATTATTGAGCAGAAGGTCGGGTATATATATCCTGCGGGATGAGGGGGGGTGTTGAGTTTCAGTGTCGTCTGCCGAAACTCAAATCGTATGCAGCAAGGCTTTCCCCACATTACGGATGACGCTGCCCGCATATTGCCACATACCGGACACTCTTTCTCCCAAGACAAGGCTCCATTTTGGTTTGGTGAAATTCGCAAGAAGAATAAATCGCGATTATTGCAGAGTATCAAGGGTCAATAAGACCCCTCAGAAATTATTTGTATCCCGCTGAGCGTGTGCTTAGATTTTCATCCTCCAAGAGTCGTCTCGTGTGAGAAATATGTCAAAGAATGCGAAACATTTACAATCATAGAATACGCACACAAATTTCTGTAGGTTTTGGCCTCCGCCAGATCCATGCTCTTTTTCCCGATCTCATCCGGGATACGCTCCATAATTATGGTACGCAGCTTTCCGATATGCGGAGAATCGTTACCCGCTTCGGATGCATGCTTCCAGATAGAAGTCTTAAGGTTAAGGCTGCGGCTGGCCATGGCTTTTCCGACGCCGAGGCCCGAAGATGCCAAACCCGCGTACACAGTGTAGCAAGTTGGTTCCGAGAAGGCTCTGAAATGTTGCTCACCGCACACACTTGTTACTCAGGGTTCACAAAGTTTATATCGGCACTCGGTAGGAAAAGATATCAGAGTTATAATGCACCGACCTAGAAAATTTCTTTCAAGGTGTGAGTTAGAATGCCCGAATTATCCCGCTTCTAATTCCCGATGGCAAAGTAACTCGAGATTTGCATACGACCAGTGGTCGCTGGGAACATATATATGTGCTCTATCTCGCTTGGCGGGAGATGACTCTGGTGAGTGCCACAAGCTAAGTCGGCTAACCTTCATCTGCTGTTCCAAACATGTCGTATAAAATCTGTTAAGGAGAGCTGTTAGATCTATCTATGATTGACACAATTAGCAAAGGGGAACCAGATCTCACTTCGTTGAAAAGCTATCACACAATTTCTCACCGTGTCTCTTTTTGTCATCCTTTCCATCTCTTTTATTCTACTAACGGCTACAGGCGAAGTCCTCCCAAACCCATTGCTTAGCCTCCTGATAGGAGTTTTAATGGTGCATTTTTTCATACTTATTTGCATGATTAACATCCAAACCACTACCTAAAGTGGTTTACTTAATCGGACTTACCAGCACAACCAGGAATGAGCCTGCGATCAGCCTCCACTGAAGCGGCATGTGCGCTGGACCGCTTTTGCTTAAGCTGCGGGATGATCGACGGTGTGAGTTATAATAATGATAAAACTGAACGCCTTTATGCTAATTGAACGTACACAGATCGAAAAATTATATGCATTGAACTGTATTCTCGGTTTAAAGCTACATCACTTGTTTACAGTAGACCGGGGAATTCGCTAGTAGTGTTAGTACCGACATGGCCCACGTAGACGCATATTTCCATGGCATCGGCCGATCAATTTTATTGCTGCCTTTATTGAACCCCACTATCTTTATTCGCATACTATATACAATGACAAAGGAAAGGGCGGTCAATCCGTTTATTGTACAGACCCAACCGGGTCCTCAGACGCTTATTTCACTAGAGGAGTTTCTCAAAATCCTGCCGATCCTCGCCCCCCAACAAGCCCCGCAGGCGAGCCCCAGTGGTTCCTCCAGTTGGTCGTTCACCCAGGGATTGCTTATAGGTCAGGTGTCAGTGCTCGTTGTGATTGCTATTTTTGTCAAGTTCTTTGTGTTTGCAGAACACCCCAAGCACCAGCCGGTCTCAACCAAAGTCTCCATCGCCGGGAAGTCGTCCAAGACGGGCAAGTACAATACCCAGGCCAACAAGACAAGAGACCTCGATCAAATTATCAGTACGTCTACAATTCTAGAGAAAACGTACTATGACGTGAAAACCCATACATCTGAGACCCTTGACTGGTTTAATGTGTTGATTGCCCAGACCATCTCCCAATTCAGGTCCGAGGCCTTGCTCCGTGACAACTTGTACCATTCGCTCGACGACTACCTCTCAAATACCGAGTTACCAGATTATCTTGATAAGATCAAAATCACCGATATAGAAATCGGTGACGATTTTCCGATCTTTAGTAACTGTCGCATCAGACACTCAGATCACAACGACGCCCTGGGTAGCGGAAGGTTGGAAGCCAAGATTGATCTAGATTTGTCAGATACCTTGACCCTAGGAATCGAAACAAAGCTCCTTATCAACAAACCGAAGCTCATGACCGCATCCTTGCCCATAAGTCTCAAGGTCAGTATCGTCAGATTCTCCGGCTGCTTGACTGTGAGTTTGATCAACGCCTCAGACGAATTGTTTGACACCGATGACAAGGCTGAAACTACAATCCCGCTCAGAGATGAAGACGGTTCTTCTGCAAAGTCTGGAGGCACTGCACTTTTGTTTTCCTTCTCACCTGACTACCGCTTGGAGTTCCAGATAAGCTCGTTGATTGGCTCGCGGTCGAAATTGCAGGACGTTCCAAAAATTTCCTGGTTGATTGAGTCTACGTTGAGAAACTGGGTGATGGAGCGGTGTGTGGAGCCCCGCTACCAGTTGATCAAATTGCCGAGCATGTGGCCGAGACGGAAAAATACTCGTGGTACTACTCTGTCCGGAGATAAAACCACCAGCGATGATTAGGGTGTGATGGTTGCAGGGTTATATATCGGCATGCTTTCTCTTCATCCAGTAGTAAAGATGATTCACAAATGAAGGGATCAACCTAAATTTGATCTTCCAATACCCAGAGGCCTGTTTGGTACTCATATTGCGGGTTTATAAACTGAGTAAGAAATTAAACCAAAAGTGTACTCAAATAATCAAGATTTTAAGACTACAGGGAAATATTCTGTACAACTCAGGTCCTTATATTGATTTAGAGGGGTGCAATGGATATAGGAAAGGCCACTCCGATACAATAAAAGTTCACCAATCTTCAGTTTCTTACCCCAAAATACCCTCGCCACTCTAGCACTCTATAATCGTTCCTACACGTGCCTGAGTGCAGTGTGATAAAGTATAGAGTATGAAAAAGATACCCTAATTCAATCAACTTCCACAGTAGTTTTATATATATAAATACACGCAATTATAACCTACGCACCCAGTCCTAATCTTGAAGAGACCTGCGTTAGATAACTAGGGAAAACCGTATCTAAACTCTCATCCTGCACCGATCATCTGAATCCAGAGGTAAACAAAAAAATCGCGTCTGGTTCATTCTGACCCTTCGGATAAACAGATACCCAACCCCACTATGACTGCCACCACAGACTTCAAACTACTAGAAGGGCAGAAGGAAAACATCCAGCCTGTGAAGGAAGGCAGATCCGCAAGCGCGCTTGCGGCCACATTCAGTGTTGGTGCGGACGACTTGCGACGCAACCAGGCCGCGCGCCGCGCCGAGTTTGAGGCTGCCATCGTGGACTCAGACGAGCATGACGATCCGCTCGAGATTTACTTGGACTACTTGCAGTGGACCAAGGACAACTTCCCTCAAGGATCCAACGTTGAAAGCGGCTTGATCCAGTTGCTTGAGCGGTGCACCCTGCGCTTCCGTGACACGGAGTACTACAAAAACGACGCGCGCTACCTCCGCGTGTGGCTCCAATACGCCCGCTACTCAGACTCGCCGCGTGACATCTTTCTCTACTTGGCGAAGAAGGAGATTGGGCTCAAACTTGCGACGTACTATGAGGAATTTGCGCACTTCCTTGAGGTTAGTGGGCGGAAGCTCCAGGCACAACACATTTTTAATATGGGTATAGATGTTCAGGCCAGGCCCGTGACGCGATTACAGAAGCGCTACGCTCTGTTTTTGGAGCGCTTAGCAGAGGCTCCTGCAGCAAGTAATGAGCCGTCGCACAACATTCTCCAGCCGTTGGCGGTGAAAAGTGGGCCTAGTGGTGGTATAGGGGGAGAAGCAGCCGAACCTTCGGATCTTCTAGCTATCAAAAGACCTAAGCTCCAAGTGTTTGTGGATGAAGATGAGCCAGGTTTAGATGGTATAGGCTCAAAAATGGACAACTGGCAGTCACTAGGCTCGATTGCTGAACGAACTAAGGAAAACCGCATTAAAGCGACCCCCTGGGCCGGCGAAATCATGGCTGTGGGCAAGAATTTTGTCAAGGCCAACAAAATCGCCGTCTTTAAGGATGAAACCCAATCCAGTACAAGTCACGGGGATAAGTCGAATCCAGTATTCAGCACAATCGATACTCCAGGGAGGAGACCCGAAAGGTTAGACCTCAATTTGGAGCTTCTCTACACGCCCGAAGAAGAGTTTTGCTTAGAAGAGGTGTATGCGTTATCCAGGGGGCTAAGGCTAGGGCCATTGCAGATGCCAGTAAAAGCGGAGCCAGTGGGAACGGAGCCAGTGGGAACGGAACCAGTGGGAGCGGGGCCAGTCTTGGAAATAGAACCGACCATAACACTGACTCTGGAACAAATACCGATTTGTCAGAATTCTAAAACCCTTCACTTCGAGCAGTCGCAGACGGTTTCGATTCCGTTGAAACACGATGACAGAGATCAGAACCGGCCAGGGTCTCCTACGGTTACGATGACCTTCTTCTCCAAGGCTGCCAGGGGCGATGTTTTTGACATGTTCAACCAGCCTGCGCAGCCAGACAAGATGAACAGCGATGACACCGACCACGAAAGTGCCACTTTTAACGACTATACGGAAACGATCCACGAAATTCAGGATGTGGAGATGGAGGACGTTGCCCGGCGGTTTACTGAAACAAATGGGGGTATTCAAATGCGGTATATCAACGAAGTGGAAGCCCCAGAACGGTTCTCTAAGGAAGTGGAAGATCCAAAACGGAGTTCTGCGGCGACGGAAGACCAAAAACAATCTGACGAGATGAGCGCTTCAAACCGATACACGGGCGACGACGATGTGCTTAGTTCGCCGTTTCTTGAACAACCTCTGGAGCCTGAAGGAGAAATTCCCGATATCAGGACGTTGATGGCTAGCAGCAGTGGCTTGACCGTCAACCCAACAGACACGGCAGTGCTCAAGCGATTACTCCAGGGGGTTTCGCCAGCTGTATCAGCCTATCCCGGATATTTTGAGTATGCCACCACCCTTGGCAGGGCCGATAACCTCAAGAAGTTTGCGCGAAGCTCCCATTCCAATGCCATTGGAAACAAGAATGCTGTGATCGAGTTTAGCCAGAACCACGACATCTACTGTATACGGACGGAACTTGGTGAAGGTGGCTATGCTACGGTGTACCTCGCTGAAAGCGGCGAGGGCACCTTCCGTGCTCTAAAGGTTCAGAAACCTTCAAACTCGTGGGAGTTCTACGTGTTGCGCCAAATCTATACGCGCCTCAATGCGAGTTCAAAAGCCCAAGACAGTAAAACGTTGAGGTCGGTTATCCAGGCCGAGGGGTTGCATTTATACCAAGACGAGGGGTACTTAATTCTAAGCTACAAGCACCAAGGAACGATCCTAGACATCGTGAACTTTTTCCGGTCACGACAGGTCCCTACAACTCACGCTGTAGAGGAGGTCATGGTGGTGTTCCTATCTATTGAACTTTTGCGGACGATGGAGTCTCTCCATAGAATCGGAATCATCCACGGAGACCTCAAGCCAGACAACTGTATGGTGCGTTTCCAGAGTCTAGCTGAGGGCGAATGGGATTCGGAGTACGATCGTGAGGGTTCCAATGGCTGGTCCAAGAAGGGTATCACCTTGATTGACTTTGGCAGAGCTGTGGACATGACGCTTCATCCAACGGGGGTGCAGTTTGTGTGCGACTGGGAAACAGATAATCAGGACTGTCCAGAAATGCGGGAGGGGCGCACTTGGACATACGAGGCAGATTACTACGGGATTGCGAGCATTATGCACACGATGCTTTTTGGGAAGACCATTGAGACACAGTTTGACCGTCTGTATCGTATTTCCACCCCCTTGAAACGTTACTGGCAGCTCGATATCTGGGGCCCGTTGTTTGACTTGTTGCTAAACCCCAAAAAACACGCGAGGGATGGGATATTGCCCATAACAGATCAGCTCATGGTTCACAGAGAGAAGATGGAGGACTGGCTCGAGCTTCACAGCACTGGCGATCCGTCGTTAAAGAGTGTGATTCAGGACGTGGAACAGGCGTTGAGTCATCTTAAGAAGTAGATGATAACCCTCTTCTAGGTTAAAGTGCAAGAACTCCCAGATTTCGATTTCATATCTAGAGATATTTTTGAATATCGAATCCCCATGATTCATAGTTCCGGTCCAAACCCAGGAAACAGTTAGGTGATACATATCATTTATTGGAGTAAATTCGGGAATGACAGCCAATGGTGTATAAAAATTACAAACGTGCACATTGAGCTAATTTTGGAATACAAGTGCAGGTACATAGAACCTGTTTATAAAGCTAACTGCACGTATATGAGTTGTTGCCCGTAGGGGTAAACATCCAAGTGTCATCTACAAACCTGTAGACTTAGGACGTTAACTATTAGAAACGTACACGTATCTCTGCTTACCAATAGATTAAAAATAAACCATTTAAACCTATTAAATGATAAACAAATCTTTTAAAGCGATTAAATGACTGTAAAACACGACAATTACCGATTTTTCCACTTTGCAATTATACCCATTAATTTCTAATCGAATAGAAACATGAACCACTGGGTAATAATATCCGGCACAGCTCCTCAGGTCGTGCGCTTACACATCCTAATTGGGCCATAGAAAAATATTTGATCCTACCTGTGCATTTTACCAAGCCGTACTTCCTCAAGCCCAGCTTACCCTATGAAGATTGAAAACCCGCGTGAAAAGTTCCTTTCCAACTATGAGGTTTACGACTACCTCAAGGAAATTCTGAGCAAGAACAACTGGGGCTTCACCGCGGAGGAGCACGAATACAAGAACGACAAGAAGTGGCGCAAAAACGACATGGAGAACCTAGAAGCGATCACCCGTGATACCTTGGCATACTTGAAGAAGTCTACTCCGGTAGAAATGCAAAGCCCGGAAACCATTACCGAAATGATGCGGTTTTTGAACACTATGGAGTTGGAAAAAATCGAAAAGTTGCAGATTCTCAACAACTTGCCCCGTAACTTGGTGAGTCTCTATGCGATTGTCGAAGAGTGTGACTCGAGATTTGACGAGGAAAAGTGCAACAAATTAATCGAAAAGATAGACGCCCTCTTCCCAGAGGAGCAATCGGAGGAGGTCGAGGATGCCGCTATGGAAGATGCCTAAGCATATCCTACGTGTATATTACTGTATCTATAGAATGTTCATATTAATGAGAGGCAAGCCAGGAGAGGGCAATTCTTCGTATAAATAGGAATGTTGTACTCTACATTCTTTCGTAGAGTCTGAGCTTGATGGAAATCATTAACCATCCATACAAACCAGTCTATGAAATCGCATTTATAACGTAGATATACAGGGTAATATAACATACCAGGAAGACTAAGGTCTTCAAAACAGCCGGAGCCGATAGAATAGCGAGGTGGTTGAAAACTACAGGGGAGAATAAACGCCTAGCGGCACAGCCTGATAACTGGAATGCCTAGCCGCTGAAAACCTAGCCAATTTATTCCTGTTGCTGCTTTCTCACCCCACTGACAATATCATCCACTCTCAACAACAAACACGCAGACTCGATCGCGGTCTTTAAACTCTGCTGCTTGATCACTTCCGGTTCCCAAATCCCGTACTCGTTCATGTCGACAATCTTCCCGTTTTCACCGTCGATACCCCAGGTATGCTCACCCTTCGCGTGTTTGGCTCTTAACTGCGCCAATACTCTGATAGGGTTACCACCGCAGTTTTGGATCAAGGTTCTTGGAATAACCTCAAAAGCATCTGCAACCGCCTGGTACGGCCACTGAGCGACCCCGTCAATAGACTTGGCCTTTTCGGCCAATTTGACGGAGATGGCCATCTCGGTGGCACCACCCCCCGGAGACAAGGATGGCTCAAACATAACGTTTCTGGCGACAGCCATGGCGTCGTGCAAGTTTCTTTCAATCTCGTTAAGGATATCTTTGGATGGCCCTCTCAACAAGATGGTGCACGCCTGGGGCTCTCTGCACTCGGTGATGTAGGAGAAGTACTCGTCACCGATCAACTCAACCTTAAACAAACCGCACTTGGTACCAATATCGGACTCTCTGAGGTCTTCAGCTCTGTTGACGATCGTAGCACCGGTGGCACGGGCGATTCTGTTGTTGTCAGACTTCTTGACACGGCGCAAGACGGAAATGTTCGCTTTTAAGAGGTAGTGCTGCGCCAAGTCTGAGACACCTTTTTCAGTCAAGACCAAGTCTGGCTTAAACTGGATGATCTGGTCACAAAGCAATCTGACCTGTTCCTCCTCGATCTGCAAGATTCTGTTCCAGTCCTCCTCCTTGGTGATTTCGATGTTGGTCTGCGACTCGCCCTTCTTGTACTCCAACGGGCAGTCGAGTAACATGATCTTTGGGTTCTCGATGTAGCGTCTCATCTTCGGGTGGGTCACATCCTTGTTGAGCATGATCCCATTCAAAACCTCAGAATCGGTGATTTCCCCACCAGGAATCTTCTCAATACGCGCATATCTCTTGGTGTCGATCTCCTTGTGACCACCTTGGTCAATGGTAACGGTTCTTACCGCCTTTAACGCCAATTCGCACATCTTCTGTGACCATCTGGAGACATACTTGGTCCCGATAGACGCCTTGATCAACTTGATCATCGCCTCCTCGTTTTCAATGTCCACCGGTCTCGACACGTCGTGGATCACCTGCAACGCATCCGAAAGCGCCTGTTTTAAGGCCTTGATGATGATTACGGGATGGATGTTCTTCTCAATATATGGGAAAGTCTGCGCAAGGATTTCACCCGCAAGAATGATGACCGAGGTTGTACCATCACCAACCTCCTCGTCCTGGGTTCTGCTCAACTCTATCATCGACTTGGCAGCCGGGTGAGCCACATCGATCTCACGGAGGATCGCATGGCCGTCGTTCGTCAAAACAATCCCGCCCATCGGGTCGAGCAACATCTTCAACATTGCCTTCGGTCCGAGGCACGTGCGGATGATGTCCGCCACCGCCTTTGCCGCGGTAATGTTCGAAATCTGGGCTTGACGGCCAGTCTGTCTGTCCGTGGACGTATTCATGAAAACCACTGGCGCTTGCATTGTGGTGTGATGAGTGATGGGGGGGAAATGGACGGTTGTTTGAGTTCTGGCGCTTTTGATCTGTTTATGTCGACACGTTGGCGGCGATATTTTTTCAGATTATGTAAGCGAGGGATATGCAGGATGTTCCATGTGGTTCGGTAGACAGCTGGGGGAGACTTTTAGGATTGACGATAAAGTGGTTCAGGGACTTTATATCAGGCTCATAAATACCAGTTATTGAATTTTTAAAGTTCCTGAATTAGTGGGATATCATATCATTTTTATACCATTTTGGTTGAATTTGAGGGCAGTCGGCTCAGCCAAAAGAGGCGGTCCCCTGTAGGGTTGTGTCATAGGAAGCGCTGATCAAGCTGTTCCTGCTGGAGAAATATACCAATTCCGAATGTCTACAGTATAGAAGTTGTAGCATATCGAACATTGCAAAGTTTGCCAAACTGAATGTGTTTGATTGTTTCTTCCAGCTCACCGGTCCAGGGTGGGTGCATTCTGTGGCATGCAGACTTGTTGGCTGGATAAGCTTGGTCCATTCTTTATTGGTTTAATTCTATAAAATAAGTCTCTGGTAGTTTAGGGAGTGCTATTGTTTAGTAAGCTTTTTACACTGTGCAACACTGCAGACTGGCTCTGCCAGACATATATAATATCTAAGCTTGCATACCACATGCCTCTTAGGTTATAGTGCATTGGTCTTAATGTTTGGCCCGGGGTTTAGAGCTTCCAAGTCATAAAAAAAAATTGCTTTTGATGGGATGAAATGGTTGAATCAATAAAATCTAGTCCCCAAGTTGTAAATCCTTCATCATCCTTTAAGGCAGTAATATTGGACACTAATTTGAATCGCCGGTTTTTATTTACTGATTAAATCTCCACCATGCCAAGAAACTATGATTCCTCGGCCTACCTGGCACACTCAAAGAAACAATTAAAACTACACAGGTATATACAGTGTTCGTCATTTAGCTTAGAGTGAACAAACCCGTAGAAATGGCTGCATTATTACTTCTCCATCGCCTTGAATGCAAACGAGAAAAGACAGCTCAACGCAATCAACCCGCAGATCGCCTTTGGCCCGTACTTGTCTTCATAGTCAATCGCGCGCTTTTTACGGATATTAACAATTCTGAACAAGTACACACCGGTCGCGTACACCACACACATCACGGTGGTCAAGTAGAACATGATGCTCGCGGTCAACGCAGAGTTGGTACCGTAGTTGAGTAATGTCAGCGATGTCGCCGACAAGATCAACGAGATGGACAACCACGAGAGGAATGTGCGCTCAGTCGCAAAGTACACCTTTGGTTCAACGCGCACTGGCACACAGATCTCCTTGCCTGGCGGCGCATGAAACTCCTGGGAGAACACGGTCCCGTCCGCCACCTTATTGAATTCAGAACGGTCGCCCATAAAAGTCTCGCGCATGAATTCGATGCACTGGTGCCATACTGAAGAACTCTGGGATGCCAGATTACGGTTGGTGCCCAGGAGGAGCGGTGTGGTGGCGGTGGCGGCGACACGTGCAAATGGAGCGTTATTACTGGTCCCCATTAACTCTTCCTCGTCCATGTACCCGCCCTCGTGCGAGTCGTCGTCGCCCAGTGACGCGTTATTGATGTTGGCGCGCGTGATACCATACTCCAAGTTGGCCTTCGGCTTGCGGATGTCGATGTCCATCTGCGGTAACCAGAACGGAATCAAGTCAACATAGTCCGGGAGGAGCGTGGCACAACCGTGGATGAACTTAGAGAACTTTGGGATAGCCTCCACCAAGTGCGACGACACCAAGTCGCGGACCCACTGCGGTGGCTCCTGGCCCATTTGCGTCTGCAATTTAACCTCCAAGACCGCATACGGGAAGCGGCACACGTCTTTTGGCGGTAACTGGTCAAACGGATAGTCCACGCCAATGTCCATGCGGCGCCAGTTGCTGTTGGTGCGGTCATGGCCGTCAAAGTTATCCTCACGCACCATCGTGAGCTCCGTGTCCAACGAGATACGCACACGCGCGTCACCCGGGAGCTGGAATGCGGTACGGTTGTAGAACGAACGGCACACTGGACGCATGCGGTCCTTCAACACGCGGTATTGCACCTCTTCCGCGAGTGCTTCGAGAGACGCAACCTCCTGCGACGACTTCTTGCCCTCCTTGCGCATTTTTTCAAACGCCTGTGGTACGGTGAACTTACCTGACATAAAGTCGTTGACCTTTTTCTCTTTGAGGGAGAAACGTGCCTTGACCGACTTTTCGCCGGTCCAGTCCTCACGATGCGTCTTTCTCTCCACAAAGATGGTGTCGGACTTCATACTCCCGTACCATCTGAGTCTAATGGCCTCGGCACCCTCATCCTTGCGCAAACGGCCGTAGTACAAATCCATAGCCTTGTTATCGTAGTAAATGGACGTGATGGCGGAGTCCTCCTTTTCGAACTCCTTGTTGGCATTGAACACCAACACCGGAAGGTGCTTCAACACAATGAGCTTCAACTCAGTAATGTTGTCCGGATGGACCCAATACTTGGTGGTTTGTCTAACAAAGTTCTGCTGGGAACCACCGGCGGAACTGTCACCCTGGACGGGGTTCCCGCGAGTTCTCACCAAGTCGTAGAGCTTAGAGATCTTGACCACAAGCGGATCGTAGTCATCCTTGAAGAATGGCTTAGCCTCCAAGCGCACCTGGAAGATCGGTCTGAGATGGAAGCCTGTCAACTTGTCGTGCTTCTTGATGATCTTCTGAAAGCCGGTGTAGTTTAACCGCGTGAATTTGGCGAGGTCGTGCACATCTGCAATGATGTCTGAGAGCTCTTCTTCCAAGTCCTGGAACTCCTCCTCCAACGGTGGGTTCGGTGTGTTGAGCGCAGACACAACCTCATAAACCAAGCGCTCCGAATCCTTAATGCGGCGGTTGATTTCCGTCAGCTTTAACTTGGTGAACGAGTGGATCTTGTCCAACTCGTTTTCGAGAGTTGTGAGGAATTCCTCCTCGAGCGTGTTGGACCATCTATCCTGGTTAGTGGCCAAGCCCTTTTTAATAGCGTACTTCAAGTCTTCATAGTTGATGTAATAGAAGTTGTAGTCCTGGATGAGACTACTCTTGAGCGTTTCACCGAACTTCATCTTGTAAGTGCAATTGGGAGTGAGAAGAAGTAAACGGTTTTAATCACAGGAAGAAAAATGTGTCGATGTTTCGGGCGGCCCAATCTTATATATGGTTTTATCCAGTTGGGTGTTGGAGCCGCGTATGAATTTGCGTTATCGCAGCCTGCGCTCAGCTAATTTAGGAGTGCGAAAGGGGACGGCACGTGGGTCCACGGGGGGAAAAATAAATGCAGGATAAAATAATAGCACTCCAGGTGACAGCGGAGTAAAAAAGGCTTTTGCAATCAATCGGACGAATAGGGCCATTTAGATCGAGATATAAGTAAAATATATATTGTATCTGGGGTTTTCACCTACAAATATGGAAATTGAGTATCGGTGGATTGGTAAGACTCGTGGCACGTAGGAGCTATCCCCATATTAGGGTCACACGACTTGCTGCACTAATATTTATGCAGCTATCTATTCAAACGTGCATATACGGCTGTATTCGTGGGAAGCAGCAGCCCCGTGGTCTCCAGGGTCAACGCAGGATCTTCACGCGTTAACATGGTCCCTGAGTACTAATTCAAGCTTTCTATATTTATCCCTTCCAGGATGTGGCCGGAATGTTTCCACGCGCTGGAGAAAGAAGATTCCGTGCGATAGGTAGGTGAGACGAAAGATGGACAAGTATCAAGATCCTATAGTTATAACATGAGTGTAATAATGGTTGTTGGGTTGTGCGTGATGCTAGTACAAACCTGAGAATTGAGTACCAGTACCAACGACAAGAGTGTTGGCATACCATATACCGGCCTTACACCGCTGAGGGGCCACTAAGTCATGGTTTTGTCGATTCATTTAACTGAACTATGACTTATTAGCTCCTCCTAAACCCTTGTATAACCTCCATAACCTGTATTGTATTGCTTCGATATGAGTCGATATTTTTGACTATATCTTGATATATAATTGTATATATCGTTTATGTACATCAGTTTATATTGTTTTAGGTATATATATCAATTTATAATATCAAGATATACAATATCAAGGTATATAATATCAAGATATATAGACCTAAGACTATTTCTCTATTAATTTTAAATATTAATTTCAGATGTATCTATAAGATGACGCCAAATTTAATGAAAATATATGTGGATACACCATATCCACCACAATCTACAATCCCTTCGCATACAGTTTTATTATTCTAAACCAGAGATTATTCTGCCTTGGCCTTGCCCATGAGCGCTGCAAGCTTTTCCTTGACGACAACCGCCAAACCGCGCTTCTTGGCCATTGCCTCAGCCTCGGCCTCGAGTACAGTACGCTTCACTATCAAGTTGAATACGGTTCCGTAGGTCAATGCCAAAACGGTGCTGGTCATGATGATAACGTTGTAGGGCATGGAAAAGTCCGGAAGCGGCAAGGTTAACAACAAGGAAGTAGTTCGGAGCTGGTAGCCTTCGCGGGTGGAGATCACAGCTGGCTCGATCTCGAAGCCGTGGTTCGGGTCGGGTGGATACTCCGCGTACAAGAGCAAAGACTTGTCGAAGCCATATGTAATAGTGAGTGTGGACTCACCCGGTACTACAACCGCAAGCTCAAGCTGCGTCGGTCTTTCTCTATCGATTGCCGGCTTGTAGTAGATGTCTCTGACAAAGTTACCCTTCTTACCAGCCACCTCGGCCTTGAGACTATGGAGGTACACTCTGACGAACCACGGCAACGTTTCAAAGTAATTGAAGGAGACCTCGTGGGTTGATGGGTTGGTGAGAACGATTCTAAACCCACCATTGTCCTGACCCGAACCGGTGAGCGATCGCGAGACCATGACTGGTGGAAGTTCAAAGTTGGAGACAACAGCGGAGTCAGCAGACTCGAATTCAACATTGAATTCGGTCTGAGGAACATCAATGCACCCGGAAAAGTCAGTAACCGTTTGTTCGCTCCACGCTCTGACCTTCCAGCTTGGATCCACGTCCACACAGACACGTGACGCGGCGTTGAGGGCCGAGGTGCCTATAATCTGCTTGCCAAAGATCTCGCGAAGGTCCCACTTCACCTGTGTAGCTTCACCCAACGGGAAGCACTGCCAGTCATTATGGGTTTTGCTCATGTCGCATCTCAAGGCGTCACCCTTTTCCGGGTGCGGAATGCGGCTCTTGTTGGTGCGCAAGCTGCGGGGCACGTCAATCACACTACTGATGGTTTCAGCCATCGCTAAGACGCACTCACCATCACATTTGGTCTCAATATCAATCGCCATGCTGTGCCACTGAGAGTCAAAGAGCCTGTGGCCGTCGAGTAATGACGCAACGCCTTGCTTTCCGCGCGTAGGCAACAACTTCACAAACGGCGTCAAATTCTCCGTGCACACTGGCTCGCTCGGTAATGCCGCTCTGAGGAAGTAGTACTTCTTACCCACCTCCACATATGTCTGGTTTACGGGCTGGAAAGATGTGAGAGGATACGCCGTGGAAGCAGCGTTGATGTAGTTTAACGAAGCGCAAAACAAACCGCTGAGGCCATTCACAAGCTCAATCCAGCGGGAAAACGCCACATCCTGCGACTCAGCCTCAATAACCAGCCAGATTTCGACTCCGGTACCTCCGCTGTGCTTCCCGTCAAGCGGCAACTTGCCCCAGCACTCGGCGTCCCACCAGCCCTGCGCAAAACGGAGATGGAGCTCTTTCGTGTTTGTGGACTGGATGATCGGCCCAAGAGCACGCGGAAACACCTCATATGTGGTAATCTCGTCGCTTGAGGTTAGTGGCTTCGACTCAAGGTTGAACTCAAACGTTGCAAGAAGGTTGTTGGCAGGTAAAGGCTTGAGCGTGAGCTGCTCGTCGTAGGGATATGACACAGATGATGGTGACGCAGTGCGGAGAATATCCGCTAGACATGCTAGAGGAAATGCCAACAGTAAGAGTAACATGACGGTGGTGGGCGAAGAGTGGCAATGGAGAGGTATACGCCATGTTGATTTAATGGTGACACGGCAGCGGCCTGCATGGGCCGAGATGCGCACGACCAGAGACCTGCCTCACGAGTTTGGTATCCTTCCAAAAAATGCTTTGTATTTAGAAGTTGAAGGATTTCCGATAAAAGTAAGTTTGTGTAGATTATTTATAAGTAAATTACCAATACTCTCCTTTGTATTGTCCTAACTCATGAAATGGATCGTAAGATTACCATAAACTGGCTAGTATGGTGCTGTCGGTAGTTTCGGCAGTGTGCCCAAGTTCTAGTCCAAAAACTAGAGGTTTATGGCTAACTTTTATGCAATATTCCATCGTTTCGGTATATTAATTTTTGAAAACCAAGAGTATAATTGAATTTATGTGCGATAATACCGTCATGAATTTAAGTTTTTACCTTAAAATTCTGGCTGTTTTCAGTACTCCCGATTCGGTCCGTCGCCAGTGTTCCAAAGCATTCACCAGCTATTTTCCTGCGCAGTTGAAGATGCTTGTTTGTAAAGGGTTCATACTAAACTCATATTATAAATGGTTCGAACCATAGTCCTTGAAGTTTGAGAGAATTTTAGAATAAAATAATACGCTCTAACTGCTTATATTGACTGGTTGAGAGATCGTAGTTGTGTCAGATGACAGTTAGACGCCAAAGAGGTATACCGAGACAATTAATTTCTAATCCTATACCAAGTATATTGACAGAAAAATCGATTTATGTCGTCATAGGTTTAACAAATATTGGTTACGTGAAAGAGGTACTCTTAAGCGGGTTGTCAATCTGCCATCGAAAATCAGGATTACGAAAAGCTGAAACGGTATACATATATACGCTAACAATTCCCTACACTGCTACTATTAGGCATTCAGGACCAACCACCGAATTCTCAACAGAGGGGTTATTTAATCTGCTAACGGCTTGCTCTCATTTACTGCTTGCTAAGCAAAATATTACCGAGGAAGAATATCTCACGAACGTTTCCCTCCACATCTTCTTAGACCCTTACAGAAATCTTTCCTCCAACCAAATAATATCTGGCCGCACAGAACCAAGTAGTCACAAGAGCACTGAGAAACCCACAAAACAACACAAAGTGGCCGTAGTTTTCCTTTGATCCAGTGCCAATAAGCAAACCAGAAAGAGGGATGAATACAAGGTTTCCCATAGCCACCATGAAAAACACCATGGCATAACATCGCCCGTAGCTTTGGATTGGAGTTACTTGGGCCAAACACACAGGGGCAAGGGAAAGAACACTAGCAGAAGTTATACCTAATAATACAGCAAAGGTATACAACACTGAGAGGTTGTGTCCAAGGGGGAACCAGAGGGCAAATATACATACCGTTACCGCAGTAAGCATGCCCACGATCACGTTGAAGGCTCCAAACTTATACGCCAAGATGCCCGGAAGACTTCGTCCAAGCACGCCTGAGGCATTGATGACGGTAATCATGAGATACGCAGCCTTTTCGTCGACCCCCTGTGCCATCGCGTACGAAGAGAAATAGGTGATGGCAGTGATGAGGTAGACTTCAGCCCCTGCCATTCCTAAAGCACAGAGAGTAAATCGAGGATTTTTAAAAGCTTTTAGGTCGAACACGTTATTGATATAGCCAGCGAAACGATACAATAAGGGTTTTGAGATTTGAGTCTGACCTTCAGGAGTCGCTAAGACACCGTTGCTGGTTTTGCGGAATCGTTCCTTTGTTAGCCAGATAGAGACCCCGGACGTCACGAAGCAGAGTGATGCTAACACTCGAATGGCCCAGGTGAAGCCCACAGAAGAATAGAGGGAGGATAACATTAGAGGGATGATGACACCGCCCACCGAAACCCCGAGGGTAACCAACCCAGCAGCCAACGCACGTTTTTGACTAAACCAGTGGGCGACAAGACAAAACAACGGAGTTTGGAGAAAGGCCAATCCCAAGCCCGTGCATAGACTGAAAAAGAGAATAAATTGGTAGACATATTGTGCATTCGCGGTTCCAAGCAACCCACCGGTGGTTAGGACCACTCCTACTGACATTGGTATCCGAGAGCCGTAGTAGTCGAAAAGTGTCCCGCCAAGGAGACAGAAACCGAAGTTTGTCGTTAAGAAAATAGAGAAAATCCACGCTATGGTAGATGGTGCAACGTCCGACAACTGGTGGGTGGAAATATATGTTTGGATAGGCCCCAAGCTGTTAATTAGCCCAAAGTGAAAAACCACGCCCACAAAGGAGCCTAAAACAACCAACCATGCCTCTCTGCCTCCATCGGGATAAGATTCTGTCTCGTTGCCCGAACCAAATCCCACACCTTCGTTGTTCCCCAGGATTTGTCTCAAAGAGGAGCCGTCAAGCGACCTTTCAAGTGAAGGTTGGTAACCAGAGGCGGCAGAACCATGAAACGCGTTTTGGTTACTGGCTTCTACATTCTGGTACACTACTTCATCGATAGAAACAACTTGTAGGTGGATATCGACGTAATCATCTCGGTGGTGAAGCTTTGCAATTTCAGGAAGCGTCTCCATAATTTATAGTATTCAGTGGGGAACGATTCGAGTGTATTATACGCAGGCCACTGACAGTATATATAGACCCCGTCAAAAGAGTGTAGATAGGATACCTGCAATACTGCTTGTCTATTACTAATCCAGAATCAGTTAATAGTGAAGAGAGCCAGGGGGACAAGTACTATCGGCTAAAGCGATTTAATCGTTATCATCACTGGGTGGCAAAGGATAAAACGCAGGGATGACACACGGCGTACGAAACGTGGACACATACCCCAACTTTATAGAGTGAGCTCCTCCGGGATGACTAGAAACCGTAGGTTTAGCCGATAAAACTGTGTCAGGGTATAAAAGTAATATCGGCTAGGACGGTATCACACATAGTTTTACAAACACAAAACTGTAATAATTTTCAAGCGCTATTCAAATGATTTGATGTCACGCCAGCAATGTGTCTTTAAACTGCTATGCACTCTTACTTCGACGCGAAAGAGGCAACTTTACACGAGTTTCGTTGCATATCTGTGATACCTAAAGGAGATGGATTCCCGTAGGTCATGCAGATTCATAAACACCACGGTTAAGATCTAATTGGGTTCCCTAAAACCGGAATAAAAGTTAAACTTTAAAGGATTGGCTGCAGGCCCTACCGATACCTGATAGGCTTGATCCAGACTAGTGCTAGTCCCTAATACGTGTACGTTACGTAGCCATAAATTTGTCCTACAGAGCTGAATATCTAGGGCACAGTGGCGGGTCCAACGAACTGAAAGCCAAAACTGTTGAACAATAGTTGTATAATGGGATTACTCACACTGATCCCGTTCATTACTATTATTCCTTTTTTTACTGCATAGTCTTACTTTAGCGCTCACGAGCCAACCCTCATTTACAGCCCCAAAGCCCAGTAGCACCAGCGCCGCACTCCGTCGTGCACGACCTTTCTCTGCAGCATATTTTTGACATCAGCTCAAGGCAAACTAGCCGCTCACCTCTTGCTTCATTCCCACAACATGCCCAGAACGACTGTTATTCCGTTTGTTGCCAGTGAAGAGTCGAAAAGACTGGAGATCACGGCACCTGCCCAGTTTCTCAACGAGATGATGGAGGCAGGAGAGGAGTTTGACCCGTTAGCTGACCGGCAGCTGAAGAAGTCCATCATGGACCGTGAATCGGATTACCAGAAACGCAAATACCAGCGGAGCTTGGATGTTACAGAGGAAGTTTCATACAAAACGGTGATGGCAGAACGAGAGTTGGAACGCGAGGAATTGCGGGTAAAGCGGATTATTGACGAGAAAGCAAAAGAGGTGCCCGCGGGGGAGGAGACCGGGGATAAGACGCCTCCACGGAGCTCTACGCCTCCTCGAAGAGAGCGAAAACGGCGCTGGGACGTCGACGAGCCAGAAGCCAAGAAATCCAGATGGGACACAGCTCCAGTGATCGAAAGACCTACGGTGAACGGGGTTCTTCTTACAGACGAAGTATTGCTGAAGCTATTACCAAACGGGTATGCGATTGTCCCGCCCCCAGAAGACTACCAGCCAATGGCAGTGTCTACCATTGAAGCCACTTCGGGATATTCCATCCCCGAAGCGTCACACGTGTCCACGGCGATGATTAAGGAGACGCTTGTGACGGAGGTTCCTGGGGTCAAAGACCTCCAGTTCTTCAAGGAATCGGATATGAAGTACTTCGGTAAGCTCCTCGAGGATGAGGAGCCCGACTCAGATTTGACGTTTGATGAACTCAAGGAGCGGAAGATTATGCGACTCTTGCTCAAGGTGAAAAACGGCGCCCCAGCCCTCCGCAAAGTAGCTCTCAGGACCCTCACGGATAATGCGCGTCAGTTTGGCGCTAAGGCGCTTTTTAACCAGATCCTTCCGTTGCTTCTAGAACAGTCGTTAGAGGAGCAGGAGCGCCACTTGCTTGTGAAGTTGCTCAACAGGTTAATTTTCCGGCTCGATGACCTCGTAAAGCCCTATGTTAGCAAAATCCTCATTGTCACTAACCCACTTTTGATCGATGAAGACAAGTTTGCGCGATTGGAAGGCCGCGAGATTATCTCGAACCTCGCCAAGGCCGCCGGTTTGGCCACGATGATTGCTACCCAGCGGCCAGACATCGACAACGTGGACGAATACGTACGTAACACGACCGCACGGTCGTTTGCAGTTGTGGCCTCTGCACTTGGAGTGGAAAAGCTTATTCCGTTCCTCAAGGCCGTGTGTAGGTCTAAGCGAAGCTGGATGGCCAGACATACCGGGGTTAAGATTGTCCAGCAGATTGCAATCCTTGTGGGTTGTGGCATCTTGCCCCACTTGAAGCTTCTTGTCGAGTGCATTGGAGCCGGGTTGGTGGATGAAAACCAGACCGTGCGATCTATCACCGCGACGGCCTTGGCATCTCTAGCCGAGGCAAGCGCTCCGTACGGGGTGGAGTCGTTCGAAGCAGTGCTTGAGCCTTTGTGGAAAGGTATCAAGCGCCACCGTGGGAAGGCATTATCAGCATTTTTGAAGTGCATCGGGTGCATCATACCGCTCATGGACCCGGAATACGCGTCTCATTATACCCGCGAGGTGATGTTTATTCTTCTTCGTGAGTTTACCTCTCCAGACGAAGAGATGAAGCGCACGGTTTTAAAGGTCATCCAGCAGTGCTCGGCAACGGAAGGTGTTACTGCCAAATATTTGGTGGACGACGTGTTGCCCGAGTTCTTCCGCAATTACTGGGTCAGACGTGTTGCCTTGGATAAACGCACCCACTGGTTGGTGGTGGAAACGACCGTCGCTCTCAGCAACAAGGTTGGGAGCAAGGAGCTCATCACACGAATTCTCAACGTGCTCAAGGACGAAAGTGAGCCGTTTAGAAAGATGGCGGTGGAAACCACCGTTAGAGTGATCACCAACCTCGGCTCTGCTGGGTTGACCGCTGAGACGGAGGAGCGCTTGATCGACGGTGTACTTGTAGCGTTCCAGGAGCAGCTGGTTGACGATAAGGTGTTTTTGCGCGGCGTGGGGATAGTGGTGAACTCTCTTGGGATCCGTGCCAAGCCCCACACTACCGCGATCTTGAGCACCATATTGTTTCGATTGAAGAACAGATCGCCGGAGGTCCGCCAGCAGGCGGCCGACCTTATTGCGCTTATCGCCCCGGTGATCAAAACCTGTGGAGAGGACGAAATGTTGAGCAAGCTCAGTTTGATTCTCTTCGAGTCGCTCGGGGAGGTGTACCCGGAAGTACTCGGGTCCATTCTTGGAGCGATGAAGAGTATTGTTGCGGTTGTGGGCTTGGACGTTATCAATCCGCCCATTAACCAGCTCTTGCCCACGTTGACCCCGATCTTGCGCAACAGACACGAAAAGGTGCAGGAGAACTCGATCGAGTTGGTCGGACGCATCGCCGATAGGGGAGCCGAACATGTGAATGCACGCGAATGGATGCGTATCTGCTTCGAGTTGCTCGACATGCTCAAGTCGACCCGTAAGTCTATCCGCCGCTCCGCAAACAACACGTTTGGACTCATAGCCAAGGCGATCGGGCCGCAAGACGTGTTGCAGACGTTGTTGAACAACTTGCGCGTTCAGGAGCGTCAACTCCGTGTGTGCACGGCCGTCGCCATCGGGATTGTGGCCGACACCTGTGCCCCGTTCACGGTTCTCCCCGCATTAATGAACGAGTACCGCACTCCTGAGAATAATGTCCAGAACGGTGTGCTCAAGGCGATGACGTTTATGTTTGAGTATATCGGCCCGATGACCAAGGACTACGTGTATGCGGTGACTCCATTGCTCGAGGATGCGTTGACAGACAGGGACCAGGTCCATCGCCAGACCGCCGCCAGTGTAGTGAAGCACATGGCGCTAGGCTGTGTGGGGATGGGCTGTGAGGACGCATTTGTGCACTTTTTGAACTTACTCATGCCGAATATCTTTGAGACTTCGCCCCAGGTAATTGACAGAGTTCTCGAGGGTATTGAAGGGGTGAGAAACGCTGTTGGGGTCGGAATTATCATGAACTACATCGTTGCCGGGTTGTTCCACCCCGCGCGTAAGGTCAGAACCGCGTACTGGAAGGTGTACAACAGTGCATACGTGCAAAACGCCCAGTCGATGATCGTGTATTATCCTGTGGTGGAAGAAAAGGGGTACGATATCCCTGAGATGGACCTTTGGATCTAGTTTAGATACTGCGAAATGCACTTTAGGTGGGGATTTTAGAGTAGTAGCTAATGAGAGAGGTTGTGGATGACTTTTTCCAAAGCTTTGGTGTAATGGTTAGATACCTTGAACGTACAGAGCATGAGCCGTCACTTATGGTTATGTTGTGATGATTCTAAGTTTTTTTTAAAAAATAGAGGTACAATATGGAATACTGTTTGGCAAGGATGGGAATTACTTTTACGTGACATACTCTAAATGAAGAAATAAACCAAAATGGAGTAACGTGTGCACCTGGTTGGTAGGTGAACTCCTAAATAGAAATATGTAGCTCCAAGGTTTTAGCATTAAGCAGATTTAAGAAATTCAAACTACAAAGTGTTTGAATTATCCAGTGTATTGTAAACAGAACAGATATTCCAAATACTGTTTATTAACCCGTGGTTACAGTTGAATCCTACCTTGAGAAAGATATCATCTTAAGGCTACGTTCCTTGCCAGTCATGGATAACATCCCTCCTTTTTCGGTGCACTTTTAATGTTCTCTGTCAATTCGTATATATACAAGAACTATGCAAAATGTTTTTTTCTCAATATTTGAGCAACTGCGCATCTTCCGCTTCACTCTCAGATTCATGTTCTTCTTCATGTTCCTCATCCCCCTCTCCCTCTTCTTCCTCTCCCTCTTCCTCATCACCCTCATCCTTTTCATCCTCATCCTCATTCTCATCCTCTTCCTCACTTTCCTCATCCTCTTCCTCATCCTCTTCCTCATCCTCACTTTCATCATTACTTGATTCCTCCTCCAGACTCTCCTGGATGCGATATCTAAGTTTCTGCATCACAGACGAACTCGCCCCGTCATCTGCAAAAAAATCGTCCAAACTCTGTGGCGCCTTCTTCTGTATTGATCGCGATTGATTGCCAAAGTGCACATCACTGGCTGGCGAGCCGGACCTTGTGGACCCACCACTGACGTTTTGGAAGCTCTTATGAATGTGTTCCTTGATTCCAACCTCCTTTCTGATGGTCAGATCGGACGGCTGCTTGGCCCAAGCGGGGACACTATTATAGTACATCTCCAAAGCGCTCAGAATATGCACCTTGGCATGCTTCGCTTCAGCTAATGGCACTGGTTTAGGCGCCTGGAGGAACAATGCTGCGAGCTGAATGTGGGGCTGGCTCAACAAAACCCCAAACATACGCGCACGATCTCTGGTATCATACGAGACATCATACCGCGCCAACGCCAATATGTGCCGAAACAACTTCGCAATCACTCCATCATGCTGAGAGAAAGAATCCGTGCCATGCGATGAAACGTACTCATTAACATCCTGACAGTAGACCTTAGCTGCGAGAAGTAAGATCTGGTAACGCACCTGGGGTTCCTCCGTCTTATAGCCCTTGGCTAAGACGCGCAAGACGTCTGGTGCGATGGAATCATCGACGGTGACGAATTCGCCCAAGAGCCAAACAATACTGGCCTTGGCCTCTTCACTGACACTCACAGAGTGCTGCAACACACCCGCAAGCTGTGTGACAGCACGGCTGTGGTGCGCCACGTCTTGCTGGACGAGGTAGCGGATCACGCTCAAACACTCGGAAATGATGGTAGGGACGTTTTTATGCACCTGATGGAGCAACCAACGGAGAAGCCTGCGCGAATGGTCTGTAGAGACGCGCGCGACGGCACTAAGACAGCCAACAGCGGCTTTCGCGACAGGACCGGTAGCATGGAGCGCATAGTATTGCAACTCTGCGGTGATTGCGCGTGCGTTGTGCACGTTCACGAGATGTGCAAGTACGTTGAATTTGAGCAGTGCCACGGCAAGAGGCTCTGTGGGGAACACGAAGAAGCGCTTGTAGTAGGGCGCGAAGAGCGCGGGGTCTGCGCGCACGGCCACGACAATTGTCTCTAGCGCCAAGCATTGGATCTCGCGCTCATTGTGGCCCTTGGTCAGGAGTCGTACCAACGCCGGCGCGATCTGGAATTGTGCGAGACAGTACGGCGGCGAAAGGTGTATAAACGCGCGTGCGACCGCGAGCACTGACACGTCCGCGCGCGAGTATACCAATCCTTTCATGGAGGTGATAAACAACTGGAGGTCTGGATCAAAAGCTGTTTCATAGGATGGAAGCTCCGTGTAGTCATCCGGGAGCGCAATCGTCACCTTCACTCCCTCTTGGAGGTAAGAGATGGTGGGTTTTGGCAAGAACATGCGCGCGTAGGCAGTCAAAATATCAATGAGCAACGCCTGTGGCCACTCCTCAAGATCGGCGAGGCAGCGGCATAGGCGGCGATAGTGGACGTGGAGAAGTGCGTAATTCTCAGGGCAGATCTTGTGGAAGGCGACAATGCTGGCGCCTACCACACCCATGTCGTTGTCTGCGAGTAACAGCTTCAATGTTTCGACCAAAGCGTCCTCGTTGAGTTTCTGGGCATCAATTTCCCAGGCCTTTCCAACGGCAACAGCAGCGGCACGGCGTACGATGTGTGATGAGTCTGCGACACACTTCTTGATGCCGAGCATAACGATCGCACTGATTGCAGAAATGCGGATTCCAGAGAGCACACGAATACCCAACGCACGGAGGTGCGGGTCGCGGTCATTAAGAGACTTCTGGATCGAGTTGATCAGGAGCAACGCAATGTCCGGTTGTGCCTTCGCATAGCGCAACAAATACGCGTACACGAGTTTGCGCACCTGGAGCTGCGGGGACGTGACGTTTTTGATGACATCCGCAAAGTAGAGTTCCGCATCTGCACCACGTGCCATGAGCGCCACCACACTCTTCAAGCCTGTGAGCTTATCGCGCTCCGTGCGCGAGTTGAGTAGCCGTGCAATCTCTTGGGGGTTGGTGTAGATGTCTGTGACTTTGGCAGTCACCGCTGCGGTAGCAGAGGTGGCTGCTTCGAACGTGAACTCACGTGCAGTGTCAAGAATTGCCAGGAACTTGGCCAACAGTTGGGCCATGGTGTGTGGAAAAAAATGGGGAGAAATGGGAGAGATGGATAGGAAATGTATTTGAATGGCTGCCGAGATAGCGCTTGTATGGAGCCGGTACGATCGATTCAGTCACGTGCACACAGCGGACTAGGCTGGTTTATTAGCGATTCCACTGGGGGCATGGTGCAATGGGATGGTTATTACAGATTATTGCATTCGAGTAATATAGGGGAGCAATATATCCATAAAAGCGTGATATATTCAATGATCTGGGTAATATTTTTACACTTCCTGGGACTTCAATTGTATAGGTCTTAGAGCCTTACATTGGTGATTATGGGTTAGAGGAGGAGATCAAAAATTTTATATCAGTAATGAAAAAATGTGTTTAAATATCTCGAAGCATCAAATGGTGCAGGGAAGACAAGATATCGATGTAGACACTGCTGTTTAAATGGATGAAATATGTCATAGAGTACTGATACTACTTATAATTACCTCATTTTAGATTACTGCGCATATAATACATGGAAGTGCTGAGTCACGTTATAGCTCTAACAATTGGATTGTGCGCCAGTGCTTATTGTGGGAAGGATAGCGCTTACGACCAGGGAAAATATCCGAATTCGAAGTTAAAAAGGTGTCAAAGGTGATCGTAAATACCTCTGCATGACTTACGTGAGGATGGACAACAATTACTTATTACAGGCAAAGGAAGAACAATCGGGTCTATTCGCTGTCTTAAACTTCAAAGCTTGAAGCTTACCGGCCGCAAAGATAAAACAGTTATGGGTGAAACTATAGTAATTTAATAACCTGTGTCTTGAATATACATGGACCACCGGTGCAAGATGTTTTACGAGTAAACCTCGAGCACTGGAAGCGACGTAAATCCCCCTGGTTGCCCTCAACTTGTGACATGAACACGAGGCGATCTGGGCATCTCTGTTAAGTTATCTAAGCTGTATCAAATACAGCAAGAATTGGAGTGATCGTTTCTAAGTCTACAGCCGTGGTTTCATATATCCATAACCAAAATTTGGGCAGCCATTGCGAATGGCTGAACATATTCTGCTCCTAGATTCTTGGGGGCCATCCTTGACCGAGATTTAGACCTGGACGGATGAGGATATAGTTGATCCACTATGGGGAGCGGTGGATCTAAACAAATCAGAGCCGAAATGTTGCACAACTTTGGACTTCACTCGTTGATCTTTATTACAAAGATTACCTAAAGTTTAACCGGTCAGATCCTTGTATCCATTTCGTGTTTGTAAAGACTGTTGCCTTACATTGCTCACTCCATATCCCCAGCTCACATTTGCATCTGTGCAAATCGTTCATATTTCTAGTAATCAACCCTAGAATGGATCTTCATACGGATCTTCCTCGTCGTAGTCATCGTCCTTTTCAAACTCGTACACAATGGCTCCACCGGGTCCAAAGTTCTGGGCCTCCAAGAACGGAAGCTCCACCTGGTCCTTAGCCAACTGCTGTTTCTTGTTTGTGGTCAAATTAAATGTGGTCAAATCCTTCAACAACGCCTCATCATCGTTAGCAGCCACTTCATCCTGTTCCTGGAGGATTTCCACTTCGTGAGTAGCCGTATTCACAACAAACTTGTACGTGAGCGAACGGCCTGACTTTCTCCTGCTCACCAAAACCAACTTGAAGACGGCCCCATTCAAACCGGCCTTGATGGGCAACCGCAAGTTTTCCACCGCATACTCTAAGGTCTCACCATCAATAGAAGAATCGGTAACGAGTGGCTGCACCTCGAAGATGGCGCTAGCAATGTACGTGAGGAACTCCGCCGGCTGCGGATAGTTGGTTATAGGCGATTCCAAACGCGGAACGTTGGAATGAAAGACACCGACTAGGACAATAGTGGGGGTCATAAGACCCGAAATGAAGCCACTCAACTCTTCGGATGCAATGTAGTTAAGCGAGTCAATAATCACAAGGCTCTTGGTTGAAGCGGCAGAGGGGGCTGAAGGGGGGAGCAGGGCGTGGACTCGTTCTATAATCGCTTGCGAGGAAAGACTGTCACACTGAACAAACTGCGTAGCATATATAGGTCTATTGACAGTTTCAAATGACAAAAAAACCACCTCCTTGGTTTGAGACTTGTGCACAAACTCCTGAACCAAGCTGTACGCGGACTGGGCCAAGGTATCGAGAACGAGTAGAAACGGCGCGCTTTCTTTCAAAGCTAGTAACCTATTCAAAAGAACTATCGAGTTTTGCGGGGTCGACATTATCTGTGGGTTATGGTTCGCTGGTTGGATGGCGTTGGTAGTTATACCCTCAGGGCTAAGTGACCATCATCGATGGATGGAAATATACAATGAGAATTTTTATCCTGGACACAGTACAAGCTCATCGCTGTCACGTGCCGTTCTTCGTTTTGCCGATACTTCCCAATTAAGGGTTACGGGGTTATACCTCTTACTGATTCGACCAAAAAGCTCTTGTTTATTCAGCTTGGCTTCTTGCGTGATGCCCTATATCTGCTATTTAACCTGCGTAGTCAGCCTCACTCCCCATCTTCTAGCATTCTTTTATGTATACCGTGCAGTAGATACATTGTTTGCGGGTTTCAGGTCATTCTTCCATTGAAAATGCTTAAGGGTCCAAAGTATGTTAAACCCATAACCACAGGCAGTACTAAGATCTTAGGCTGCACTAAGAAACTAAGGCCGCGGAGAGAAGAACTAAGAGCGGTCTAATCAGAAAATGGCCATCCTCGTTCTGCGCATCTTTTGTTGTAGTTTTTAAGGGTTTCTAAGTTTCTAAGAGTTAAGGCCAGCTGATTTATGCATGGTTCGGATCTATATTGGCCCGGTTCACGTACAAATATTTTTGTTATAGCGCTTCGTTCATCGGAAATGGTGTTGATATTCCCAGTTGCACCCCATACTCTGTACCGCAAAAGACGCTGTTTTACACCGTGACCCCGGTTTGAGCCTGACACTAACCCGCAAGAATGGTTCTGCACCATAGCATGTCTGACGCGTTGATCACTACCGGATTCGCGCTGATGTGCAGTGACGTAAGGTTGCATAAAGGAGTTTCCCGAAAATCTCCGCTGTAAAACCCAAGAGGTTGTAAAGACGAATTTCTCAAGGGGTTCCGAAATAACCACAAGAGTGCATGTCTCTTGTCGGCTTATAGCAGCGTAGTTCTCAAACCTTAAAGAGGTAAGAATCACAAAAACATCAGTGGTCCAGAGTGGCAACCCTATCATAAGACTTTGTGGCTACTTTGAGGATTGTCTAGTATCTGTTTGGCCAGGATGCCGAGGGGTCCGCAAGTCCGAGTATCTGAATCTTCTGACTGGAGTAGGTGGTCTGGAGGTACCTAAGACGCTGAGTTAACCATTTGCGTAAAGATAAAAGACACCAACTGGGGTCCTCTGATGAGTCCCTAAGCGAGAAGCTGTTGTTAGTAGCTGCGTCTGTTATACTCAATGTGGTAGCTAAATGGGGATAAATGCTTAGGAAGCATACGCGAAATAGCCCATGGTGACGGGACAAAAGTACAAGTTACATTATGGGTCGGCAATACCGGGGTAACTTGTTAAAGATATTAACCAGAATGATAAACACGAATTTTTTTTACTGCTAGTCAATGTCAGTTTCTGCGATCCGATTCACACAGTATAGATTGGGACAAAATGCGCACATCGGCGCAATTTCAAACTTCATAGCCTGGGGTACAAATAGTTTGAAATTACACAATAACGAATACCGTCAGTCAGCTAACCCTAACTGACTACACCACAAGGTTGTGATTATGGAATAATCAATTTGATACAATAGATGATGCATATTGTGGATATTTTAGTCACGTACAAAAATGGACATAACTTACTGGGGGTAAACGAGGATCGCAGATCGTGTCGTAAATCATGAAAGATCAGCAACCAGACATATAATCACATGGCTATCTGGGTGATCACCGAAATTTTTAAGGACAGATGGGCAATGAATTGATCAGCACTAGTCCACGTATAACATAATATACCGTTTAGACCTTACTGAAGGAATGCGATAGCACCACTAAACCTCTAGCCATTAGGTATGTATGTGCAAAAGGTCAAATAGAAAATTGGCACCTCTACAATGACGATACTGTAAAAGATATAACAGAAACGAGATTTGAATGCCCAATGAGACGTATTCAATATATACTATACTATATTGAACGGAGATCCGCGGCATCTCACATGCAGCAAAGTAAGGAAGCATACGGACGACAGAAGGTAGATTCAGATAGTACCAGAGGAATAAGTGGTAGAAATGGACTATTCAACATAACTCAGCTGACAATGGTATCTCCCTGAAACCTTTATATAGGGTAATTCGCAGTATTAAAATACAATCTCATAATAAACCAAACAGTACGGATTTTCCTTATACTAGTAATTATCAGCAACGTTGCAATGGTTAAAGAAAACGGTCGCGATAACGCAACGTCACTAAAACAAGAGGTAAGTGACAAAGATTCTTGCATTAAGGTATAAACGAGCTAACATACTGGCTCGGACCCTTGCCTGTCAATCCATAGGCTCGAATTCTCTTACGACGAAAAGCCTCAAACTACAGGGGGAATATCCTTACAATGATTCCGTCACTAGATGCATATTACAACCGAAACTATACAAGGAACTGGCAGCACATCCGTAGATGGACACCAAAAGCCGGATACACCCTGGACCCTACCATTATAACTTAGAAATGCTGTTACGAATGTGTCCAGCTCTCTCAGGTACTCACTGAACCGTCCCCGCATCCTTGTCATCGTTCAAGATGCTCACCTTTTCCTCACCGCGGTATGGTTGCGGATAGCCCGCCGCGCCATAGGGGAGAAACTGCGCGTGCTGGAGTGGGTTTGCTGGCGGCTGCGGTGCCGGAGCAAAGCCCTGGGGAAATGCACCGTACGGCGCACCGTTCGGGTAGTAGCCATTGTAGCCCGCGGGGTCAAACCCCGCACCTGCGACTGGCGGATAACCCTGCGGCCCAGTTGTATAATTGACCGTGGGGTCGTACGGCCGCACCGAATTGTACTTTAACTCCGTCTGGTCCAGCGTGCGCCGACCCAGGCCCAGGCCTTCGGAGTCGTGGTCGTCATCGCGCGCGTTGTGGCTGCCACGCGCCAGGCGCAACAATTCGCGGTACTCTTCCGTTGTTTTTTTCTCGCCATGCTTCTGCGAGATGATGTGTGTGTTGAGGTGGTTTAACTTACCATACGCCTTGTCGCAGCCCGTGTGCGTGCAGCGGAAAATCCGGTCAATCTCGCTGAACTTACGTCTGAAGCGCTTGCGAGATTTTCCCGTGTCCTTACCCACCTTCGCCTGAGGATGGAGCGGCACCACGTAGCCGTTCGATGTGCGCTTCCAGATTTGGCTGTCGTGGGCAGCGGGCGCCGCGTAGTACACACCCGTCTGTTGGTGAGCGGGGTCGTTGAAGTAGGCCTTGGCGGACTTCGGTGACAATTCCTCACCAGTGGCGTAGGGCTGTTGGAGAGCGTAACCCTGGGGCTGCTGCGGCATATATGGGTATTGCTGCCCCTGTGGATATATAGGCACGTTGCGGTACATTCCGAGTCCTTCGCTGTTCCAGCCTTGTTGCGGAAAATCATTCGGTTGCTCCTGGTGCTGGAACGGAAGAAGCTGCAGAAGATACTCTTGGTTCTTGTTTGGGGCGCTCATCTAGCGGGTTAGTAGTGAAGCATGCAAGACGGGCAGGTACTTACTCTGGGCAACGCCTGGGAGTTTGCGGAGGTTGTGCTGGTGGCTCTTCCTAAGGTGGGATAGGCGTACATGGATGGTGGCCTGACGTATCGCTATCACGGGGCTAGCTGTCACTAGGGTTGTTTGTTTTTTTTTTGTTTTTTTTGGCTCAGGGAAGTACTGAAGTGTTGAGGTTCAGGGTGAGGACTGTGTATTTTGATTGTCGGGTTTTGGAAACTAGCGGCACTGACGCGTATATATACTGAAGCCCCTGTTGTGCACATTAGCCTGAGGAGCTTCCTAACGGACTGCAAAGCGGTGGACTAAGTCTTGCATAGGGCCGCAACATACAAACTGCCGTAGCCAAAGCATGCACGGATGCCTCGTGCAGCCAGGAGAGCTGGAATTGAGACGCATGTGCCAGGGGAATGCGCCACTAGCTATCTGCATGCAGCTGGGTGCTATGCTAGAGTGATGGCCAACGTGTTTGCAACGCATGTCGTAAAACATAGCGCCGTAGTATCGGCACAGGGCATTGTTGAGGAGTCGGAGAGGGTGCCAGCGAAACGAGCGATGTGAATGTGTTTCATGCGACGGCGATCTAGACCCCACGGCCGCAGGGTGGGTTCATCCGAAATGGCCCGAACGCTTCCATCTCCGTGTAGATGGGCCTGTTTATTGATAGAAGATCGCACAAATCTCTCTGTGGTGAGACTATTTCATAGTTGCAGGGACCTAGAATGGGGAGACCACCCATTAAAATCTACGCTTCTCTGGCCGCGCACCAGCACCACTCGATTCATGCTCCAGATGAGGGGTACTATTTATCAAAGTTCCATGCGCGAACGGACAAATATGCATGAATGTGCGTGCAGCACGCGCACAATGCTGCTACAGATTCTGCGGGTGCCACGGCACGGTTGTAAACACTCTTACAGGTCAAAAGCTAGCAATGTAACGTAAATGTCGCCATTAGTGGTGGTGCCGAAATTCTGCCAGCGTCGAGGCCATTTATCGGGATCTTCCTTCTGTAGTCGCGGTACACCCGTCACTTGAGATGTTGACAAGCGGTGTTATATCCAGAGGGACTTGTTGAAGAGTGTGACGTCACGACGGTTTCAGATCCTCGCTAAGGCCATATGCGCCGATAACCTCGAATTGGAAGACCCTCGGATGGACTGGACTCAGGTGGAATAGCTATATGCATCGATGACTGTCGGTGGACTGGCCGTCCACGGCACAATGTCGGAGAAATTGACCCTCCTTGTATAGAAGCAAGCGCATGCGACAAGCACATACAAGAAAAGAAATACAACTATCAAATACTCCGTCGATCTTTGCTTGGGGATCCATACCAGGTTCATTCGTCACAAGAGTCGTCTGCTTGCAGGCCTAAACAGTGCATGCAGTAATCTGCGTCGCTAGAATACGATCCACCAGTAGCGGATTTTTGTGTTTGAGGGAAGCTACGCACCGCCATAAGAGCAACGTGGCACGGCGATCCTTCATTATGGTCCCGAGACAAAGCACGGTTTGAAACTCCGGAATATCGGGCCATACTCAGGAGAGGTGAGAGGTACGGGACCAACCTTCCAACCCAAAGATCTTCGTAAGTTGGTCTTCTAAACTTAAGCATTTAACTGAAGGGTAAATTTAGTGCCTTCAAGGCTAAAGATTGTCACTGTACCTAGGCTAGTGTGGGACCTAGAAGTTTGCTAACCATCGTCAGTCGTATAACATGACTATGCATGAGCACGTGAATTTAGCTCCCTAAGTGCGGTATGGCCGACTTTGCAGATAGGCCTCTGGTAGAGCTCCTAACAGCCCCAACTTGACTTGGATTGGAGCCCTGTGCTCTCCTAGCTAAGTTGTTGGTCTGTAGCTATGGTAGTCCCAGTTGGTTTCAAAGAGCGACGTTTCACAGTGTTGGCTTGGGTCTGTTGCAATTTGGTAGTTATCGGATCAGATGTTTGCGCATGCACAACCGCGTTAGGCCAGTGGCGCAGAGGTAAGCATGGTGAGATTTAGGCCACACTTCTCTGTGGAATGCGGCAATATCAGCTGTAAACTCCGAGATTACTAACTTGGTGCGGAATTACTTTGGTTGACGAACACATTACCGTGAATGGCCTAGAAGGGGAATGCAGATATTAGACTTCTGCAGGCTGAAACCTGCAGCAGCACGATGGAAGCCGGCTCATAGACGAGCTTTGTTGTTGTATTGCATTCCGGTCGCCCTGAAGCTACGGCAAAACTATTGGCACAAGGGGGTCATACCACCTGGCCAGGGTATCTGCCGACCCACCCGAACCGATTGTAGAACAACGTCTGCACAAGATATGGATCACCCTCCAAAAGTGCCGAGGTGGTCCAGCACGTGCAGATGTGACTAGACCGACTGTCCATCTCTTTGAAGGTATCACTGTGTTATGCCAATGCCAAAATATGAGTATATGTGGCACGGCAAACCAAAATATTACAGACTGGGCGAGAGTGCGTCATTGCTTGTCGTGTAAGCAACAACAGCTCCATGGTGAGTTGGCTCAGAGTTCCGCTTGTACATGGGTAGCGCTGAGGATCCTCGCATTCTGGAAGCGAAGCACAGTCTTCCGCAAAATATGAATTATGTAAGCCGAACTACAGGGTCGTCTACCATGTTATCCATTCTATGGCCTCCTACTTGTAATGCAAGCACATTCCGGCTGCATGTTGGAATTATTGTACAACTGTTAATTTTGCCTGCCTTGTGTGATGTCAGTGAAGGTATAGGCTCGGCGACTAGATATCTGAACCTATCGGTCTGTAGATTAACGGACTTAGCCAATGCAGGCAGACAAAGAGAACTGACTAGAGCTCCTGGTGCATGATGTCACGCACCGCAAGGGCACTATGATGACTCTGCTGGTCTCACCTCCCCATATCGGCAGCTGGTGCAGGGATTAGGCTGGAAAAAAAAATAATAACACTCATGTAGATAGTTGTCTATGGGTCTTCCTACACCAGACTCAAACCCCTTACAATGATCCCAAGTGCCATCTTAGGGCTACCACCTCAGCAGGGCTCAGCAATGGTGTGACGATGATCTACTTTGGATCTCAGGGCCGTGATATATTTGGTTAAAATGGTTACATATGCCCAGACATGGCCCCATTGCATATGTGACATGGAGCTTGCTGGTGTAAGATTTGGTCATGCATGCACCGCGACTCAAGTGATAGGAAGGATCTACTATAGTTATTGAGGGGTTTTCCTAGAGCTACCCCCAGTATTTCTCAAAAGGACCCCGAAAAAGCGCTAGACATCACATACGGGACACTAGTGTCCACGGTGTACTTTCTCCGGCACGCTCATTAAGCCCAGCCCTCGGAGCTCTAGCTCAGAACCGTGGTGTATTCCAAATTGGAATAGTTCCGCATTCGACGCAGGGTGTTCCGGTGAGGGGATGACAGAGGGCATCTAAGCGTGTCTGCTTTGTTGATATAGACTGGTGAACCATATTTGGGCTGTCTTGTTGGGACTAGGCGTTGTCCGAGGTAAGGTCTGTCTAATGGTGGATTACACTTGCGAATAATAGTGATTGCTGTGGTGTATATCCTCTCAGTATTTATACGTATTGTGCATTTAATTGGCATACTATCGAGATAATAATAGCAGCGTAGGAGTGGGGCCAAGTCGTCTGTAGATTTAGTCGCATACCAATCTCAAAAGAGAATTTAGGCTGCTTCTTCAGTGGCCTTGAATCCACTCCCTGGAAGATCCCAGCTCCGATCGGTGTATAGTCGCCTATAAGAATACCATGAGGCCTAACTCCGTAGTCCGAATTTAGGACGCAGCTTTTAGTAAAAACTCCATTCATGGGGGCTGAAGCGCCGTTAACTCCTAGTCTCTGATTTAGTCTAAGGCACACCCCCACCGCTTAGTTAATGTCCAGCACTCCAGCACCCCTGCGCAACATCTAATATGTGGTGCTTAGCTCGGCTTCTATGGAATAGGGTCCTGAAGAGCTGGACCACTGTTGTTGTCAGCTCCTCGGTCTAAGTTATTTTTAGGCTGGCCTACGAAGTGAATATAAGGTGATATCCCTGCAGGGCTGGGGTGACTAGTCTAGGCAGTGAAGGCATCGGGATAATATGTGCGAAAGATCTTAGAGTATAATTTTCACTAGGACTCCTTCATGCCTGGGTAAACGGCTCCTCCCCGGAGCTGTAGATAGGTTTCTACCCCTATCATTGATCTATAACACAGCACTATCAGTTTACAACACAATGTGACAGGATAATACTGAAAAGGGTTGTGGATTAAAAGACCCGCCTGGATAAACAGGAACTGACTGGATTGCTGCGACTGGATTCAGCCCCTATTTGTTTGAAGACTTACAAGCGTGTGCACTTACAACTTCTTGCTCGACGAAAGAGACTATTAAAAGCACAGGTGGGGAATTAAAAATGTAACATAAATCCGAGAGACAGATATGTATAAAAATGCAAGAAACAAAAACTGTATATGATGAAAAACGAATGAATACTGATACAAAGTTGATAAATGCACAGGAGGACAAAAGAATTTTGAAGCAGCAATCTTTCAAGGAATAAATTAAAGGAATGATACGCATTTAAAACTCAAAGGGATTAAAACTCACCAGATACCCATTTTAACCAGGATGCCTAATGCTTAGGGAACATCTTTATAGAACATGTCCTGAAATATTGCTCTTTCATCTAGACAACTTTTGGATGAACGATTCCCAGTTATCAGAACAGTCCCTTTCCCGATTGGGACGTGCATATGTCTGTGGCGAGACTCTCAGTCGAATGTATCTGGTGCATCGGCTGTGGGGGCATGGGATAAAGTGCCTGGTTAAACCCTGGAAAGTCTAGCCCGAGACCCATGTTGAGGTTGTAGTCACCCGGAAGAGTCTCGGCGAAGGAACCGGCAGATCTGGCGTAGAGTGATTTCCCCATCTCCAAGGGCTCGAGAAGCCTCCCGAACCCGTAGCTACTATTCATATTGGCAACCATATCTGAATAAACTGACGAGTCTTCAAAAAGTGGCAGTCCAGCAGAATTAGCCATCGGGGTGAGACTCGGAAAGGGAAAATCAAACACGGAAGCGACTTCATTAAAGGGCTCGTTTGCCATTAGTGGGTTGAAGACAGACTCAGGCGGCGAAAGGAATAGTACCTGTGGGGCAAGAGCAGTTGAGGATGAAGTACGGCCTGGTAAACTAGCATGTGACCCGATAAGGACCTTCTGGAGGTGTGGAGTAGTAGCAGAGGCAGATGAAATGCTAGGCGAATAATTTTGTGAGACCACCAGCGAGTAATGGAGGTCCTTTCTACCAGAACCCTGGTCAGATTCTGGTGACGATCCACTAGGTGTTTGTGTATCGTCCTCTGGAAGCTGCAACTTCACCAGAAGGTCCACACTTTTCTGGAAAACTCTGGTCTGGCCTGTCTCCAAGCCAAAGTTTCTGAGAGCCCGTTGCTTCTTTGGTTTTGTAATCTTATCCGTCTTGGGTTCCTGCTTTAGCTTCGCCTCCAAATTAGCATTTTCTGCGCGCTTTTTCTCCAGTCGCCACCGCGTGCGGATTTCTTTAAACTCCTCAGGCAAACGTTTCGCCCCATGGCCCATTAACCGCGTGTGGATATTCAAATGGTTTAGTGTACCATACGCTTTGTCACAGCCCTGATAGCCACAGAGGTAGAGCCGCACAATTTCCTCCTTCTTCCGCCGTTTGCGCTTTTCTTTGGTGTCAGGAGAGGGTTCAGAACACGAACGTGTATGACCAAGTGAACGGGTAGGTGAAGAAGCAGCCGTGATGCACGCGTGTGCGCGCGCGCTGCGGACTGGCGATGAAAACGAACGCTGGTGCGCGCTATCCTCTTCCGGAAGGAGCTCGAGCCGTGAATCTAGTGTCGGAAGCACGAGAGGCAACGGAGCCGCGGTGCGCAATGGAGAGCTAGAGAGGTAGGGGCTGGAGGATAAAAATACGGATTCCAACGGGGACTGGAGGCTAGATTCGGCAAGGGGCGGTGTGAGAAAGTTTTCTCTGAAGGGAGACTCGAACGGATTGTTCATTGTGATTGGCTCAAGTGACGTAAAGGATTTTCTTAAAATCACTAATCTTGGCCGAGAAAATGGTTTAGGCTTGAGGGATAGGTTCTGTGTAGCCTATGATCTGCTGGTTGAGGGGAGTTTTGAGGGTTTATTGATGCTGGATGTTCTTTTTTTTGGCCAGAACGTTTGTCTTGATGGACTTTTCCCTTAATTTTTTGTACACCTTTATATGGAATATCTGTGTTCCAATATCTTGTTGGAAAGTTATGGTAGCTGGTGCTGGTAGGGGGGCTTCTTCGGTGACCTGGTCTGAATGAAATCTTAAGGGGGGGGGGCGTGTTCTTAAGTACCAACTTGGATAGGAGAACACGCTTGGTTTCGCTGGTTTCAACTTGCCTTTAGTACACAATAGTGGCCACCTCCCGCGTCGTTTAGGGAGGTGAGTCTGAGGAATTGGCCGTGTCTGGTTGGATTCAGGGCAACCTGCGATCCCTCACTCCAGTAGCTATCATCTGAACGTTAATTCCTTACATGCCGTATGCGTACTATATCCCACTCTGCATAAATGCTGCGCCAGGCTGATCCGCCAGATCAAAATTGACTGCGGTATCACTACCAAAAGAATCGCTTCAAACCCTTTCCATTTTAAATATATCTGCTAGACCTTCCTAATTGCTGTACTAGAGTCGGCCGATAAAAAACGGTGACTTTGACAGGCTACGTGGGCTATTTTTGGCTCGGAAGTAGTACTGCTAACTCCTGCATATATTTATTATACATAAGCTCGACCTGCAGCGAATGTATGTAATTTACAAACTTTCCTATTCAGGGAAGATGTAAATACCATAATTATCCAGGTTAGGAAACGTCAACACCCGTTTTGCCGCATTAGGGAATATTCAGTTAATGTAGTTCGGGCCTCTTACACTTAGATACTTTGGACCATCACAAATGCATGCATTGTCCCATTCAACCATCCAAAGTGTGTATGTAGTCTCGACTGTGTATTGTCTTCAGGCACAATCTGTTCATTGCGTGCAAGACGACGCCCTCAGTGAGATATGAGCATGTGTGAGAGGTTTTTGAATTTTTCAACTTTGGTGAGTCTCAATGGAACAGTAATCAGGTCAGAGACATCTATATAATTTAAGTGGATAACTGTGGACTCTTGCTAATCTGGGTACTGTGTATATCAGTAGAAAGCAGTACCCCCACCACGACCTTGTGTAGATAGCGATTACTGAATCAGCCTTTAGAGCCCTGGGCTAAGTTTGGTTGTTTTTTTTAAAATGAAATACTGAGTTTCAAGGAGTCATGTATATCAAGGATGGGCGCATCGTATATGCTTGTAACCCCGCATTATATGGAACATCCTAAGACTTTAGCTTGCACCCAGAGTTATATGTGTCTTATGTCTACTCCCTGATGGCGAGTTAAAATCCATATTTGAACCTTTCATACACCTTTTCGTTCTTATTTAATATCAGATTTCATTGTATGCTTAAATATACACTTCGTATGCCATTAGATTAATATCCACCTGGGACCGGGTAGTCAGACACCCAGGCACTGACCTCTCTGCCCAACACATTCACCTCTTCGTCCTTGACCACAAGCTTCTTGTATTCGATAAGCTTCTCGGCATCATTCATTAAGGAATCCGCAGCGTCAACCTGGCCTTGAATGCGTTTGCCGATACTGACAGCGGTATCGATATACTGCGCAACCTTATCAAATTCTACCGGGGTGAAGCTTCGAGTAGTCATAGCCGGAACACCAATCTTCAACCCATTTGGCTGCTCCCCAGAGGCTGTTCTAGAAGTGATCCCATTCGCGGTTTCGTACGACAACGGAATTTTGTTGGTGAGAATGTGGATTTTGTCGAGCATGAACTCTAAGCGGGAGCCATCAATACCCTTGTTGTGCAAATCGATAAGCAAGAGATGGGTTTCGGTACCACCACCCGCTCTCAACTTGAACCCTCTGGCCTTCAAAGCCTCCGCAAAGTGCGCTGCGTTGTCATGAACAGAGTGTTGGTAAATGGCAAACTCCGGCGAGTTGGCCTGCTTTAAAGCTACCGCAAGAGCGGCAATGGTGTGGTTCTGTGGGGAGCCCTGGCTAGTCGGGAAGTAGCTTGAGGATATGTCATTCTTCAAAGAGTGGGCATGATCCTGCTGGTACTCTGGCATACGGAAAAAGATCATGGCGCCGCGTGGCCCACGGAGCGACTTATGGGTAGTGGTGATCACCACATCGGCAAACTCAAACGGTGAGAACGGATAGCTCAGATCGCTGTTGCTACCTCCAATTTGTGACAAGTATGGCTCTGTCAACGCCCCCGAAATGTGTGAGATATCGCACAACAAGTAGGCTCCCACGCTGTTGGCGATCTCGCGCATTCGGCGGTAGTCAATCTTCCGGGCGTAGTTGGCAGTGATGGTCAGAATCAACTTTGGCTTGAACCGTTGCACCCTAGTGGCAAGGAGATCGTAGTCCAACAACCCTTCTGCGCCGGTGACGCGGAACATCTTGGTGTCGTAGTACTGGGCAATGTAGCCACCGTTTTGCTTGTCCGCGGGCATGTCTAAGCCCATAATCTTGTCCCCGGTCTTGAGCAAAGATGTGTAGACGTACAAGTTCGCGATGGCACCCAGCAACGGCTGCACATTGACGCCCCACTGGTCCGGGTTCAAGCCGAACAACCCCAAGGCGCGCTCCTGGCATAACTTTTCGCACGCGTCCACCACATCGTTACCACCGTAGTAGCGCTCCCCCACAAGGCCACCCTCGCTGTACTTGTTCTGGAACTCGGAGCCCAACAACGTGAGCACCGCTTGGGAGGTGAAGTTTTCAGCGCTGATCAAGGTGAGCGAGTTGCGCTGCCGCGCGCGCTCCTGGTTCAAGATATCGGCCATGTCAGGATCGGCCTCCTTGATTTTCTGGTTCAAAAAGTGCTGGTTGGCGACATTAGCGAAAGCGCTCTTGCTCTTTGGCGTTTCGGTCGCAGTGTTTGCTGCCACTTCGGCAGAGCCCTTCTTGAAGATGGAGGTTAAGATAGGGCGGATGGTGCTGCTGGTGGCGAGCTTGCGCAAGTTTGAAGGGCCAAGCGACGACATCAAAAAAAAATACGTGGATTCTAGTTGTTTTAGCGGGGAGTAGGCTTTCTGAGGGGTGGAATTCTAGGAATTGGTGAAAATTCTAGGGAGAAACTGGGAACAAAACTACTAGATGTCTGGAGAGTATCCCGGTGAGTGGTAACAATTAGCTAAATGGAGTGAGAGTGGAATTGAATTTGTTTCCGGTGGGAATCGCCTGTATTTATACAGTGAGGTAGCCGCTATGTCAAGGAGGCGATTATGCGCGCTCTAATGGAAGTTGCCCCTCACTTGAGATCATGCGTTGACGAAAAGGCGCGATAGGCGCGATTGGCGCGAAGCTTAGATTCCGAAAAAGTATAGGCTGCCATCTCGTCATCTGCGGCGGGAAGGCTCTTTTCGTCTGTTTCCGGTGCGGGTTAAATACTGACTAGATGACTAAGAAAAAAATTAAGAATGCTGCTGAGTTTTTCGGATGGTGAATCGCCTGACTGCAAAATATGACACTTCGCGCTATAAATCTGGATTAGTCATGTGCCTCGGCCACTGCCTTTGACGGGCAACTGCCTCGTTCTGAAAATGACATTTCAGAGACTTATACCCATATACTTTACGTTTCTCCGGCATGGTTCGCAGGCCTCCGTGGGCTAATCTTCGAAGACTGCATCTGGCCAATCGTGCGAGGGATTCCCGTAGCAATCCTCGCGAAAGTGCGCCTACCCCACAAAATCCTGCGCCTTTCAACTTCCGCTGGAGCAGAGTCCGTGACGTCTATTTACACTTGGAAAATGTTCCGCTCATGCCTGTATCGTTGGATTTTACCGCTCTAGTGACTCACGGTGGCCAACTATGAGTGAATTCTGACGTAATAAATACTAGAAGTGGATGTAACAGGGACGTGGGGATTTCTCTGGGTTTCCCGCGAAAGCTGTCAAGCTGGAATATTAGAAACACTCCTTGATACTAAGTCCATTCTATCATGGACTGACCCACTGCTAATGTACACAATAATGTCTAGGCCATTTTCACGTGACTAGGCAACAGTTTTGTCGGCGGTCCGATCTGATTTTCGGTACAGGATAAAAAATATGTCGGGTTTTTAAACATGTACTCTGGTTACCTATGTCAACACGCAAATAGCAATGGGTTCCTGAGAGACATTTCCAGTTTAGTAAGGTACTCCACGGATTTTTGAATAACCGAAGCCCTGTGATTAGGGCCATAGTTAGACGCGGTGTTCTGCTGGTTACGGTAAGAGGTCGACCCAACGGAGAGCACAACGTTGTCTTTACTCGGGCAAAAAAAGCCAAGTCCGAAACTTTTTCGCTTCATTCATTCGCTAAATTGCGCTCACCACTCTGGATATTTAGAGATTTCCAAGGTACTGGACTGGTAACCATTGACTGGTGTTTTTATGGGAGCATCGTACGTATCTAGGAGAGAGCTCCAGAGACCCTGAAAGCACAAAGGGATATTTCAAAGCTCTACATCACCTGAACATGAACTAGGTGACGGCATTGGTATGTTCACGTCATTTGACGCTATCCATATTGGAAGAACCATCAATGGCTTTGCATAGCTTGCAGCTGCGGTTGTGCGGCCGACGCGTGAAGTTAAACTCGAGTGAGAGGCTCTAAGACTAGAAAGAGTTGGAACTCATTAGGAAGTAAACGCTACGAGGCAAAGATTGCTGAGGGTTTTTGACTGGGGGTGAATCCTAGTGATGGAAGATTTTGTTCAACACTTCATAGAGGTTATGCTAAATATCGTTACTGTATTGACACTTAAATACCTAATGTGATTCCACACACTTCACTTGAAGCATATCTTGAGTTAATCGGTAACAAAAACTGTTAATAATATTGAGACTTCTCCAGCCGCAATACAACATATCTACTTGAGTAGAACAATATTCTATCTCAGTTAGGCTATCAAGGCGCTTTGTTTTAGTGCGTTATTTGGTGGCGTAGTCAGGCGCTACGAATCTCATTTTAGGTGTGGGTGGGCCAGGGTTCAGCTCCTACTCGACCTCTTTCTTTGCCTTAATTATCAGTTTTCTTTAAAAGGGGTATCGCTTTGAATTGGAGGTTCTTTTTGTACCGTATTATTTAAATGGTTGCCAATCGTAATTGTCTGCCCTTGTACCTGGATTATGTGCCATGCTCGTTATCTCAAAAGGTGATGCGTCTACACAGCCGCGTTTCACCGCCAGTACAGGCTATGCTACTCGCGATGGTCAGGTCTGAGTGCGCCAGCCTCACTCGATAGGCCCAAGCAGGCATAGGCGCATTTTTGATATATCAAAGAAGTCTTTATTGCCCATCAGTGCATAAAACTTGCATATCTTAACGACTCAGCTCTGTGGAAAGATCACAAGGGTCCTGCACGGGTCAACGTTAAGCTTTTTCAAGCCCCGGGCTGGAGGAGCGTAGATTTTCGTATACGTATCACTAATGTTTGGAAAAGAAAATCTTCCCGAAGATGAATCACATAAGTACGCCATATCCAGATTGACTATGAAAGAGATTTTGGCCAGCACTGCACCCACAAATAATTTACTCTATTAACTCCCTTTTCATGAAAATTCCTCTTATTGTTACGTTCCATATCCTCTCCGCCTTAGTACCTGTTACGGGTCATCCTGGTGATGTGGGGGCAGCTCAAAGTTTAAGGGTCCTGACTGAGACAGATGCCATGCTTACCAATCCAAATGCAATTGAATTTCCAGATCTTAAGGAAACCGTAATACGTGCTGAGCTTGTCGAAATCCCCAATTCCAAACGTACGGATTCACTTTTAGGTGAGGGGCAACCGGTGAATATAGGGCCATCATTTATGCCAGAGCATCGCATAAGTGTAGGTTCAAGGGGCGGCCTATCTGGAGGCACAAAGGGTGGTCTGTCTGGTAGCTCCAGTGGTGGCCTGTCTGGAAGTACAAAGGGTGGTCTGGATGGTGGTTCTAGTGGTGGTCTGGATGGTGGTTCCAGTGGTGGTCTATCTGGTGGCTCCAGTGGTGGCCTGTCTGGAGGCACGAAGGGTGGTCTGTCTGGTGGTTCCAGTGGTGGTCTGTCTGGTTCCAGTGGTGGCCTGTCTGGTGGCTCCAGTGGTGGCCTGTCTGGAGGCATAAGGGGTGGCCTGTCTGGAGGCTCCAGTCCCTTTTACTGGCCAGTTGTTATTCCTATAGTGGTGATTGCTGGCTCTGGTAATAAAAGGCACACCACAACCATCACCTCCACCACTACTATGTTGACTAACTCCACCACACCCTTGCCCGGTACCTTAACGTCGACTTCGTGGTCAACAAGCACAAGTACAACCACTAGTGTCGCTGGATCGTCAACTAAAACATCTGGGTCTACCTCTACTCCTCGGTACATTCCGGTTCATGTGGGGCCTATAATCTTGTTAATTCTGTGCGTCTTTATTCTCTAATTTAATATATGAATCATAATATACCCTACATATATTAAAGGTACCGTTTAACAGTGACGGTATCACCCCCGGCCCTCAGTATATAAGGAGACTGGCACCCCCTCTGTAGATATTTTACCTATAAAAAGTATTGGCCGACTGAATTTATATTTAACTAGATATTATATACTCATAGCATGCATAAACACAACTTTATCACCTATATATAAATTACATCATATCCAAATTCGAATTTACGAGTTCCGTGATTACATAGCAAACTGAGATTCTAAAATCCAAAGCTTAGCTTACCTGGGATTTTTAGAAGTAAAATCATATATATATTGTTATCTTACCAACCCCACTGGATATTTACAAATGACGGTGACCCCCAGTACGTAAAGAGCCACGACCCTTACCCTCTATATATTTAACGTGAAAAGTAGTTTACTTAAATTAGGCAGTATAATACTATCGCTATTTCAAACATTACAGCTTTATATATTCATTATCCTTCAACATATACCTTTTATGTGTGCGTGCCGTGCCTATTTCCCCTTGCATCTAAATGCATAAAGTTCAAGAGACGATGTGACATCTGCCGCTCAGGGACAATCCTGTTATAGAGGAGAGGTACTAGCCAAAACCTGTCGAACACAAATGGGGTGCTCGTTTCTACCCGCTCATTCCACAGCTACGGTACTGTTATGAGTATTTACAACGTTATAACCGCATTCAAGTTTCAAACAAATTTAGGACCTCCACCCATACACCTGTTTCGTTGTACAACAGAATATTCGGGGGATGATATTTATAGGCCCAGCTAACGCAGTATGCATGTCTACACCTGCGACCACACCCTTAGGCCTGAAGTTACAACACAAATATTTCAACTCATCCAGAGTACTGTAGACCTGGTGGGACCTTCGGATAGGGTCTGCTTCATGCACCATAGCTGGCTATATACATTTCATATAGCTCAGGCTTATCGGAATAAATCTTTCACTCAAAATTTTCCTATCACCAACTGCCAACATGAGAAGAATGACGAGCCTAGCCAACATTATCCAGGGCAATGCGCATCTTTTTGGCACAAGAGACGCACGCCTCGCGATCGCCCCTGTACCTCGTCCTCCATATTGGTTTAATAACGAGCCTGCATGCCACTGTTGCATGTGCAGTCAAGATTTCTCAGAGGCGAGGTGCGACTTAGGCAGCTTAAACACGCATAGAACCCTTCTAGGAAGGTTCTAAAAAGGGGAAAATCACGCTTGAATTTCACCTATGGTGATAAAAGCAACAAGAACCGACCTGGCATTCACAAAGCTTACGCTTAGCAGATGCATCATGCATAGACGGCTAACCCCTCCTCCCAGATGGTGAGTACATCACCAAGGCGACGCTGGGCAACAATAACAAGTATAAAATAGGTCACCGATGTTATTAGTAAATTGGTTGCAGAAACACTAACGCGAATAAGGAAATTCTGGCCCGTGTGAGCAAAGTATATAACGCGTTTGCATCCCTCCACCGTGAAGGATTTCTTCATCCGCCTGCTTGTACACCTAATCCACTATATGAAGTTATTAAATCCGCTACTTTTGTCCATCTTCAGTATAATATCTTCTGCAAGTGGCGCTCCCACGTCTGTCAAGAGAGGTAATGACCAGCAAGGCGTGGTGAAGGTCGACTTCAACGTCCACAGAGGTTCCTCGGTCGGAACCGCCCAGTTGGGGGCTCAGGCCAAGCGCAACTTCAAGAGAAACACAGATGGCACGGCTGCCATCGTCTTGGAAAATGAGCAATCATTCTACATGGCCAACATGACCATTGGCTCCAACCATCAAATGGTTGGCGTCTTGCTTGACACTGGCTCGTCCGACTTGTGGGTCAATGGACGCGATAATATTTACTGCTCAAAGACCTCAACAACAGGAGATAGCACTGTATCCAAGCTCTTAGAAACTAGAGATACAACCTCCATTGACTGCAGCCTTTACGGCACCTTCGACACGTCTATGTCTACCTCCTACAAGAGCAATGGCTCCGACTTTGCCATCTATTATGCCGACAATACGTTTGCAAAGGGAGAGTGGGGCCACGATGATGTTACCTTCGGCTCAGTACTGGTGAATGACCTTTCCTTTGCTGTCGCTGACGAGGCCACGTCCGAGGTAGGTGTCTTGGGTATTGGATTACCTGGCTTAGAGACGACCAAGACTCAATACGAGAACTTGCCTATGAAAATGAGGAGCGCTGGGCTTATTCACAGCTCCGTCTACTCGATATACTTGGGTTCTAATGCCGAAAAGGGTACCATTTTGTTTGGTGGTGTTGACACTTCCAAATACCAAGGCCTCTTGAAAACAGTTCCTATGGTCGATGTGGCATCCAACAGAATCCAGGTTGAGATGAACGACATGACTTACAACGGTATGAGTTTCTTTAACCACCAATTCTACCCCGCTCTTCTTGATTCTGGGAGCACACTCTCCCTGTTCCCACAGGCCGTCATTGATCTGATCGTCTCGGTGATTGACTTGCAGTACTACGAAGAACTTGCCTCATACATCGGCTCGTGTTCTATGATTGAATCCAGCAACTTTACCTTTAACTTTGGCGGTGCCAGAATCGACGTTCCGATGTTCAACTTTTTCTTCGAACATATGGTGGTCAACGATGATGGGGTAAGCAGAACCTGCGTGTTAAATGTAGGAGTTAGTGATAATGTTACCTTGGGTGACAGCTTTTTGAGAGGCGTTTACACTGTTTTCGATATGGAGAAGTATGAGCTCTCCTTGGCCACTGCCACTTTCGGTGACGATACTGAAAATATTCAACCTTACGTCGACTCCGTCCCAGGTGCCATTCTCATGAGCAAGATGACATTGGTGCAAATTTGTTTGATGTGGTTGCAGGGGGTTTACCTTTAGGTGTTTCTTACATTCTTTCACCTAGGGCCAGGTTTTGCCTCAACTTTGCATCCTCTCACTTTTTCTGGCTTTTACTCCCAGGCTTTTATAAACCATTACCAAAGCTGTGAATCCGGGGGACCAATAACCGCCTTTTATCTTTTACCTTTGATACACGGTTGTAACGGTATGGTAATTTATACAGAGATGCTATTCTCCGGCGATATCCTGTACTTGCTACAGCCCTTACCTTCTTCCTGTTTCCTTCATTTCACACCCTCATTTATTCACCTCCACTTTTAAGCATATAGAACCCCAAATTAATATTAACCATATCTTTTTTTTTAACTATCTAATTGTAGTCCCAGGAAATGTGCCGCCGACGTTAAGTGTCTTTTTTTTTGATGATTTGGGATAGCGATTTTACATTGCATAAGAGAAATTCAACTAGGTAAGGCAATCTAACCAGGACAAAAAACCACAAGACCAGTCTCCCTACATTTAAGTATAATACTCACAAGTCAAATTATAAGCTAGAGGTGTATATAGATTGTGGAATAAAGCGAATCCTCAACAGAGGATTGAACTAGAAGCTTTTTGTAGGCGAAAGCTTTACTAGCACCTTACCAGACCTCGGAGCAATTGAACATCCTGATTGCTCGTACTCTACCTGGCATAGTGACTTCTTTGAACCGATGCCACTGAGTCTGTTCCGAGCCGTACTTCCAGAGCAATACCCGATACGACGGGCGGCTAACCCTGGACCAAGGCCTTGAATCTACCGTTGGGGTAGTACAAGTCAGCGTCGGCAACACCGGCATTTCTTTGGAGGAGACGCAAGTGCCAGGTGGCGTATTCCAAGTCGTGTTTCAACAACTCGATGTCGTTGATGTCGTTCTTGATCAATTTGGGCTTGATGTAGAATTTGGTGGCCAAGACTGGGACCAATAAGCCGATGGCAAAACCGATTTGGGCGTTTCTAGCAACCATTGTGTGTGTGTATAGGGGCGATTGTCTTTCCTGTGGGTGTAGGAGAGATGCGTGTGAAGTCACGGAAAGTGGATTGAAATCAGGGGGATTCCTTGCATATTTATACAAGCCGAGTAATTCTCCGTCGTACATAAGCAAACTTACTGTCGCCGTGATAGGCGTGCATTCCTGCACGAAATGCTTGTGCCAGGTCGGCACATCTTTTTCTCGCATGTCTCCGGGAGTTGTCTGAGTGGCGGCAGTGGGTTTTTCCTTAGCCGGCAGTCACCAGGAGATAGCACAAGGCAGTGTCGGAGTTTTAGTTGGAACATTGACAACGCGTTTTCAGTGACTATGAAACTCTAATACTCGCCAATAGTTGCTATCATAAACTATGACCTGATATTTACTTGGCCTGGCTAATCCACATACGGAACAGCCGGCTTTTCGAAGCGTTATAGCAAAAGAAATTTGTTAGAGAGTGATTCGCAATAACATTTAATAGATATTGTACTTCATTCTCTATTCCTCTGTCCATGGACGAATGTGATCCATCATCAGGCTTCCCGGACTTGGGGTCACGTACAAGTTGCACTTTCGGTGCCGAGCTGCATGGCTAGTGCCTCGCACCAATTTTCGCTTTTGACGCACTCCGCGTCCACTTCAGGCAATTTTCCCCACGCTGATACGGAAGTGCTGACTGTTCAAATCACGTGATGCAATTCTCACCTCATTAGTGGCCCGATTATGATTTCATGCAGAAACTGAGCGGAGCAATAGGTGAATGATTTTTTTGCATAGCCAGGAAAGTTGGTTTAGTAACAGGCAATGTACCATGCTGATACGAAAGATAGACGGCTTGAATAGATGGAATATCATACGTACTTTTCCGAATGACTTCAGTGCTCCGGCCATATATTCCACCGGGAAACGATGACACGGCTGGCATTAGACTAAACTCTCGTACGTAGCTTCCACGCTAACACCCCGAGGCTTAGTGTAAGTCCTGGAATGTCTTTGGGAAGGAACCAGTTCAGAGCATATGCACGATTCCTTTAATTACAGCTGAAAAGTAACGATGTAGTTTTATGACAGACTTGAACGGCTGTCCACCAATATTATATTGAGTCGGTATTGTAGATTATACGCACAAAACCGAGCCCACACGGAACCCTCGAAACGTAGTTGCAAAATGGGTTAGGACGAAATATACATCTCGATGGATATCTTCGGAAAGGATACCGGAAACCCCGCAAAGATACACTATTGAACGGAGTTAGACCTCGGCACTTTGCAAAAATAGTGGCTCCTCTCACAGGATCTAAGGTGAGAAACATTAAATTACATAATTTCTAGTTCTTTTCAAAGGTGTTTTTATAATACAAAATGATTGAGGTAGTGGACCTCAGTATATATCATGACAAAACCAGTCAGACAGGTATCAAAGAGGTACGATACGCACAAATGGTTGAGGTACAGCTTAACAGGGCCTGAATTTGTCAGACCACGATCATACCGGCTATTCTGCCGCTTCTGTACCATAATTGGCGACCACAACCATGGTTTCTTGGCACTACTCCTTTGATCCAGTCAAAAAAAAGTGCAGGATTGTCTTGTATTGCTTCAGGTTTTCGCCTGGGGTAGGCTTGTAGTATGGATTTGGCAGGGCCGGGTGATCAAGAGCCGCCTGGTGCGGTAGGGTCATTCCTGTCCTGTTGGCGTTTGTCACATTCACGCATGCTAAACGGAGACTCGCCAAGTCTTCTCTTACCAGTATCCTTTGGAGTTACACTTTTGGACTTTTCCTCCAACACGATGAATCCCTGGCCGTGTTGTAAAAAAGTGAGCGTTTCATCAAGCGCCAAGCATACACGAAGGCAAAAGAAAGAGCCCTCTCTGAGTGGAAGCGCCATCCGAAACGTCTCAATCATCATGTTGATGATATGGGCTTGGTTTGCCTTGTCTCGCTTGAAGTCTATATGCAACCACTCAGCAAACTGTCGGCTATCTGGGTCCAGGAACCGTTCGTAGAGCGCAAGGAACGAGACCGGAGTCAACGGAGAATTTTCTTTTGTCTTTTTGGATAAGTTGCGAATAGAAAACGAAACCACGATCCAGTTTGCCCTGACCAAGGTGAAGAGCACCCGCGTGCCTAAAAGTCGGTCCACTGAGGGAGCTAAGAACTGGAGAGGAATCAAGTTCTCTGGCTGCGGCGAGTCACGCTGGTGGGCCCACTGAAGAAAGTCAAAGCCCTGCTTGAAGAGAATTAGCCCCTTTTCAAGGCATGCCCCGAAATGCTTGAAGAACACAGGATTTGTGGCAATGTTCTGGTCCTTCAGGCGGCCGGAAATGATGTGGTGCAACTGAAACGAGAGTAACATAAGGTGGAGCCGAAGATTGTACTGATGTGCCCGTTCAAGCATCTCGAGGAGGTCTAAGGAGGTGGGGTCCTCGGTGATGGCTTTTCTGAGCTTGGTGGAAGCTCTCCCATCGTTAAAAATCTCAAATACAGCCAACTCCTCGAACAGACGGATGTGGTTGTCGGCCATAAACTTGTCAATCAGCTCGATTGCTAGTTCAAGCTCGGCACGGGGAGGACCACCGCCGTCATGGCGGATACCGCAGCATCTCCGAGTGATCCCGCGGGAGAGGAATCCACTTTCGTATTTCATTTTCATCTGCGCTATCGATACCTTTTCGCGCTGTAAGAAGTGCGTATCACCGCTGGCATTGTGTTCGGCGATCAACTCGGGGTAGAGGTGCGGTAATTGGGTGTCGTAGGCATCATCTTTGATCACTAATGGGCACCCGAACTTCATGGCCCGGTATGCATCGAGGTAAACAATTTCATGCCAGACCTTACGCCGCAGATGGAGCATTCTATGGGTGTATGGTACGGATTTCGACGGGTGTTCCTGGGGGAAAGAAAGGGGCGTCTTGTCTTTTAAAACAGACCGTTTCGTTAATGCTTCATAGTTTGAGCAATCTGTAGGAGCTTCGTTTTCCGCAGACAACTCTACGTCAACGTACCTACCCAATTCGCGGTGCAAGCCTAACAGCTGGGCCATCTGGACCAACATGGCGAGTAGGGTAGAGGAATCGGCCCCCTCGTCACCGTCTTCCGGGGCATAGATCCAGTAGAGCTGGCAGAGCAACAGTGCCTGGACACTCCGGAAACTGACGTTCTCATGGAACGCCCCGTAGGCAAAACAGGTTCTGGCCGACTCAACGAACTTTGTGTCAATCACAATACCTGGGAGGTAGATCTCGCGGTAAATATCCAATAACAACTTGTTTCCCTCCGGCATAGGAACACCATCGGCAGTGAGGGCGATTTTCAGATACCTCTCAGGCCAGTTGGGCTGCAGGAGGTCGCGGAGTGGTAAGGAGAGATAGGCAACGCGGAGGATGAGGAGGAGCATGCTGACAGAAGCGAGCTTCTGATAGTCACTGCCTACTTCGAAGTACGGTCGGCCAGTCGCCGGGTCCACGAACAAAAACGAGTCAAGCTCTTCAAGGAAGCTCTGAGGGTCGATAAAGGCCATGGAGAAGGCACCAGTGCGGAAGAAGTGTTTCACCAAAAGCAGAATCACAGAAATGCTTCGGGGAAGTATCTTGTTGATTTCGCCGAGCAATATCTTCAACTTTATCGTGTACGCGTTACCTTTTCTTGAGCGGTCCGAGGTCAGCAATCCAACCTTACTGGTTTCATTGTCTTTGTCATGCATCCGTTTGGTAAAAGATTGGCTGGCTGTCAAGAAGGAGTCCTGCAGTAGGATCTGCTCCCCATCGTCTGATCCGACATGTTCTATGCCTTTGAGCTCAGACGTGTTCTCTCTACCACCGGAAAGAGTGAAAGCTGGTGCTTCCACCGAAGGCGGGAGATCTGCTGCAGCGGAGGCCGTAGCGATATTGTGTCTCGGGATGACATCAGGGCAAGATGAAGTCTCAGGATATGAATCCAGGCAAGGTGCTATCACTTGAGCGGTTTTACTCACAGCGAAGCGCTCCACCTTAGCAAGATTTTTCAGAACCACACCGCGGAGCACAGGGTCGTTCTCCAGAAACGCAAATGTTGATGTGATTCCATGGAACACAGGCTTGTTGGCACTATTGACCGTGAAGAGCGTGAGTTTCTCATTGACGTTGATTGTTGGGTTCTGGATTTCCGGAATCACCGTTTCATTCACCATCGTAGGTACCTTGGCCGCCTTTGCTCTTTTTTGCTTTGTCGCCTCTAGCTCCATCACTGCCACCTCATCCAGGAGGCCCAACTGCGTTGTGCGAAGCTCAAGAGCCGCGACCTGTTTGCGCAATTTGGCAACATCTTCCACCAAGCTAGTATCACGTATGATCGATTTTTGCCAAGCATGTTTCGCGTAGCGACACAAGGCCGTAGAGTCATTTTCTTGGCAGTTCTGGCAGTACGGCTTATGCCTATCGCACTTGAGCTTCCGCTTGCGACAAACCGAGCATGTTGTGGGGATTCGAGTGCGCTTTTTCAGCAGCTGGCTAGGGTAGGTCAGGAATTCTTCCAGGGGTTGATTTAGGTACGGGTCTGGGAATTGTTCAGTAAGCTGAGTTTCGACGTAGATCTCTAGATGGGGAATGCTTGAGTTTGTATGGGATATATTCTGAGGCAAATTTTGTGGAAGATTCAGAGATATCTGTAAAGGGGCATGTATGTGCCCTTGATTCATTTGGTGGGGTACATGCTCCGATGTTTGAGGGTACTCTTGGGGATTCCGCGGGGGTATTTGTTGAATATACGGCCGCTGCAACTGCCACTGCTGCGTCAGATGAAGCGTCTGCTGTGGAGCACCATAGCTCTGTGGGGGTAACTGGCAGTGCGGTTGGCCATGCGACTGGAGATGTTGGGGTTGTTGTTGGTAGTTTGGTTGGAGCTGTCGCCGTTCATAACCGTGCTCGTTTTGAGACTGCTGGGAAGGAAGTTGGCCAAACTCCTGAAATTCTGGATCCACAAAACTGCCTGGGGCGCAGTAGCCGTTTGGGTGGTACATTGGATGGTGCCTTTATCAACTGACTGACCTCTTAGCTGGTATACGTTTAGCTGATAAATCCCTAGCTGATAAACGTTTAGCCGACAAGTGTTTGACTGAGAAACGTTTAGATGATACGTATTTAGTTATATATTGTCTTGAGGGAGCTGTTATAGCAATCTCAGTTAATCGTACCAACCATAAGATAGAAAAACCTACGGCAAGTGATGCTTTCTAATGCCAGTGATATCTTGCAGGTTTAGTGTGATGTTCGACCCATTGTACTAAGGCAGATGCGGCTTAATCGCTAATTACACGCTCCAGCAAAACGGGACGTCTGTATATGGGTCACATGCTTACCGGAAGAGTCGCGGAGGCCTGGTGTCATCTTTTTTTTTTACAGCGACGCTATACTTAGTACCTAGCCGGTTTTAACCTCCTATTCTCTATCACTGGTCTCTCTGCAATATACACGGTAGCTTTGGGGAATCTTCTGCCGTCGCCAGCAGACACGCGCCTATCGTATGGCATCGATTGTGTAGTAAAGGAATACTTTGCTACTTTTACATCTTTGTTCTGATGTCTCAGATCCATATGTACGTTGCCTAATTTATGGGTATGCGGACAAAGTGTCCACAGGACATTTACGACAAACTTTCTGTACCATTGGTTTCCCCCTGAAATATATTCCAACGATAAGTAACCTATTTAGCCCAGTAAAGTTTTACTTACTCTAGGAAGTAACATACAGATTGTATGTCTGTGTTAGCCAATCAGCTGGAGTCACCTTTGGTGATTCCCTAACTTCCCCTGGAAAACCACCTGGCTTCTCCGCAAAAACGTGCTCTGCACGTGGATTCGCGGAGCAATGTTTTGCGTATGCAACTTATACAAAGCACTTTCTGAATTTCCCGATGTAAAGGTGACACGCCTTGTTTCAATGATTTTGTTCGCTTTCAACTAGTTCTTTCAAAGACCCTATCTATTTATAGCCTGGTTGGCTTGCGTTGCGTATCCTGTTAGATAGTTGTTGATTGCTGGGTCGGTACGAAGGAAACATGATACAACTCATGTATATCAAAACTCCCAAGAAGTTATGAGGGATTTAAAGTTAACCAGATCACTCGACGTTTTTTGTGCGGTTTCGGTAGTGGTTGTAGGCCCTTAAGTACCTACATGCCCTATTTTTGGTCCAAGAGAATTTATTATTTTAAAATCCAAGTTCCGGTTCCAGAATTCGAAGTGGACCTGGTCATACAGATTTGAACATATGACCTTGCCTATATATTAAACTTCTTGAGCAACCCCAAGCCTTATGCATGCATGAACTTTTAGCTATCAGACAACCTTTGCGTTCTTCGAAAGTCTTTATTTGAAGTCAATTTTCACTCGTCACTTCGGTAGCAGTACCAACGAATTGTCTTACGCAGGAATTTTGTGGAATATCCCTACCTCGAGGGTAGGATATCTACTTATAGTAGTATACTGATTGGAGATATAACTTATATAGGATAAAAGAAGGGATCGACCTCATTATATAAGGTATCAATACCTATCACATGACCACTACACACTACAAATTTGACCTAAACGAGTAAACGATCTGACTTCTTGGATTTATGTTATATCTACAAATTTGTGCCAGTTATGCTATATAAAGTGTATATTTAGTGTAAACTTTTATAGTAGAGCAGACGAGGGAGGTAGAATGATGACTTTGAGGATTTCTTATGCCTTACTCCTACGAAGCTCTTGGTTGGGGTTTCCAACTGACATACCAAATCGATTTCACACAGGTGTGTAACGATACAAGCACCTTGGATCATTGGGCAGTCGGGAGAGTCCCTCCATTTGGGTAGTCAAAACACATGACAATTTGGGCCACAGCTATCACAACGTGGTTAGCAGGCGTAGACTGTATAGGACTACTCATATCGAGGATACGGCCGAAAGTTATTTCAAGCCTAGTCTGACACGCCTTGGCTACCTTGAAATCTTGTGGTGTTCTGGTGAATCTAGACCAGACTTATTATCCCTACCAGTACGATTTCTGATAGAACTTCTGTTCTATCGCCACATTCTGCTCGAATGGTTGGATTTGCGGTTGCAGGCTCAAGGCTCGTGATGCTTCCATCATCATTTCGACCGTCTTGTAGTGGAGTTTGGAGTCTGTTAGCTGCGTGGCCTGGAACCGCTTGGCAGGGTTAGGATCAAAAACTGTGATATCACTCGATTCGTTGTATGATGCCGGCATATGAGTCTTTTGCAAGACAACTCCGGGCGACGTGTCAGATGAGTCCGAATCACCTCTGCTTCGTTTCCTAGATTGCATTGGACAGCTCAGCTGGACGGCAAACCCAGTGTTATTGTGGTAAAATGTAGACCGATGCATCTTGGGTGGGGGGAAGTCTGAAGCCGGAAGCTATGGTTCTGATGAAATTGTTTTCGAGCGTACTTTCCAATACAGAACTCATGAGTCTCCACGCGTCTGTATCGTTTTTGCTTGTACATTAGACGCGTCTCCAGCACGTGACTTTCTCTACTCGGCGACAAATCACGTGTGGTAATTTTTTTATAGCAGATACACTGCTGTAGTTCAGATCACCCGTCTAGCGGACAAATATATGGCATAGAAGCATCATGACTAATGCGGGAGAAGGAATTCCACCAACCCTTTGATAGCACTAGTAATTACCATGCACGTGCTTATATCTATCCCGTTCTTCGAGACCGCCAAGAGATCCGACTAATCAGCAAAGTGTATTAAAGCAATTTCTAAAGGCAAATGCCAAGCATTTGGGACGGCGATCGCCATAGTGCAGGGAACGATGTGATTGTTCGGTTGATGTCATTAGGGAGCCTGCAGTGTACTTTCCACACAGCATAGCCCGCATAGATAAGATAAAAAGGTGGTGGTGCCCATCTGCAAGTCACATTTCGCCGACCCAACCACACCTGCAGAAAATTTGTCATTCAGCCTTGTAGCGTATTGCTTCTGTCGAAAGTTTGTGTTATCTTTGCGCTCACGTGTTTTTAATGTCAGCGAGGTCACGGGATTGCGGGGAAAACGAGGTTAGAGTATGGCGTCGCACTGGCCCTAGTTCAGACGTGCGTATGCGGGAGTTCGGGAGCCAAACTTCTGTTCTGCGGACGCGTGCCAACGTTTGGAGTTGCGCTTCAGTTATGAACATGTAGGACGTCATCAATATACTTTGCTTATGTATGCATCGGTTATACCGTAGCTCGAACCTTGGCTCTTCTGTTTGTTAGTGGTTACGAGCTACCAGGGCAGTGCTTTCACTGTTTTTATTCCAGCGTCCGTCATGAATCGCCACTGGCATGCACCTCGTATATTTCCGCATCCACAACTTCTACCCTGTTTGGGAGAGGCAGCCTTTAACCACAGGTCGACCACCCGGAACCTGGCCCTTCGCTTCTTTGCTCTTACCGTAGACTTTCAGCTGTTTTCGAATTCCCAAATTTTTCTGCTAATATATACACCCAGAGAGACAATCACCTGCCTCATTCTCGTGAACCTATCATCCATCGTTGTCGTGTTAGATAGCCTGCACGCAGCACGCCGCAGGCCTTGGCGCAGGCATGGGCGAGCCCCTGAAGTCATGCTGCCTCTACCTGCAGGAAAGCTATATAACACTGGCGATTCCCGTTTTCTGGGCTGGCTGGTATTTTTTTCAGCCCATACCAATCCTAGCATTCAATCCTTAGAGTTAGCATTCTCTTCCTACAATCAGCATTATTCGGCTTACGGCTTTTTTTACCTATCCAGTCTATATATTCCACACCATTCAATGTCACTCAGTGACCCCTGCCGAAACTCTCGTCGGGTGTCGTTCAACAATATCCAGCCATCTGCTTGCAGCTCGGGCTCCGTCGCAAATCCCACGGAATTTCCCCAACACACACCACCATCAGCAAATGTAAACTATGTCTACAACAACGGTAACAACGCCGCGAAAAAAGATCTAGACTATGGTTTCGCTTCTGCCCCGATGAAGAGCCATGATCTCGAGCATATGTACAGTTTCAGCTTCGGCAAGGAGAAAAAAGATCCCACCAAGTCACCCATGGCGGAGTTTTCCATGGGCCAACCGCAGCAGCGGCGTGAACGTTACAAACTTCCGCCTGCGCCTTCACGGGGAATTCTCAAGGCGTATGTTGACGAGCCTCCCATGCTCGTGTGCCGTCTCAGTCCCGGAGAGTCGCCTAGTCTTGATCATGCGCTTGATCAGGAAACTTCCGACGAGGAAAGCGACGATGAACCAACATGCAGCCCCAGCTTCTCTCCGCAGACACGCAAGAAGTCCATTGCCGAAATGACGCCGGAGGAGATCATGGCACTCGATTCGGTGTACGACACCCGGAGGAAGGTAGATATCGAGGGGATGAAGTTTGACCACGAGGATAACTCGTACTTTATGCTTTCGGCCGCGGCTGGCCCGGCGGTGTCTGAGCAGAAGCAAAAGGAGGCGATTGCAGCGAAGCTCGAGGGGCTTCACTTTGGAGATACGGGGTATCCCACACGGCCAGTGGTGGATTACGGCGCCATTACACTTACACAGGAGGTAAGCTTGGGTGAGAAGTCGGTCGCTGCAAGCGAGGGGCTGGGCGAAATTGCTGCATCCGAGACCAGTTCTCTTCCTGGTCTGGGCCTCACCGCTGTGGCGACAAGTCCCCTCTTTGTTCCGGTGCGCAAAATCCTATGTGTCCTCGACGAACGCAAACTGCATCTTCGCCGCCCTATCGACTGGTACTTCCACAACATGTGCCAATCCGGTGACCATTTCATCGTGGTTGAGTCCGCGGACAGCATCTGGGGCGAATCAGACCGTCACAACAGTGCTGACTCCACAAACTTTTTGCAGCCCCCCGAAACTAAGCCCAGACGCCGCTCCAGCGCTGGAAACGAGTTGGACGATTACATTTCACGCACCTCCGGCCGCCGCCCGTCTGCAACTCCAATGCCGCCCGTGGTTCCAGAGGCGAGGAGAGCATCCACCACTGCGCGACAGGTCAGACTGTTGGAAACCCACGCGGCCGCCTTGCTCCAAAACTTGGTCGGGTATCCATCAAAAAACATTAGTTCTGGCTCCATCAGAATCACGGTGGAAATTGCTGACATATCGCTTAAAGACACGATCAGACGGACAACAGAGATCTACGAGCCACATCTTCTTCTCATCGGCGACAAGTCAAAGAACCTCAACCACCGGTTTATTTCGACCGTTGGGAATGGAGACCGTGGTAGCGGCACTAAGTCGAAGCCCAAGCGAATTGTGGGCTTGGCAAGATATGTCATGCTGAATTGCCAGTCGTGTCCTGTGATTGTGGTGGGAAGGGATGCCTCCTGGGAGGATGATTCGCCACAACGGTTCCGAATCAGCGGAATGGTCGTGGAAGACGATGAAAATGCTATCGTACTGGACGATGAACTGATCAGGTCGGACCAATCTGAAGAAATCCCCGAGTCTGGCCTTGTCTGGAGTGACCCCACCAGTGACTACTTCACCCGAATGGTCACCAATCCATCAGACATTTCGTATAAGCAGTCTATGGCATACTTAGCCCCAAAAGAACTGGAGCCAAAAGCATACACGCCTACGACCTCCATCCAGTTCGCAAGCGATGTCAAGCAGCACGATGCTACACCGCCTGACCTCGCGCGCTATACGTCGCGCGCGTCAGTGCACGCACCGCAAGACAAGATGCAGCGCGTCAAGTCGTTGCTAGCCGGTGACGACGATACCCCGCTCTCGAAGCAAGTCTCTGCGTCATCGTCATTTCTGCGAGCTGAGCGGAGCAAGACGAACACGTCAAGCGGAAACCTGTTGCCGATTTATTCAGGGGTTTCGCTTGGTCTGGGAAAAGGCGAAGCGACGCTTCAGTTGCCAAACTACGGCGCGTCTTTGGTCGCGGCAAAGTCTCAGCCCGACCCTCTGCGGCGAAAGAGCACCAACAGCTTGCACCTATCCAAGACAGCGTCAGTTGACGGCGAAAAGAGCGGAGGACTCTTCAAGATGTTTGGGTTTGGGAAAAAGACCAAGAAGTAGTATTTTTTGTACAGTAGTCACAGTAAATGTTACAACCGGATCGAGGTGTAGTCGGTGGATCTAAGAGTTTAACCGGATGGATGTATGCACGTGCTTCATTTATAAATCCACAGTTTGGTTTATAACCGTATTAAAGGGGGGAATTAACCTTTTGTACGGATTACACTACTCCCCCTTAATATTCACCCAGTTGGCTTTGCCATCCTCTCTTTAGATATTGGCTATATATTGTCTGGTACGGCTTGAAAGATCTACTATTATCCTTAGATATACCACTCAGGTTCCCTACATTAATACCACTTACTTGCCTCAGGACAATTAGACCGAAAAGAAGAACCTGTATCGCCATCATTGGTGCTTGTACGGCGTTTATAGGTGTACTGTCCTTTGCACCGTTTTTTTCTGGCGCGGCTACCTAGCCCCCCAAAGTTCTTGACGGGGGGCTAACCCGGTGCCTTGTTATAGCACCGAGCTGATGATATCATGAATTTCCACAATCGGCACATATTGCGAATGTCCTTTAGACAGAGGTGAACTGTGAGCCACCGTAGTTTTATCTTTTCAATCGTGGCTATAGGTTCTATCGACTAACTGTCGATTCCGGGTATACCGAGAGCGACGAATAATGTAAGCGTAGGCTACAGAATTACTTAACGCTTTGATTGTTGCGCGGCCTCATATAAACACGTGGCTGTGTACTTAAACTTCCAATCTTCCCCGGGAAAGACAAAAGTACATCAATTTCCTGGTTGAAATCGCAATAGAAACGTCATACACGGCACTGAGGGGGGGGATCTAGTCGGGCCAGTTTTCACCCAGACGAGGCTAGGCTAAACGATGGTGAGTGCCTATGCATGATTAAAGTTAATGGTTATCAGATGTACTCGCATACTTTACAGTGTAAACGAAAACAGCATTGGACTAGACTCAGTGAGAAAACCCTACCTTGTCTGAACTGTTGCAAGTTTATCTTTTAGATCGAACTAAGCTTGGCCTTCTCATGCAACCTTGCAATTAGCGATGTCTCTAGAATTATTACCGTCTACTTTATTACGGTGGGTATTCTCACGGCTTAAGCCTAGGTATTTAGACGAAGAACTTACTAAAAAACAGCATCGCTTTCTTAAAACTTCAAGCCCCCAAACCGTCATCGAAAAGAGTATAATTGATAGATTTTGAGTCGTATATAACCCCGAATACAGCTAGGGTAGTCGCCGAGTTTTAAGCTTCCAGGCTTAAGCCTGGGAGATTTCAATGCCTGGCGCTAATATTCTCCGTTCCCTCATGCGCGCTTCAAGCTTATTTCAACACCAGCTATTATAAATCAGAAACTTGAATAGCACACCGGTATAACTGTGATGTGGAGTTTCAGGGTTATTGAAGCAAATTGGAGTTTCAAATTATCACCATCGATGAGGAAGTATTTACCAAATTTCTGTGTAGGTAACGATCCGACTTGATAGCAATGGGAGTCGTACGCGGTAGCTCCTATTTATCACACGAGAGCTTATCAGAGGTACAAATTGTGCAATACACCAGAAGGTTTTTTAGCACCACTACATCACAACGACTGCTTAGCTAACTTGGACTAATAAAACTAGCCTTCCTCATACGACCAGCTTCACACGACACTTAGTTAATAGGGGTAGCATAGGCGAGAGGCACATACAATTACGTAATGGTACTTGAAACACCGGCGTCTGCAGGCCAGCCAATCATCACAATGTCTATTACTACTATTAATAGATCTCTATGACTCTCTAGAACAGCGATGAACATACCCAAGGTCTTGAACTGAGCTGGACTAGTCGTTATTATTTGGCCAGATCCAGAAAATTAATCTCTTGCTTTTTTGAGCAGCATGGTGAATCAAGTGGGCAAGAGCGGGTTTGACGTACATATACAGCGCCAAGACATCACTGATTCACCGTACCAGCGGGGATACTTCTTTTAATTTCTCATATAGATAGAATCACCTTATATTTTAAACGTCATAAATTGTCTTCCATTTCGAAATTGGAAATATCTGATGAACTACTCATTTTGGGGAGTCAATCTCCGTGTGGTGTATTGGCACTGACCGCGAATCCTGCTTGTTCCCTGCACGCCCTCGCCTGTGCTTATGTACGGCCAGCTCACATCTTGCTGCGCGCTGGCCACTAGTTTTACAGGCACTCGTTCCTGCACGGATGCCTACACCCTCCTTCCACCCCTAGCGGCTGCTCAGTCCCTTTTCGCCAGTTGCACGTTTTGCTTTAAATGCCTTTCGGCGGCTATCTTCTTACACGCTCAACTGGTTACATAGACACGTTCTAGGATTCTGAATTTGCTCTAATACACTTTTTGAATTGTTCACTCGTGTGCGATAGCCACTCTTTGCCGCCGTTCCTTATCACCGTCACTTGCTAGCAATCCGCCACCCAGCAATCACTTGCAAATCAGCAATCACTTGCAAATCAGCAATCACCCTATCGCTTGCAACCATCATACACCCTCTCTTGCTTCACACCTGTGCCTTTTAGCAATGAGTGCTAACGACGCCATTCGCTCTACTGCGAATGACATCAGAACCACCGGACTCAAGCCGCCGAGAAAACTCCACATTGCGCACAGACGCTCGCCGTCCGAGTTGACCAACTTGATGATCGAGCAGTTCAACTTGCAGAAGCAATTGGAGTACGTGCAGCAACAACAACAGCAGATCATCCAGGATCAGAAGATGAACCCGGAAACCATCCAGCAGGCCTTGGCCGCCAGTAACGGACCTGCCACGCCATTTGCCCACCAGAGGGGTCACTCGAGAACGGGGAGCAACGTCGGCAGCACCTCTACTCCACACAGAAGAGGGGGTTCCGTTAACTACGGTAACTTGAGCCACAACCCATCGCCCTCCACCAACCCTCCGGGGCTCACGGTTCCGACGGGTAACCAGGCTTTAGGCCACATCAGAAGACACTCGTTGGGCATTCACGAAGCTAAGAAAGCTGCTGCCTATGCTCAATCTCAAAGAGTGTCGCCTTCCAGAACCGCCTCCACCTCGGAGTCCACTCGTGCCTCTCCGCCACCGGCCCCTCCGGCCTTCAAGTTTCCTCCGGAGCCTGAAACTGAGTCGCCAAAAAGCTTTCTGTTCCCGCAGAAGCCTCCAGGCTTGGAGATCCCCTTCCCCTCTGCCCCTCCGGGCTTAACTCCACCAAACGCGATGACCCCACCTTCGTATGGTGAAAGAAGGGGCCACACGCACTACCGCTCTAATTCCCGCAATTTCGACCCTAACACCGCCCTGAACATCAACAGCAACTGGAGATCACCGCTGGTGTCGTCTACTCCGCAGCATCAGCCATCACAGCCGCAGCATTTGGATCCATTTGTGCCCGGCCACCGTAACCGCAGCTCCATGGGCGGCTCAATGTCCTCAATGCAGGGCGTCAACCCCAACCAGGGTGCCGGCCCGCAGCGCAAATCGTTGTTTGCGCCGTACTTGCCGCAATCCTCGCTCCCAGAATTGGTCGCTGAGGGCCGCTTGGTTGTGGGAACGTTGCGCGTGAACAAGAAGAACCGCTCTGACGCGTACGTATCCACTGACGGGCTTCTCGATGCAGACATCTTCATTTGTGGGTCTAAGGACCGTAATAGGGCGCTTGAGGGCGACTTGGTCGCCGTTGAGTTGCTCGTGGTTGACGAAGTGTGGGGCTCCAAGAAGGAGAAAGAAGAGAAAAAGAGGCGCAAGGACCAACTGATGATGCAGAATGACGATGACAAGGAAGACAGCAAAAATGATGCCACCGGCAGCGATACCTTCTCTGTTTCCGACACCGCCTCCAGCACTTCCACCAGGCCAGGCGTGCAGAGAAGAGGCTCGTTGAAACAGCGTCCAACGCAAAAGAAAAACGATGACGTTGAGGTCGAAGGTCAGTCTTTGTTGCTTGTCGAAGAGGAGGAAATCAACGATGACTACAAGCCATTGTATGCGGGCCATGTGGTTGCGGTGGTTGACAGAATCCCGGGTCAGTTATTTGCTGGTACCTTGGGTTTGTTAAGACCGTCTCAGGCGGCCAACAATAAAGACAACCAAAACCTGCAGAACCCCCCACCAAGGCCAAAGATCGTGTGGTTCAAACCAACCGACAAGAAGGTGCCATTGATTGCCATTCCGACCGAGCAGGCCCCTAAAGATTTTGTGGAAAACCACGAGGCATACCTCAACAAGTTGTTTGTGGCCTCGATCAAGAGATGGCCGATCACCTCCCTCCATCCGTTTGGTACATTGATTTCCCAGTTGGGGGACATCGATGCCAGTGAGACTGACATCGAGTCGATTCTCAGAGACAACAACTTCTTGTGCGACGAGTACCCGGAAGACTCCCTGGGGGCCGAAAAGTACAACTACGTCGAGGACTTGCCTTCCATCAAAGATATCGATGACTCGCGCAAGGTGTTCACCTCCGAGTACATCTTGTCTTTCACCCAGGCAAACACCATCTCCGACCACGCGATTCACGTAAAGCGACTCTCCGACTCCAAGATCGAGTTGGGTGTGCACATTGCAGACGTCACCTACTATATCCTGCAGGGTTCTGTCTTGGACAAGAAGGCCAGAAAGAGATCTTCCTCGGTGTTCTTGGCCCAGAAAACGGCGCACTTGTTACCTGACCTGGTGAACAAGTTGGCGTCATTCATCGAGAACGAACAGAACTTGGCCGTGTCGGTGGTGTTTGAGATTGATACCAATAACTTTGAGGTCGATGGTGTGTGGATGGGAGAGTCGGTGATTGTGCCGAAGCAGAAAGTTTGCTATGACGAAGTGGACTCGGTGTTGGAAGCAAGCTCCGCCCAAATCCTTTCCTCTGCCACCTCTGACTACATCAAGACGTTGTCACTCATCTCGCGAGAATTCAGAAGACAGAGACTCAACAACAAGACCTTGAACAGAACGCCGAACTTGGCGTTATTGAACCAGTTGGACGATGAAAAGGTTCGTTTGGACTTGAACATCTTTAAGGACCACGCTTCGTTGTCGATGATGGACGAAATCTTGTACAAGGTTAATGCCGCTGTGGCTCAGAAGGTACACGCCGTCTTGGGCGAGAGTGCGTTGTTGAGACGCCACCCATTGCCGACTTTGTCTAAGATTGAATCTTTTGCGAAGAGGGTTGAGATTCTAGGGTTCAATATTGACACCTCCACCTCCACTTCTTTACAGACTTCTATTTTGAAGATTGAGGACCCGGTGAAGCGCAAGGCCGTGGAGAGCTTCTTGTTCAAGGCCATGTCCCGTGGTAAGTACGTCATCGCAGGTAAGACTGACAGCGAGCTGTACAACCACTACTACTTGAATGTGCCTCTCTACACCCATTTCACCGCTCCTTTGAGAAGGTATGCGGATCTCATTGTCCATCGACAGTTGAAGGCGGTGTTGCATCAAAGAGAGTACACTGATGACATCGAAGCCTTAAAGATGACTGCTGAGTACTGCAACTTTAAGAAAGACTGTGCGTACAGTGCCCAAGAGCAGTCGGTTCACTTGTTGTTGTCCCAAACCATCAACGAGATGAGTGAAAGCACTGGTCAGTTGTTGTGTATGGGTACCGTCGTCCAGGTTTACGAGTCGGCGTTTGACGTATTCATTCCCGAGTTTGGCATTGAAAAGAGAGTCCACGGTGATCAGTTGCCCCTTGTGAAGGCCGAATTCGATAAAGGCAAGCGAGTGTTGGAGTTGTACTGGGAGAAGGGTGTGGATTCTGCCACGTACATCCCCCACGACGAAAGACAGCCTTTGTCTTACCGTAACTCAATCAAGAACAAATTCAGAACCTCCTCCATGAAGGCCGCTAGTCACCAGAACAAGGTTCTTATGGAAAACCAAGACATTGTTAGTGATGCGTTGGTGGAGAAATTGGCCAAGTTAAACTTCGAAGCTCCGAGACTAGCCATCCCTAGGGTGAATTCTGGGTTTGCTGGTGCGTCACAACTGACTGATTCCAAGTCGCTTCCTGGGTCTCCTGCAAAGATGTCGCCGTTGGCCGCTGCGAAGGAGGCGGAGGATATCGTTGTTGCTAATTCCAACACGGGTTCAGCCTCCTCGTCTACCTTAGAGCTCTTGAACCTTGGCGACGGGTCCTTAAAGGCATATTTATCCCATGTCAAGGTCAGAGTTGAGTCTGATACCGGCTACTACATCCAGGAAATCAAGGAGTTGGAGCAGGTACCGGTTATTTTGCGTGCCGAAATAGGGATGGCGTTGCCCTGCTTAACCGTGAGAGCGTTGAATCCGTACACTAACGTCAAGTAGCCTCCCCCCACCTTCATGTTTCATTTGTATCATTTATATTAGTTTTGTTGTTTTTTTGCGTTTCCCATTTAATGCACATTCGTTTTCTTTTCACTTGTACTATTTATCGAGTCGTGCGTATCTGTGTTAAACTTGTTAGTCACTCTTTAGTGTCATTGCCTTTTGTCGCCTAGCTGATTATGTGTCTCGACGAACATTTTTACTAGAGACGCTTTTTACAGAACAGGCCTCAACGTCGTTATCGTTCCACTATTGCGGGATAGAACAAAGTACTGTAAATTTACGCACGAGCTCAGACTTTGACTAAGACTCTTCAATCCGGTTCTTTTGGATACCTTAGTACTTTTACCCGAGAGCTTACAAGAGAAGTGGGGCTCTATCGCAACTGTTATTCAATTCTAAGATCCAAAAATATTTCTGTGAGAAAACTGGAGTAATTTCCCAGTATAGACTCAGCCGATAAACAAATCTAGTATCAATCGAGAAACCGCACTTCTGGCTTACTAAAACTGGATACTAGCCTCAACCGTGGAGCGACTACGAGTTATTCTGCCGATAATATAATTAAATGGAGCTATATACAATACTACCTGGCCAAAAAAAATATTTCCAATAAAAATACAAATGCCGCAACAACCCATCTAGCTTACTTTCTTAAGCCACCTCTCTTTTCCAAAAAATCTTTGGCCTCGTTGATCTTGGTGGCCAAGAATGGGGAACCACCCTTATCAGGATGGTTCAACAACATGATTCTTCTATGGGTCTCCTTCAACCTCGACTTGGTTAAAGTAGACTCCTTCAAGTTCAAGATCTGCAACGCCTCCTTAGCGTCCATCTTAGTGCCGAAGCCACCCTTGAAAAACGGCTTCCCGCCGATACCTGGTTGCTTGGACTTGAACATACCAGCGGCAAGGTACGCCACGGTAAGCGCACCGAGACCGGTAACTATTGGGTGGTCAGATGCAAAGTCAGCGACCTGGTCGAAGTAGTACTCGGCACCACCAGTGGCCTTTGGTGGCTGTACCGGGGACTGTGGAATCGGCTGGAACAGTTGTGGCAGGGACTGGCCTGGGATGGCTAAGGTAGGCACGTCAAACTGCGGTCTGTCGGAGTTATTAGACATTTCTTGTGATGATACAAAAGAATAATGGTGGTATCTTCAACTGGCGAGGTCAGAAATGAGTTGCTTTTACGTCTTGCCACGCTTAACTAGTGACCTTAGCCTAAATCGGAGGCCGAATTTTCCAGATGTCTGGGGTTATGTGGCACTGGTAGTGATAGAGTCACGTGAGACATGCCGGGTAACGGCATCGGCTTGTGCAGGAAAAAGAAAGGAGGGAAATATTTTTTCCTGTGCGTGTGAGAAAAATAAATTTTTCACGTATAACTAACACCTTTGGGGCACCTATTGATAAGATTTCAGTTGACTGTTTAATCTTAGAACCTATCACTACACACAATGAGAATTTATTCCTGTCATTTCTGTTCCTCCCCGGTCTACCCGGGTCACGGCCAATTGTTCGTCCGTAATGATGCCAAGGAGTTCCGTTTCTGCCGTTCCAAGTGCCACAACGCCTTCAAGCAACGTCGTAACCCAAGAAAGTTGAAGTGGACTAAGGCTTTCAGAAAGGCTGCCGGTAAGGAATTGGCCATTGACTCCACCTTAACCTTCGCTGCCAGAAGAAACGTCCCAGTCAGATACAACCGAGACTTAGTCGCTACCACCTTGACGGCCATGGCCAGAGTTGAGGAGATCAGACAGAAGAGAGAGAGGGCGTTCTACAAGAACAGAATGAGAGGCAACAAGAGTAGACAGTTGGCGTTGGACAAGAAGTTGATCGCTGACAACCCAGCTTTGTTGAAGATGAGAGAAGTTGAGTTGAGAAGAAAGGCCGAGAAGCTTGCTGCCAAGGAGGCCGCCATGGAGATCGACGAGGACGAAGAAATGGATGTCAGCGAATCCGAAGAAGAAGTCGAAGAAGTCAAGCAAAAGATCTTGTTGAAGAACAAAAAGAGAACTGCCAAACGTTCCTAAATCGCATACGAATCCCCGCCCCCGCGCCTTTCGTTAACAGAGAGCATGCGTCTGTAAGGCCTCTATCTCTGACTCTGTACCATTATCGCACTATGATCTTCAGGCTCCCACTGTACCTCATAGTATTTGTCTAGTTCCTTTTTACCATTATTCTTTTTGTTTCATTTTTGATTCACGCATCTCGGGTTTTTTTATTGTTTATATTAAAATAAAGCATTTAAGTTGATTTTCTTTAGTTGGCTGATAGTGTGTCATGGCTATGATCTAAAATATTGACCATACGGTACCCTGACGACATTTGAAGAGTGCCTATCTAGTTAGATGGAATAGTAGGCAAAAATAATATTGGGATTTTAGGTACACCAGGTTGGGTATGTTTCCCAGGTTTATCTGCCCTGTGGCGATGACGGTCTCAACGCACTCCCTATGCTGAACCATGCTTCATTCTGCATATATCTGAATCGAATCTGCCAAGATTTTTCTTTTAAAATCTGGCTAGAAGTGTAAATAACTGTCCGATAATTGACGAGCTAAACTAAATTTAGCGTTGTAGATTGGCTTCCGAAAAAGCCTGTCACGTTTATCGTATGCTTCCTTGACTCGGAAATTATATTCCCCAGGAATTAATACTCGATGACACACAGCTAAGCTGACCGCTCGGAATTAGACACTATAAGTAATTAATACTTAACTTCAATATTGACCTTGATACTTTGACATTCAGATTTCCTGGGCGTCACTCAGGTGATAGTTATGCATCCGCACCACGTCGGAGCTTTAGATAACATTGTTTTTTTTTTCCCGGCTATCTCCCGCACAGCCGAGAGTTTGTCGTGCCCGCACCATCGGTATAGCCGAAATATCCCAGAACCCAGCGAACCAAGGAGCTTTTGTACACCAGCAGTCTCCGCCAATTGATCATAAAACGCGGAGAAACACATCCAAAGGCATTGAAGCAATTCCAGGCCATTCAAGCAAAATGCTCACGTTCGACAAACTCGTCAAGGTACGTGCAAAGCCTCCTTCCCCCTTGCACTACTAACCGTTTAGGGCGCGACCAAAGTCAAGGTTGCGGCGCCAAAGCCGAAGTACATTGAGCCGCTTTTGCTCTCTACCAGTTCCACGCGCTACGAGGAGTTCATCGAGATCATGCAGGCAATAGGCCTGCGCATCAAGGACCCGGCATGGTCTGTGGTCTACAAGGCGTACATTGTGCTTCACATCATGGTGCGCGAGGGCGAGACGGGCTTGGTATTGAAGTACCTCACGGAACACCCGAAGTACTTAAAGCCAACCGCGATTGTGCAATCCGCCAACCACAATCTGGGCTTCGGCAGCGGACTGAACAGCGATGCGGCGTTTGTCATTCGCTATGCAAAGTATTTGGAGTGCCGCGCGGTGGAATTCGACGGACCCCAGATCGATTACGTGCGAAACGGCCGCATGTCCAACAGCTTCACCTCAAAGAAGCAGGACGGCGGCAGATTGCGGTCGCTCACCGTCGACAAAGGACTCTTGAAGGAGGTGGAGAGCGTCATAGCGCAGATTGCGTCCTTAGTTGGCTGTAAGTTCACCGAGGGTGAGGTCAATAACGACGTTATACTCACCGCATTCCGCATGTTGGTGAACGATTTGCTTGCGTTGTACCAGGCGCTCAATGAGGGAGTGATCAACATCTTAGAGCACTTTTTCGAGATGCGCTTCTTTGATGCAGAACGTGCCTTCAAAATCTATGTCAAATTTGTCGCATTGACCGAAAAGGTTGTCGCGTATTTGCGTGTTGCCAAACACTTAGAATATTACACAAAGTCGCACGTTCCGACAATCAAGCACGCACCAACGGCGTTGACATCATCGTTGGAAGAGTACTTGAAGGATGTGAACTTTGAAACCAACAGACAGCAATACTTGGCTGAAAAGGGTAAGAAAGAGGGAGTGACGGAGCCAAAGGTTCAGGAGAAGGCCCAGCCTCAATCTCAGGTTCAATCTCAGGTCCCTTCTCAGACTCAAATTCCGTCTCAGGCTCTGACACAGTCTCAGATCCCTGCTGCTGCTCAAATAACCCAGCAGACGGTCACTGTGCCTAATCCATGGGGTGGGCTCTCTTTGACCCCGCAGGTGGCCACTTTCACCCCGTATGAGCAAGGTCAAACCCCCAGCGTGGCCAATTTGCAGCCGTTGTCTGCCGAGGTGCTCAGCTACACCGGCCAGCCGTTTGTGTTTGCCCAGAAAACCTCCTTGCCTACGGGTGCAGGCTTTGGTACACAGCCCCAACCACAACAAAATCAGATGTTCGCTGGCCAGCCACAGGCATTCGCTAGCCAGCCGACCCAAGCATTGAATGCCCAGCCTCAGGCATTTACTGGCCAACCGGCATTTAATTCCCAATCACTGGCATTTACTGGTCAGCCACTAGCATTCGTACAAAACCAGGCATTCACCCACCAACCTTCTGAGGTATTTTCTCAGACTGCTTTCACCGGCAACTTCACTGGTGTGCAACCTTCGACTGTATTCTCGCAACAGCCAGCGTCCTTTTCTAACTCGTTCACTGGCCAGCCCCTGAAAACCGCTTCGACCTTCACTGGTACACCACAACAATCAGTCGAACCACTTAAGCCAATTGCTACCGGTACCAATAATCCGTTCTCCCGCGATAACACGGTTGTTTCGGCTACAATCATGTCTGTGAACCGTGCGCAGTCCAATCCGTTTTCTAGTAAGAGATCTTCTTCCTCTAGCGTGCTCCCGGCTGTGGGCGAAAACTCCGTTGCGAACCTGATGGGTAGACCGTTATCTCTCCAACAGACTGGTACCAACCCATTCATGGCAAAGTCCGTCACTGGAGGCCCCTCCTTGGGGATGTCCCCACAGGTCACCGGTCTGAATCCGTTCCGCTTGTCGAGCCAGGCACCAAATTCCCAGGTCTTTCCTCAGCAGCAACAATCTTTGCAGCCACAGTTCACAGCCGGTGGATTGGAAAGATTGCCTACGGTTCCTGTCTTTCCCGAAACTCAGCAAGCTGCAATTCTGGAGCAGGCACAGATGAAGGCCAGACACGAACTTGAGCAGTCGATGTTGCAACAGCGGCAGCAGCAGCAAATGCAACAAAAGCAGCAGCAGCTCCAACAGCAACAAGCGAACCAGCAGCAATATCACCAGCAACAACAGATGATGCAGCAGCAGGCGTTGAATCAACAGGCTACGGGTTGGGGGTTCCAGCAGCAACCTACCGGTGCGTTCCAGCAACAACCACAGTTCCAGCAAACAGGCCTGCTTCAGCAGGCCCAGCCTCAAACCACTGGAGGTTTCTATAGTGGGCCTAGTTTGATCTAAGGTTGGTGTTTTTAAATTTATTTGTAATTCTGTTTTAATTCTACAACATTTTTCTAAAGGTTAGTCGTCTGGGGGCGGGGATTGTGTGAATGTATTCAAGGATGCGAGCAGCGTTGTCAATCAAGCTATAGACGTAGTATGACTAGCAATTATCACGTTCCTGTGGCATGGAGTTTTAAAGGTTAAGATAGTTTTGATAGTGAAAGAAATAAAAGGGTGACATTTAATAAAAGAATAATATTTAATAAAAGAATAACAAGGGGGACTTCGGGGGATTAGGCGGCCAGGTGATTCGCCCTCATAGAATAAGGGAACCATTTAGGAAGTATACTCGAAGTGCTTTATTTTTTGTCGCAAGTGCAGACACCTTGGCAATTGCATAAGCTGGATTTTCCGGAGCACTGAGAGCAGGAGCACCCGTCAGTACAAGAACAACTCTGGGACTTTTTTTCCGAGGCACATTTACATTGGTTCTTGCAGGCCCCTTCGGTTCCCTTATCACAAACACAGTGGTTTTCACAGGTACAGTTGTTGAGCTTATTGGAACAGGAGCAATCGTCAATACAAGTGCAGCTCTGGGACTTGTTCTCAGAATCACAGCTACAATTAGTAGATTTTGTAGTGCAACCACAAGATTGGCAATGGCCTGGATCCTGGGTATAGGAGTTGGAAGTTTGATCGTTTGATTGGGAGTGGGACATTGATGGCTTTTTTTTTATTTGATGACTGAATAATCTAACAAATGTGCAATCCTACAGGGGGATGACACCTTCTTTTATATCTGATGTGTCGGGTTAGTGTACTGTTTTGAGGCATATATGCCTGCGATTGAGATATTTGTGCGAGTATCAGTCATTCCAATGGCTTCCTTAAAGTCTATGTTTCTCTGCATGACCTTCTCATTCGATCAAAAGGAATGTACACCAAATTATGAGTGCATATTGCGTCCATATGCATGTCCTGGACACGGATTGAGAAACCTCTGTAGACCAGGTTGCTGCCCGTGCAGAAGAGAACGTAGATTCAACTATTTTTTCCTCAAAAATTCTAGTTCTTTCATTGTATATTGTCCTTCTGTGTTCTGCAACTTTCTGGCTGTCCCTAGTAAAATAATGTGTCGTATTGGCAATCATTCTAGGGTGCGTGCAGCGCATGCAGTATTTTGGCGTACTGCGTTCGCCCATAATCTGCAAGGGTCTGGTTTGGTGGCGGAGTTTATAGCAACGTCAATCAATGCTGATTTGTGAGTTTTCTCGGATATGGTCACTATTTAGCCCATATTAAAGCCAAAACCAAAATTACTGCATCGTACGTATGATCAAGTCTGAGCCTTACACTGAGTGAAGTTTATTTCCATCGAGCTATGATGACGTCATAAAACTCTTGGAAACTTCAACTCGCCCTTTTTTTAATCAGTTTCAGGAAGATATTATAATGATTTATGTGGCCACATTTTTTCCATATCGGATAATAATTTTATTTTGCGGTCAATACAAGATATACATAAACATAAATTGAAAAATATTAAAATAAATCCTACTAAAATGAGTTATTGAAATACACCGTAGTAAAAGTATTAACTTTGACGTTATTTACAAATATACCTTTGCAGATGCTTTATCTATCATTATCTAGTAATGTTTCTCTCTCTTAATCTTCAGTAGTCATATACACCCCAAAGCGAATTCAAACAAAACAGTACAGCTTTCAATACCTACACCCCCAGCCTGGATTCATCTCAACTATTCCCCCTCATATTAAACTCCTTTAAACGCTGTTTACCGCTCTGTGCAAATACCGCTTACCCCAAGTCCCCCTCGCAAACAAATCTTTACAACACACACACACATATATATATATATATCACGGTTAGATGAATGTCTGGCATGTGCTAGCCCAACTGGATATCACCATGTTCCTTTACATATCTCTCATCATCTTCCTGCAACTCATCCCAGCCCCTAACTTTCAAGTTAAACATAATCGCACCGATGGTAACAACACCGCCAAACCGGAACACCCAGCCGACGGAATCGCTGCTCTCGGTCGCACTCCCACTGCTCAACATTTTGAACAAGAGACTGCTCACCAAGGAGCTGATCATTTGCGGAAGTGCCACAAACATATTGTGGACCCCCAAGACAATACCGGGTTCGCATACGTAATGAGAGTACCGCTCTGCAAGCACCTTATACCCCAGGGACGGAAGTTGCAGCGAGTCAGAAATGGTGTGCAACAACGGCGTCTCGCCGAAATCGTCCATTCGAACGTTTGCGTGCAGTTCGGGACTGAGTGCCGCGCGCGCCTTGATCTCCTTGATGCGACCTATCTCCTCGCTAATCAAGACAAACGGTGCCCACAAGGCGGTTCCCCACGGGATGCCTAAAAAGCCCACCATCACGATGGCCTTGGTACTGCTGTCAATCAAGAACGTGGACACCATGCAGAGAACAAAAACGACATGGGAAGCGAGCCAGATGTTGCGTACTGACACACGGTCCAAATACTCCTGCGTACGCGCCAAAATACCGTCCGCGACCGGTTCTTTGCGCCCCCCATGGGGTTTAATCAATACCGGCAAAAGCAAATCAATGGCGAGAGTGATAATCGCCTGCCAGAGCAAAGCAACCGACCCACGTCTGGTGGCGCCTTCCGCGAGCGCGGTTCGCTCGTCTGGAAGTAAATCACTGAGGGGCCGGCCTGCCAACACCTCGTGGGTGTACAAATCACCGACATACGTGGTAGTATAGAAGAGCATCGGGAAGTAGCCGACCCAGGCGCAAAACTCGACCCAGTTGATCATAGCCACCTGCGGGGGCAAGCGCATGATAGACGATAGGGTCTGCTTGAAGAACAACTCGACTGTGGATGTAAATGTCAACTTATCTGGATTCAAGCCCATGGTTTGCATCACCTTTCGCTGCTTGCGGTGCTCTTGCTTGATCAAAGCGTCGGTGCGCGGGTTGCGCTCCTGGATGTAAGACGTCGAAGCCACTGTGGTGACAATTAGCGTGAGCGCCGCACACGACGAGAGCACCTTGAACTGGTTATTTCCAAGGAAAGACGGCAACACCTCAGTGAGTTTGATCGAGCCGAGGAAATAGCCAAAGATGTTGAAGGCGCCAATCATACGTGCAGCCCAGGCGTTGGCAATCTGCTGTTGCGAGGTGGGAACATTGTCAACGATAAACGCACGCACGGCGGCCTGGATGCAACTGATGGAGAAGTCGAGCAAGTAGATGCCAAAAGCAGCGAAAGGAATGGTTTTGGACTTGATGTACGATTCATCGGTGGAGCGCAAAAACCAGCCGACAATTTCGGTCGAGTGGCTCAAGTACCACAACGAAAACGTTGTGGCTATGCAGCCAGCCCATATGAACGGCTTTCGGCGACCTCCATGGTATGTGCAGTTGTCGCTTAAAATGCCCGCCATCGGCTGGCCGAGCGTGCCAGACAACGGGCCCGCGATCCAGATGAGCGCGAGCGTGTGTTTACTGACGCCTAACGACAAGAGGAATGGCGTTCCAGAAGAGAACTCCGTGCACCACGCGAGCTGAAGGCCCCCGATGGTAACCGTGAGGAGGAGGAGGTACCCGAGCGACCGCACCGGGTTAATGAGCGATTCTAAGGATTCAATGTTCATGGTAGAGTCTGTGTCTGTAAAAACTTCGGATGGCTCAGTGTCGGGCGAATCTATCTCTGCGAGCATTGGGTGTGGGTTGAGGATGCTAAATATGCCAAATGTAGCTAAGGAGCTATATTTAGTTGAAAGCGTTAAAACTGTAGATTCTATGTGGAGTAGTTACTTTCCTCGACTAAGAGTATAGCTGGCGCACTAATTGAAGAAAGTTGGGAACTGGTGAATCTGGTAAAAATAACACGAAGGTGGAATGTATGTGCCTTAGTGTAGTTAAGTTCACGAGAATGGTGATGCTATATCCGCAAAGTATTGATAGAACAAGTGTAGCTAGGTATGACTAGTAAATGATTGTAACGTTGTGGGCTCAACTCAGATTCGGGTTCTGGATGGATTGTAATTTGTGTAATGTTTAGGGTATGGATTCTCGGCCCTAGACGCAATCCCCGCTTCATGCAGCCCCTGAAATGGCACGCGCAACTTCGCAAGCAATCTTGCGACTGGCAGCTGAGAGGCATACGTTCTAGCACGTGAGACGGCCTTTCGCATATCTGGCGATATGTACAAATTTGGTTTACCGTACCGATGGAAATTATATTAAAAAAAAAAAGGTATTTCACCTTCAATCAGATATATTAGAGATATAGTACTTGAACCACTTCATTAAAGCACCCCGCGACTGTTTAAAGCTCTCCTGTTATATTGGCCTAAGAAATCGGATTCTTTCCTCGGACCTACAAACCAGGCATGGGATTAATACATTTTTGAACTCTTAGTAAGTAACACATGGAGCTGGTATAGTCATATACTATTGAGTAGTCTCTTTAATGGTTGCTTGGAGTTGTACTTTCAATCCCCCGAGCAAAGGTACTGAAATCATGAAGGTGACTTGAATTATTTTACGTAGTTGCATGTAAGTGGCTGAAAACTGTGAACCACAGATCAGATTCTTGGGTGATAAAGTGTCCATACGTTAATATTGAGACCATGTATTGCCAAAGAAATTCTATTGTAACGAATTTGGCTCAGTGGGTAAAATATAGCCCCCAGCATGGCCCATATTATCTGGACCATCTAGCAGCTGATAGTTCCCTTGCCTGTCAATGGCCAGTGGATATCTCCCTTAATCCACCGAGCAAGATTTCGTGAAACAGAAAACTGAACTAAGTCTGTTTTCTCAATATCTCGACGATAAGTGCACGTACCAAAATTTCGTGTTGTGTTTTTGATATATGCTAATGCCGTAATTTTATAAACGTGGTCTCACTGAAACTCACAATAATTTTTTTATTTAATTCCAGAGGGGATTCCTTCGGTTTCGAAAGATGAACAGAGTATTAATATCAATGTAAAATTAATCAACTTTAAACATTTTCTCGGAGGCAGTCTGCTGAGTCTAGAGTTACACCACTTAATTCACACATCCAATGTTATATATAATACAAGCACTAACCATGAAACTCCAGATAGAAATACCCCATACTAGAGAAGGCTGGGTCCAGGAAAAACTCCTGCGGCGTATCCAAGTTGAATGACTGGTCCAAGTCTATGCCAACTTGGTACAAATGACTGTCAAAGATTTGGTCCATCGCCCCTGCATCTTGGGAAATTTCTGGTAGCGCTTCCTCCGGGGCTTCCGCGCCTCCATCACAGTCCACATCTCTGTTATAATATCCCACATCGTTCAAGTATACAAGCGTGCTAATCAAGATGAGCGAGATGCGCATGCTTATAGCGCGCTTCTCTGCTAGCCGTTGCGCATGTTGGAGGTACAAGTGGAGAAAGTTGACGATGCTCTCTAAGTTTTGGCGCTCGTTGGTCGCGTGCCCAATGCCCAACCATGCAACTAAGCCGTCCAGATCACTGCTCTGAAAGGACTCGCCCGCCAAGTACAACGAAAACAGGTCATATAACGAACGCACACACACAGAAGTTACCATCTGAAGTGCGCGCAGCGCCATGTACAAGACCGGCACAACTAACATCGTCTCCGTCCCGCTAGGGAAGCTCTGCACGAGCTTCCACTCATCTATACACATATACCCCAACTTGAATAAGAGAAAACCCTTCTCAGCAGCGCGATCCGAGAAGATGCCGCGGAACGTATCGAGTTGCGCGTCTTCTGCGCACGCGAGCGCAAGCGCGTAGTTCGTGGTGTACTGTACATAAGTGAGGAACACACGTACCAGCAATTGGTTCAAGCGGACAAGCTCGTCGACCAAAGTCTCACTCTGCGGCCGCACAAACAACTCGTCAAAGGTGGGAATCCGGGTCGCCAAAAACTCCTCGATCCGCCGGTTGTGCTCATGGTGCTCCGAAACCTTGCACGCTCTGTGAATCTGCGTCAACAGGCAAAGCGCCGCGCGCACAAGAAGTGCTGCATCGGCACTGAGCCGCACGTGCTCCACTGCCTGTGCCTCATGGAGGTGCAATCCGCCCTCAGCTACAAGCTCGCGCGTCATCGCGGGATACTGTGTATCGAACTGGTCGTATACGATCATCGGACAGCCGGACTTGGCGGCCTGGGCGCAGTCGAGGTACACCAACGCGTACCAAATCTTGCGCCACAAATGCTTGGTTTGTTCGTCATACTGGATGATAGTGAGGTCGAAGTGCGCAAAGTCGCGGTGCATCCCACTCATGTGCGCCAGCTGAAGGAACATGGAGAGAAGCACCGACAAGTCGGTACCCTCCTCTACCTTCTCGGGGCAGTGGAAGCGGTAAAGGCAAAGGTAAAGGAACGCCTGAATATTGCGCATGTTGGGTTTGCGGAAAAAGGTGCCGTACGAGAGACATACCTTGGCATTTTCCACGTATATACTTTCGATAGTCACACCTGCCACAACAAATTCATGATGGAGCGCGCGCATATGCGCGTCCATGAGTGACGCCTCATATGGCGCAAGGCTCCGAAGCTGGTCCACGGGTATGGAGAGGTATGCAAACCGCATAAGCATTAGACACATAGAGATGGTGACCAAGTGTGTAAAGCCGTCTATGTTGAAGTAGACGTTGCCGCTCATGTTGGTGAATATAATTTCCTCCACTTCGCGGCGGAACGCAACCTCGTCAATGTAAGGCATACACACGTAAACATGGGAGAAAAAGCGGTCAATGAGGAGGTCGAAGCACGTACGCGAGGGAAGTGAGAGATTTATTGAGGGGAGGATTTCAAGAAACTTGGAAGAGAGACCTTGTTGGAAGGCGATGGAGCCGTATTCGCTAGGAAAAATCGCAGTGAGCGATGCGGCAGATTGGTCAATGTACTCTGCGGACGGGACCTTCTCCGTAGGTGACGGGAAAAGGCCTATCGGAGAGCTGAAGTCCCTCTGAAGTTTTTCCCCGGCACTTCCCGCTCTTCCTAAGCTAAGTAGCTGAGAATCAGAGTCTGATTCTGTCTCATCTACTACAGCGGATGGAGTCTCATCTGGCCTGGTGTTTATTCCTTTATAGTTCGCCTCTTTGTAGCGCCCGATCATCTGCGCGACTGCGGGCTTCATCACACTGTCGTTAGTTAGCAAAGACATGTATGAGGTGGGACCAAAGTACATCGGTCTATCGCCATTGAGCACCATGGTGTCGAGTTGGTCCACCAATTCCAGCACATCGTGGGACTGTGCGGGTGGTGCCTCGGACACGCGCGTTTCGTGATGCTCGATAACTTGCAGTAACACACTGAACCGCTTCTGCAATTCGCCTATTTCCAGGCGGAGACTTCTCTGCTCGCACATGGCCTTCCGCGTTGATTTCTGTTCGTAGAAACACATTGCAACCGAATCGTTGGCTTGACAGTTAAGGCAGTGCGGCTTCTGCTTGCCGCACTTAATACGCCGCCCGCGACATACCAGGCACGACGTCGGGATGCGGTTTCGTGTCTTACGCGGCTTCGTGTCAGGCAGATTGGACATTGCTAGTAGCTATGGAAATACGATGGCCCGTGTATGATGTCTGATTTCCGGGATATAAGTTATTGTTACTTTGAAATAACTGGCGGTATGTTAGCAAGAATGCTAGAGGTTTAGTTCACGGGAATAAACTCCGATAAGTTTGCTATGAAAGATGGTGGCCTCAGTCAATCAATGAAAGGTACCAGTGAATGTGAGGGCAAAAATGTACAAGTAGGATGATATTGTATATAATAAGTGTGTGTTAGGGTGATGCCCGGTTGCGCTTGTTCCGAGGCTGCTTGCAAGACGACACTCAAGTATCACACGGCACAGGGAAATAATGGTTGTCGGTAAGAGGTATTCCAACGGCTATCACAGCTAAGAAAATATGATATTGGTCCAATAGTTATAGTTAAACTGAGGGTTGGGTGGCTGTTGTTTTTAGTGAATCATTTGCAAGGCTGCTACTGGTATAAATGGTATTTGCCTTTCCCCGCTCAGTCTGGCTGGGTGAAATATACCCTGCGATAACCGGCGCACATGCGTCAGCCGCAGTCGATCGTAAACGTTGTGATGATCGACGAAACAGACCCACCCGATTTATCTTTGGGTGAAAACAAGATTGACTGTTTGGTTCACGTAAGGTACCAGGTAGAGCCTTTAGAGTTTTTACTACCGTGCTGATGGTAAGATTGCCGAATATCTGTTTCCTAGTGGCAGATGTGTGAGCCACGGTGGTCTAATGGTGAACGGCTCGACATAGTGGCGCATTATAAACGTGGCGCATTGACGATAAGTAGAGATCTTCCAAATATGCCAGGCCCCCATAGTGGTAGTCAAGATGAGCTAACCAACAAAAGATCCCGAGAGATTTTTTTAAAAAAGGAACCGAGCCCGGGTAGTTGAACCGTGATGGGGGTATTGGGGGGAAAACGTGATATAGAAGCCTGGATCGCAATTATCATGGGTTTAGATGTTGATTTTAGACATGCACAGTGCTTTTTTACGCGACGAAATTCCTGCCAAACCCGGAAACTTGGAATCTGGCCCATCCTGGTAACATCTCTTTGTAACTTTGATTGTTTTGTGGTTCTTATATACACCGCAGCATCCGTAAACAGATTGGCACAGGGTTTCACTGATAGTCCATGAAAGAGTGAACAGGGGCTTGCCTTTATTCGGAGTTCATTTGTGCTTAGATGTCTTGCTGTAGGAAATTATCTATATTTCCGAGCGAATATAGATATTTATACGAGCTTTTAGTGTTTGTGACATCATAAAGTTTCATTAGAGCTAGCGTCTTGAAAAAAGGATCCTTCACATATAAACATCTGACCAAAACTAGACTTTCTCTTGTATACCTACCCTATACGATAAACCTTAATACATCACCTAAACCTCGGATTTGCGGAGAAAGGATATCTTACACCCTCAGTAAGAATATCAGGGGGTACAGCCACCGGCGGTACTGGCCATAAGTGCGAAAATCGGTAGAGCAAAGTATCAGGTGCAACGTATGCCTCGCTTTTCATGCCCAAACGCAAGCACGGCCAATATAACAAATAGATAGTAAATGTGACGATACACACTGTAAAATTGATTATACAGCGTTAAAAAGGCGGTAATTGGAAGAAATTAGCCAACGACGCCTTGGGAATCGGCAAATAGTTCCATTAACTACCCTCCGCAACGCGTAATCCCGCTCTAAAGGTACCACTTATAACTGCCCGTACGAAGACCAATCCAAAATTCTGTGCAAGATGTGCTACCAGCCCCTTTGGGAGTTCTAAATATTTCATCAGGAACAATAGCACTTGTAGATTTTTAGTGCTAATCCAAGCAAGACCGTTGAATTGTTTCGCAAATGAAGTTGAGTGGAAGATCCTAGTCCTAGAGACACAAGTGCATTCTGCTGCCCGATCACAGCCACTTGGATGCGCCGGGCACAATAAAACGACCCGATCTCGCTTTAATTTCCCTTATCCAGAGGCAAAGATATAGTATAGTCATAGAAGTATTGAAAGCCTCTCTCAAATGTGGGTTTCAACGCCTGAGATACACATGTTGAGGGGAAGGGTGCGGGCACAGAAAAATCTACTCTTTTATTGAAAATAACGATGGTCCCCTCTTATCTTTGGGGCAAGCTTATCAAGATCAAAAATAGGGGAGAACCACCCCTGTGACTTAAAGTTCAAGGCAGCTTTACATAAATTCGAAAGTGGTAGAGAAGAGTGTCCTTTTTTGTGTGGTCAAATGAAGGCGTGTAGAGCCCTATGTGAGGCGTTCTGCGCAGGGATTATTTACCAAACAGCCTCTTACAACGCGCCACGCTTAGAGTATTTCTCGAGCCTCTAGGAAAGGCTAATAGAATTTACTTTGAATTTACTAGCGTAGTTGCAGTTTCAGTTGTGAATTTATTGGACCTGGTCCCCTGGTATCTAGCAATCCCCCAGACGGGAGTTGTAGTTTGCAGTTGTGGTAAGCAAATTTAGCAATGTTGGGAACAGATAAAGATCTCGAAAGGTCCAATCTGTGAATCTGCTCTACCTGAAGTAACACATGGTATATGCTTAAAGTCCCTCGCCTTTAAGGGGGTGACAATTGGAAGTTAAAAGAAAGCCAATACTAGACGCATGTAATTAACGTATAAATATACGTATTATGATAGACGTTGAAGAAGATATATAGCACTATTATCTACCTTGTCCACCCTGGACGTTGTATGTTCCGCGGCAATTAGTCCTTGTACTCGGCAAATAGCCACTGGACGTACCGACAATGTGATCTCTACTATCAAGACCATATTCTGTACATCCGCTTAGCTGCTGGAGCACAGGCGAGGCTTGCTGATGGTGAGTATTGTCCTCTTAACTCCCCTAGACCAGTCGCTTTCGGGCTTATAGCCAGCACTGCCCTGGTGGGTGGAATTCTAGCATTTGGCAGGTAGACAGACATTGCTCCTCCACATTGCAACAAGGGTAACACTTCACTCCACTCCCTGCGGCATCCTTGCCGAAGCAAAAAGTTCTGCAGACCTCGCATGTAGTCCCGCAAACATACCCTTACATATGCAGTTCTTTCAAGTGTCACGGATTCCTCCCCGCAGATGTGACAGGGTCTGTGATAGACCGCATCACCACTTAAGACGTTACCGTGACGGTAGTGAGGTGGAGGCGGAATTTAGTCACGGTTCCATGATTGCGTTATTATGCCTCCTACATGTCTACACCCTCAGCGGCGGTCGAAGATGCAGCCCTGAAATGCATGTGGCACTAGTTTACGCTCGTACCACAAGCAGGGCCACTACATGCATCCAAGTTGTAAAATACGCACCTGGGTCGATATACCATCACTTTGTTAAAAAAAATAAGCGGTGTGGTTCGCAAAGATCTCACCATGGTTCTGAGGTTGAGGTCGGGGACCCATAGTCTATGTGCCTCAGGCCTGGCTCCGGCACAGGCGAAGAAAATTTTGCATGAAAGTGACGGGGATTCCGTGTGCGTTATGCCCAGGGAATGTGCCGATCGCCGAGGCGCTGGCTAATCTTACATAAACGAATTGCCTCCTGGTGCATATATATATATGTGTGTGTACAAGCCCCTCGAGTTATTTGAATCATTTCGCCATACTCATTGTTCCAAATAAATCAACACCGTCCACCAAATCAACCACTCCATTCAATCCCCTGTAATATAATGCTGTCGCCACCGTCCACGCCAGAAACGCGCAAACAGGACAGCTTTGCCACCCCCGCCCCTGTTGCTGCGGTAGTCGCATCCATCTCGCACAAACTGCAGCTTCAGACGCCATACACGCTTGGGAACGATGAGCTCAGAAGCGACACATCCGTTGACACACCAATCGGTATCTCCAGTGATTCTGCCTTCGCTGACGGGTTAGCGCAGTTGTTGGCTAAACTCCAGCCGGCAACCGCAGACGTACACGAGGACACCCACCCAGCCCCAGAAGTCGACTTCAATGCACACAGGGCGGATATCCTCAAGTGTTTGACCAATATAAACCACGTAGTGACGCATCACAAGTTCCACAATAACCTCTTGTCCTTCGAAAATAGGAACTTGGTGGCGCGACACGGCATCGAGATCGAGTTGTTGAGCCGCGAGGTATGCATCCTAAAGCTGTTATTGCAACAGAAAACCCGCATGCCGTCCTGGATAGCTCATACCAGCGATTTCCCCAGTCATGGGTCTAGTTATTACGAAACACACACAGAGATTATCGATGGGACCCCGGAGGAAGCCCCTAGACTACAAGCAGCGTTAGAGGTGACACCTGAGCAGCCCCGGAAGCGCAAGCTTCAACCCGCTTTCAAACCACATTCACGCACAAGACCTGTGAAGACGTCCCCTCTATCAGAAAAGACCTCACTTGACCGCTCCCAGCTTCCGCCTACCGCCATGTTCTCCACCACCACCGCCCTGTGCACTCTTACACCGGAGAGACCCATCGGGGTATTATCCCTGGTTCGTCCAGCGTGTTCTCTAGCCGGAGGTGTGGGTGATATCAGCCAGGAGAAGCAGACGCGTGTGTTTTACCTCCACAATTTAAGTGAGAAGCGCAAACCAGTGAAGGCGGAAAAATTGCTTCCCAGAATCAAAAAATAAACGGAAGAGGAAGTGGACCGTCAATCAACGATTGAAATGGAAGGCTATTATCAGGGGGAGGAGGCTATAGAGATGGACGACGTGTTTGAGGGCAAATCTCTAAATGCCAAGTTTCATGTTCATTTGATTATCCCCCTAATCTTTTAAAGTTGCGCACGCAAATAGAATGCTCGTTTTTTAATTAAATATGTATATGGAGTATTCTGCGACAATTGATAATGTAAGTGGCGCTTTAGCTGCTCAAATAGTCGGTTGCTTCGCATTTCTATGCCCCACCTCTTACGATATCAGAATTCATATACGTGTCAACGGAGATACATTGAGGGCGTGAGACCGTCAGCATCCTACGCCTCTATTACTTTTGCCGGAATAAATCAATTTAATTCCAATCTCGCAGTCCAGGGATTTTTGGCTAAACTCCTAGAGCCTGCATACGTGCGCTATAATAGTTAAAGACTAGGATATCTAAAGCACGTATTCTCGACAAGGCTACTCATGCATGCACTTCCAGACCCCAAAGTGGAAAGCCTCCCCTGCGCACATGGGTTACCGCTGACCGAACTCTCCGTTGGCTGTAATTGATAACGGACCACTCAGTACTCACATCATCGATAGTTCGGCATCAATTTCTACATGAGTGGCAGCAACGAGGTCATCAATGGTTTTAACCCCTTTGATTCCGTTTGTAGAACACATCTCCCAAGATGTAATGCAATGCATTTACACATTTCAGCCGTGCAGCTCAGAGTACTATGATTAGGTGTATATCACAGATATCATCGGTAGAAGCATGCTAATAAACGTAACGTCACAAGTATAACTATTTCTGGATATACTGATAATGACAGAACATGGAGTTATATATCTGGAGAAGTGTTGCCATCAGTTGTATCGTACCTGTTATTTTCTACGATTCTGTAATAGTTCAGCAAGTTCTAGTCCCAAGAAATAGGTCTCGTCTGTATCTTTCTATCGGTCTAATAATGATAAGTAGGAAGCAAGCATGGCTGGAATGAGACAAATCGGATACCTGGAGCTCATGAATCTGAAATATCATAACTCAACAACACAAGTCCAGTACACGCTAAGGAGGTTCGTACACACTTAAACTGCGACTGTCCGGTTCACTGCGACTGTCCGGTTCACTACGACACTAGGTAACGAGTCCCCCTCAAAGCCATTAGGCCACATCTTTATTGAGCATGCCTGGTTTTTATCTTAGCTTGAGATTGCCGCTATTAATGCTAAAAGCCCAAGGAACTGGTCGAAGAACAACATGCTTAGTAGCACCGTGCATATATCCTAATCTGTAACAGGGGCTGTGCTATTCCAAGTTTGTAAAGCCAAGAAACAGCCTAAGCAGCTAAGTTTCACACTGCTATGGGTTTTTAGACGGAAGTAGACCAGATAAAAGCCATAGCTTTAACATAGTTGCATACCCGTCAGGATATAGATTTACACCAGGTAGTAACGGTTGCTCTCAACCGAACAGCAAACTGTAAAGAGAAAGTCCCAAATGGAAACGCGGTCCCACTAAGGAATAAAATGGCCAACTTTCTAGAAAGCTCTTTCTAAATTTGTTCTGGTGCTCTTTTTATAATACACATATTATTTTTACCATATATTTATCCAAGAAATCCCTTGTTACGCAGCTTGTCACCTCCTTGGACAGTAGCCCCCATTCGCTTAGTGCTCTCATGCACATGGGTCGTGCGCAGGCTATCTCGCCGGGTAAGTTCTGCCTCGGCCTCCTGATAGCGCTATCTAAACAACCTTAACAACCCTTGGACTCTATAACTCTTCCCTACAACACCATCACACAAATGCGGTTAACAATCTTTACTTGCTTGTCTATTATTGCGTCTTGTTCCGCCATAGCCGCCTATGACGCTGCGGTCTTCCAGATCGGCACTGATGTGGAGGGCGTAACTGTGTCCTCCCAGTTGGCGGGCTTGTTCTTAGCCGACAAGCTCGACGTCAGTGATCACTACAACGCTGATAGCGTGGACTGCACTGTGCTAGCCTCTCTCTTAAATGCCGCTCCACAGGCTGCCAAACCCGAATTGGTAGTCTTTGTGCACGGCGTTGCTGCGCCAGCGCAGTTCATGGATGCCAGCCACTTTGAGGTGTCGTCTGATGTGGGATTCAGCGACTTGGTCAAGCAAACGACCGAGAAGTTCCCTGAATGGTTGAAGGATAACAACCAGGTTGTGAATTTATCCTCAGAAGTGCAATTGATTGCGCCTAGCCCACCTACTGCGTTGGTGCACAAGTTTGAAACCATCTCGGACGAAATCGAGGCCCTCTGGCCGGATTTGAAAGCCCAGTTGGAAGACTTTTTACCGGAAAGCAAGGCTAATGGCTACAGCGTGCGCTCTGTGGTGAAGCACATCAGCGACACGCTCTTTGCGGACGAGTTGACCCAGTTGAACAGAATCCAGAACGCTGTGACCGACCCATCCACCAAGCTCATTGTAGACTTGAAATCCTTGCTTTCGGTGGGTACAAAGACCGGTTTCGGATCCTTAACCTACTCCGCCTGTCAGCAGATCATCGCCCAGGTTATCTCACAGAAGCTTGGCCAGTTCCTGGTCACCGTTGTCGCATTGCCTGTGGAGCTTGGCATCTCCCAACAGAACAATCAGGGCCAAGAAGCTTTGCTTGCCAAGAGGGATGCGAAGAATTTGGTTTCCAGTCCTTTCATCAATGCCAACGCTCCATTCACGAAGAGAGACGCGAAGAACGTGTTTGTGCACACTAAGCGTGACGGCAGATCCGCCTCCATGGGCTACTCCACGGAGGAGTCCTGTCAGGTCGCTACCGCCAACTGTAACAACCACGGGATCTGTACCCAGATTGGCGCTACTTGGACCTGTGTCTGCGCTCCTAGTTTCAACAGCACCATCAACAAGACCACCTCTTGGGCCGGTGCCGCGTGCGAGAAAAAGGACGTCTCGGTGGAGTTCAACTTGTTTTTGTGGACCGGCGTGGGATTTCTTACCTTGTTTGTTGCTGGTGTTAAGATGTTAGCTACCGTCGGTTCTGAGCCATTGCCGGGAGTGTTGGAGGCCGCCACCATCAAGAAATCTACTTAAGCACTTTTTCAAGTCCCTTCCTTTTTCCCAAAGTCATAAATTTATATATCTGGATACGTTTCAGTTCTCATTTTTCCTCACCTTGTGTGTCTTTTTTCGCCTTTTATTCGTATTTCTGCACATAATTTAAATTTCAATAGTGTAACTACAAGACGGTGGGTTGTAGGCTGGATAGGTAAACGTAGACATCCAGTCATGAGTGACATATGCCTTGTTTTCAGTGCGAAACTGCTTCGGTGGAAGATATAGCACACTTTTGTTTGGAGTCTTAGCCTTCAGATTCCCAAGTTTTGCTGTTTCACCCCTTAAATTGAGTGTTAGTAGAGAAGTTTCAAATTGTTATAGAATGTTAACTAGCAATTCAGCCTTTCCATAATCGTCTACATCACTCTTATCAGCCTCAAACCTGAAGTGGTACTATCTAGATAACCCCATATCCCCTGGACGATTCCACTATCCAGAAATCCCTTTTTCATTGTTTTAAGAAGTTAATTATACCTAAAGGTCTAAAGTCTATCCTACTCAGCAAAGGTGTACCGAGGAATAGCTTACCGAAAACAAACTCCATAATTACAAACCACCGTGCGGCTCGCGATATCCCGTCTCAAAAACTAACCCACACATCCATGCTCTTATTCATCCGACCAGTCTACCATATCCTTACCTGAAATCATAACCAAGAGATAGAGAACTTATCTTGGGATGTCTCTACTCATCCTAGATCCCCTTTCTCTCTCTGAACAGCTTCCAGACGCCAGCGTGTCGAACGTTCATCGGCTCCGAATCATAGCTCAGGTACTACACTACGACGAACAAAAAGGTGATATCTACGTTACACGAGTGCCACTGTTCCCGCTGTATTTCCCTAAGGGTATCACTGCTGCTTCCGACGAAGTCCAGGAGATTTCACGCCAATGGATGAATAACAATTTGCACAACACCATTATCGACTTTGAAACCCTCATGCAGATGCAGCAAAACTTTCTAAAGTCCCAAATAACTGTAAACTTGACTGCAGTACTATCAGACAAACACTTACTGGTCGAGTGTGTTACTCCTGGCTCTGTGGTTGAGATAGAGGCGTTGTATGACGGGGAAGTACGCTGCATCGACTGTTTTGAGATCAATAGCAGCTTGGTCGATGCTAATTCAACGTATGCAACGCTCAGTATTTTGGGTGATTTGACAGATATAAGTTGAATCAGGTTGTAGTCCCTTCTGAAAGGAGACGTGAACCGTCGTTACGTGCTCTCGAGTTTGAATCATTACGTGCAAGTCCGTCACCTCAAGATTCAAGCCCCCGGTCTAATCGTTAACGTCGATTCGAATAACCCCAGAACTTGCCTTTCTATAAAGAAGCTACACGCCAAATTTTCATTATCCCAAGTAGGCTAACGGATAGCTCCCACCGTTTCTTTGTATTTAGTTACGACTCCAGTGAGGCTACACGAAAAGAGTCTATGTTGGTTAGCCAAGATCATTCTCTTCAGTTTTGAATCTGGCTCTAACAGTAAAAGGAGCTTACAGTGTTTACGAAACCACAGGTTATTCCCCCAAAGTCGACGTTCAAACGCCGCGACTGAAGTCTATGGTTAATCACTTCAACCGGACAAGGATGCAACGGTGGCTTCTCTGGTATAACTACACAAACATTTTCTAGTTCACATCACCTAGTGATTGATATATAAATATCTAACGATAAATATATGCACCACCTCGTCATGCTTTTTTTTTCTGTGTAGAAGCGAATATTTGTTTCCCATCCATCTGGTCTTCCCTATTCGCCGCTAAGACCTAGACCCATATACTCTTCGCTAGATACCGAAAGACCATCTCGTACAACCGCTGGCCACTATGAGTCTACGGATATTGCTGGTTAAGGTTGAAGTTCTCCATCCGTGGATTCATCGAGCCAACCTGGAGGTGCTGTGAGGAAATGAAGCTTGGCACATCAGGCTCGACCTCGGACGCGGGCTCGGGCGTATCACGCCGCATTGGGGGTTGATACGGTCTCATAGCCTGCTCGTTGTAGAAGTTGTAATAACTGTCCTGGGGGGACAGTAAGCAGAGCGACATAGGTGCCATACGGTCTAACTCCTCGAAGAAGCGGTCCAAATCATACTTGGAACTCCCAGTGGCCTCAAACATTTCCGCATGGATGGTTGGTGTACCAATAGTGCTGGCGACGTTGGACGGGAGGTTCAAGTTCAAAGTAAACCGTTCTTCGTCCTCCCTGAAAGCCTTAGGCTTCACCACAGGGGTCAACATGTCAAGTTGGTGCTGATGGCGCATCTCCTCTTGGGGTAAAGATCGGATCAACTGCCGGAGCTGGGCATTACCCATATGCGCAGCCAGTGCCACTACGTCATCGTCAATGATGGGTTTCCTGGGTGAATTTTCCTCATCGCCTTGCTTACTTTTGGCTTCGCCATTCTTTTCGCCCCAAAATCTCTCTCCGTGGACCTCGCCGTACTTAATCTTGAAGACTGCAGCGGCGAGGAACTCAAAGGTATCCTTGCAGGTAGTGGCCGCGTCGCATCTGTCCCTGAGAGATTGGAAAATGTTCACCGCCGTATTCGTAATGCGCTTCAATTCTTTCAAAGAGATGGACTCTCGAAGGTCGTCACACGTGTACACCGAATAAAGGTACGATGCCCCGGCCATGAACAAGTTGTGCACGGCTACCCACGTGTAATTAATCAGCTGCATCGCTAACATACGGTCGTACGTGATAATGACCTGTTTGGCAGCCTCTGTCGCAATGCGGTAGTCATTAAAGCTGAACTTGGGGCTCCGCGGACTCAAGCCGTGAAGCATGAGCAACGTGTGGTTGTAGGACAAATTGAAAAACTCCAAGTTAAAGTCGCAGTTCATCTTGCGCGGCGCGTTTGGCGTGTTGAGCCGCCAATTGTCAAGTTTTTTCAGAATGTATTCGCTCCAGGACGCGAGGTTAGAGAAAGCCCGCGGTAGCTCGTTGCCCTCGTACATGATTTGTTGAATCTCCGCCTGGATCTGACGGATCTTGAACATTGCAAGGCTCACCACCTTGTAGGTAGGAATTCCGCTGGCGTTTTCCAGGTAATCCGCCGTAGAATCTTCCACGATTAACATGTCATCTAATTCAGAAGGGAACTGCGTGTTGACACACCCCTCAGGAATCCCGAACGGGCGCCCGAGATAAACGCACACCTGTCTGTCGAGAGAGTAGGTACACCAGAACAAGCGCCGGCGCATGTCTTTGACGAACCCCAGGAGTTTCTTGTTACCCAGTTCATTCTGAAGACCGAGATCTACGCATAGGCGAAGCGCCAGACCGAGCACGTACCACACCCCTGGCTGTGCAGGCCGCATCATCGAGTAGAGTGTGAGGAGAAGGATTCCTTGAAGCGATTCAAGTCTGTCCAGCGAGGAATAAACAACGTCCATGGATCGGAGGGCGGCAGAGCGAAACCCGTCCAGAATTTCTGCCGGGTATTGAAGATGGAGCGCTGACAGTGCTACAGCAAAGATGATATTGAGGAAGTAGAGCGGAATAACGAACTCGGAGGGGACAACAAGCCCGTCGACATACCGCATGAGGTCTACGTAGTCACCGCCAGCGTTGTCCTTCTGGAAGGCGTCGATGTGCTGTCTGAGGCGGAAGTCCCAGGTATCGGTCTCGGCGACTCGCAGTGGCATGGAGGTGGTTGTGTAATCTGAGGCAAGGGACACTTTACCGAGCTGGCCGTAAATCGGATCCCAGTACTTGGCGATGAACTGTTCACGGTGAAGGATGGGGAGTTGCGAGTTGGTCTGCGCGAAGTATATTTTAAGGTACTCTTGCGCAATTTGTTTCGGCGGGAGGAGTGCCGGGTACGTGGATGGACTGCTGGTGATGGATGGGTCGTGTTCGGCGTTGTTAAAATTAACCGTCGAAAACATGAGGCGTGAGAAGGAGACGTCTGAACTGGCACCTACCAATGTAGGGGCGCTGGACATTGGCAGAATGGTTGCCGCCTCCCTCTCCGGTTCGAGGTGTTTCACTTGCCCTTCGGGCCGCTCCACCTTCTGCCGCTTGGCCTCTGGGTCGATACCGTTTTCACGGAGTAAGATCTCGAGCTCGGCGATTTTGTCCTCCAAGTGGATCACGTATGACCGTGGGACTTCGCGCCCAGTGGCCGGATCCAACCCCACACATTCGACGCCCGACTTGGCGCATTTAGCGCAGGCCGGAAAGTTCTGGTCGCAGCGGATTTTCTTAGTGCGACAGCGTTGACACGCTGCAATGGAGCGTGAAATTCCGAGAATGGACGACGACGGCCGTTTTTTGGAGGAGTCCTCGCTGTCGGAGGAGACTGAGGGGTTCCGCGTCATGGGAATGTGCCAACTGGTAGAGATTTGGTAGCAAGGTCTTGGATAAAGCTTTATCTCTTGCTTACGTTAGGGTGAGGTTGCTTTAGAGATGGTTGTCAGGAGAAGTTGCGAGTAGTGACGTTGGCTAGTTTAGTGCTCTTCTCTGATCAGATAATGGCAAGTGAATGCTTCGATAATCTTAGCAACGGCTGTACTTGGTACTATAGCAGGTCGCAAGGGATGGATGTAGCGCTATACAAACAGATAAGGCAATTAGCTCCGTATAGTCGTATAAACGATAACGTTCGCACGGGTGTTAAGCGATGATATTAAAGGAACTGGGGTTGAGGATCTGCGTGCAAGCTTAGTTTGCGCTGATTTTATTGGCGTGGAAATTAGCCGCCCCGGGCAGTCGATCCGAGATAGCGGGGGGAAATAGAGTCACGAGCTACAAGCGCGGAGGCTGCGCCGCTCGCAGCCGGTACCGGCTCACGCCCGTGCGGGCAACTGCAGGCGAGGCAATGCAACCTGGTGACTGTAGAAGACGAGGCTGGGAGGGTCTGCCATCTATAAGAGAAACACCCAAATTTAATGAAAGCGTTGCAAGCGCATATACTACGATGGCAAACAGTCGAAGAGGCTTGTTAGGTCCTAGGGCTGAGGCAGCGCTACCAAGCACAGTGTCACCCATAAAATTCCTGTTTGGGGCATCACCCCGGACCAAAACTAGCAAGGTGCATCGAAGAGGGAGCACAGGCTTAGTATGCAAGCAGAGCGCAGGGTTCCGAGCAACAGGGCGGTTCCTACGTCGCATCGAGTTCGTAAAACCGCTTAAATGGTATTGTCTAGCATCAAATATGCTCACCGAAAATTGACACCAGTTGGTGTTCCTGGCTAGAAATACCTACTGCTGTCCGGTGTATATCTGTGGACCACGGCTTAACTGTAGGTGCCTCTTGTCCACACGCAAGTCTAGAATCGCTGATCGTCGTGGGGGTTTTTGTTTCAAATACATTCTTGGCCTCGGAGTCCGAGCCATCAGCGCCTTGCCGAGCCACTAACTCCGTACTCTAGTTTGACGACCTTATAATGGTAAAGGTATGCAACGCCATTTTTTCTTTGACCACAGGGGTGTGCATATACGATGGTGCTGTTTAAGCTGCCTTGTATGTATAAAATCTTACGGTCAACTACTGAGTCTTTTGTGTCCCATCACCCTGCGCCAGCGACATATTTCCAAGATGCTGTTATGATAGTATTTTTATCCTCGTTTACTTCTGATATTTTTTTTCAATAAACGCTTTTTTGCACCGCTTAAAAATGCTTAACTTGGCTATCGCGGTACATGTAAACCTCGAAAAGTCGTCACTCCGGACAGAACCTCCTGCATATATGTTTTTTTGGTATTAATTCTGATTCCATCTTACCTCTACTAGAACACTAAAGGTATCTCCGCACCACAAAGTTTGAATCTAGTCGCTTGTGATTAATCTCTCTTGTGTAATGATTGGCCCACCCGTTCCCAAGGAGATCCTTGAAGAGAGAAAAGCCAGCCCCAAGCCAACCGCTTTCACTAGCAAGGCTGCCCCCGTGAAAACAACTAAGACCTCCCTTTTTGAGGAGCATGCACGCTTGAAGTCGTTGGCAGGAGAAAATAACAACCACCTCTACGACCATGAAGAGAGTCTCAAGCAAGAATTACGCACTGAGATGTTTCGAAACCTTAGCAAGAGCTCGTCCAAGTTTATTAAAGGCGATTCCTTATAAGGAGCACAAGTTCTAATGGTCGTGATTACATGAGACTTCTGGTCATTTGCGTCTATTATTGCCCTCCGTGCCAAAGGATATGTATACAATCTATGCGAACTAAGTTGAAGGTACCGTGTTTGGACATCTCTACCTCTTCAAGCTTTCCCTTTACAGGCGCAATTTTTTGATTACATTTCGTTCAAGGCCTATTCCTTTTGAAATTAGTCGACGGTAGTCTCGTGTAACTACGCTGGACTGTCCACATAGTCTCAACCTATGCTAAATGTGATCTGCCGAGTCAGTACCGTGCGCTGAGATGTTAATCCCCCTAAAAGGGAAATCACCCTGGAAACATATATTGTTTTGGCAATACAGGGGAGTTAGCTCTCAATCTACATGTCTGAGTCTCAGTTATTGTTTGGCATCCTACTTTTAACATGTACATAAAGGGCCAACCTGCTAATAGATTAAACTTTTCGATGGTTTCTGTAATATACTGCAATATATTTTGAAATTGACACTTTGCACCCTTCCGCTATAACTCCACCCTCCGCCGTCGCGCGCGACACAGCTTCTTGCGGCTTACTTCAAACTCGCGCTATATCTGGCGCGGCCCTTTCGACATCTCTGCTACCTCCACCTCATCCCCTCAGAAACGCCAGAATGTCACACGGAAAGATTCTCTGCCTCCACGGCTTCACTCAGTCAGGTCCCCTTTTTGCTGCCAAAACCGCTGGGCTCCGTAAGGCCTTTGCTAAAGCCGGTTTCGAGACCCACTACCTCTCCGCGCCGTTGAAGCTCACACCAGCGGATTTGCCTTTTGACGCTGTTTCGCTTGGCTCTGTCCAGAAGGCTGAAACCCCCGATTATCGTTCCTGGTGGCTTCTCGATGATGACTACGACATGACCGAGGCCTGGAAGTCCATCCGTGAGTGTGTGGAGAAGGAGGGGCCGTTCGTCGGCATCATGGGTTTTTCTCAAGGTGCGGGCTTCGCGGGCGTTGTCGCAAACAAGCTCGCAGAATTTAGCACACAGACGGACGCGCTTAAATTTGCCATCTTGTACTCGGGTTTTCGCCTCAAACCTGCGCGCTACCAGAAGTACTACGAGCCGAAGTTGGCCCTCCCGACCTTGCACGTGTGGGGCGAGTTGGACACCGTTGTGGAGGAAGACCGCTCTCGGGGTTTATGGGACGTATGTGAAGACAGTTCCAGAACGTTGTTGAAGCACCCCGGTGGCCATTTTGTGCCAAATAGCAAGATGGTTGTGTCCCAAGTCGTGGGATGGTCGTTGAATGTGGTGGCGCCAAATGCGTATGCCGATAAGATGGAACAGAAGCCAGAAAAAAGAGGAGATGATTTTTCCCAGGACTTGTTGGATGCCATTGACGGGTTAGGAAAGTTGTAGTCGGTGTTTTCTGACGTAATCAGATACAAACTTTGAGCTGGATGGTGATGGAGTTTCCCAGTGGTTCCATTACGGTTAGAATCTTGGCACTATCACTGGAATGATTTCTGAGCCAACCGAAATCTTTGGAGAAGTATCAACCTTGAGAAGTCGTATTCATCACTAACTGATGTAACGACTCAAGGACTTTAGAGCTATGTATCGCCAGCTCTTGTGTATTTCCATGAATAGATCTAGATTCAATAGGATAGGTTAAACTTGCAGCTTTCAAAGTGTCCTCTAGAATTAATTTGCAACTAAAAAGTTAAGGATACCTCGTAAACGTGAATGAAAAACGCTGATGTAATTTCTGGCACATCTAATTCAAAACTACTCCCCAGTGAATTGTGGTTTAATGTGCTTTTTAATTCATCCTGAAAAATCAGCACTAGTCACTCTTACCTTTATAGACCATAAGTGTGAGATTATGGTCATATAAAACAGCTGAAGACAAGAAAGAACATTGGGTAATCATCCTGTTTCATGGTATTAAGCCATCTACCTGAGCCTCGCTTTAGTCATTTCCCGAACTACTGTAATCCTTCTCTCTTTTTCTTTCATCGATTGGCAAATTAGTGCAAAGATAAGTGGTCGATTCTGGCCTTGATGATTATGATTCAGGGGTAGCTCAACATTCTTCAGAGTTCAATGTTTTTTAAATTTTGCATTCCCCCTTCGGCATGTCCCAAATATTCCCTAAGAATTATTTCGTAACCATACTTCATCTAATTCTCGGTGGCCTCCAGAATTTTCTAGCGCTCTGTAACTGCAATCTTCGTTTGATAATACTAGCTATGATAGAATAGAGGTAAGGCTTTGTCAGCCACACAACATGATAACTTCTAAGAAAAAGAATGGGAAGCTGAGGATAGAATAACGGTCAAATCTCATGTTATATTTCTTATAACCTGAAACGTTTAAAGCTTGGTATAGCACCGGGAAGTATGTATTGAACATACCCCCATTTTCTAAATTCCTAACACTTCTATTCTATTTTCAAGTATTTACATAACCCCGAAAAATCAATGCATATGGTTTACTTTCTGGTTTGATCTATCTCGGGTCAAGTGCCCTTTTCTAATCTCCAGACTTTGCTTAAACGACACCTTATAAAATATCTAGCAAGAGTATAGTTAGCGCGCACTTGGATCTCTGTATACGACTTCGAACATTCTTAGACAATGATAGTGTTATGCACTATGGATTTTTTAACCTTATCGATAAATGTTGAAATCATACATTTCATAATTAAATATCTGCAATATCCTATATAATACTTTCCCAGTAATAGCCACTGCATGGCTCCTCAATTCACACTCCATGACTTCTAGCTTGGCCACATGCGTGTGCGCCGCACTACTCCGCATCGGAAAAATCCTCCGCATCTCGTCATAACCATCAGAAGCTATCGATCCATAGCCTATCTAGATCTTCTCATTCCATAAATGACAACATTACCTAAGATTCTCTGTCTCCATGGGTTTGTACAGTCCGGGCCGGTGCTTGCGGCCAAGACACAGGGCTTGCGCGCGGCGTTTCTCGCGGCGGGCTACGAGCTCTTTTACCTCACGGCGCCAGTGCCGATGGATAGTGGCATTACCGAGCTGGCGGATCACCGTGGGTGGTGGCTTGATGACGGGATCTACGACATAGATGCGGGAATTTCTGCTGTCAAACAGTGTGTGCTCTCTGAGGGTCCGTTTGTGGGTGTGCTTGGGTTCTCCCAGGGCGCGGCCCTTGCCTCAGCACTTGTCGCGCACCCCGAGATTGTGGGCCACGCGTTCTTCCACTTTGGGATCTTTTTCAGCGGCTACAGGCTAGACCCTGTAGACTACCAGTGGATATACAAAGAGAAGGTGACCGTTCCCACGCTTCACGTTTGGGGGGACTTGGACACTGTTATGGAGGAGAGCCAGAGCCAGCGCTTGTTGGATTCATGTGAGGAGGGTCTGAGAACGTTATTAACACATCCAGGCGGCCACTTTGTGCCACAAGGCAAGCTTATGGTAGACAAAATAGTAAAATGGACCGTGGAGGTCAGTGGAAAAGAGCGTGAATAAGGATCATGCAATGCTTTTGATGATGGGTTAGACTGTGTATATGTGTTTGGCATTGGTTAGATATGTAGGATAGTTTCGTTACAAAGTGTGTAATGACACAATATGAAGGTAAGGTGTTTTCTTTTATCGTGTTATTCGTGAGATCTTCGTTAGTTTCGATTTTTTAATTTCTTCGAATTTAAACTGTATTACAATGGTTGCTTAAGTGGCTACTCGACGAGGGTTATAATCCACCTGGTTTACGTAATACTATACGGCAAATCTATTTAAAAAAAAATGTAACAAAGTCCAGGAGACGTGTTTCTACGAGGAAAAGCACGATTACTACGCTCAGGTCCTTCCAGAAACCCATGCTAACCTTCAAAAAATGGGTGGATCCATATCATAGTCTTGGATTGATCGGGGGTAAGGCACACGCTCAGCTACTAATATCGAGATACACTTTAGACCCTATCAGTGGCAGCTTCGGGGGCTTTCTACTGGTGGAAAAAAGGGGGTCCAAGAGATATATCTCGTCGATTTCAAAGACGAGAAAAACTCACAATGCAACGGAAGGACATGTCCATTTATTTATCAGTCTTGGTGCTTAGCTCACTTCGATTCAGCTTATTGTCAGAATTCGCGGACCTACCCTATCCTTACGATGAACTCTTCGCAATACAACTCAGCCTGGCTCGATAAATAATATGCAAACAAATGAGTCACATAAACCGTCCAAAGCCAGGCTATTTCCACCCAAAAATCCCTCACATGTCAAATAAGCAGCGAATAATAGCCAGGGCTGTGGAACATTAGACAATGTGGCAAATGTCAAAGGGTGGCGCACTAATAAGAATAAGACGTGGCGTGCTTATATGCCGGGTTATATACCTTAGCTGTTTGCTCCCTGGGTATTAAGGTCTATCAATCGCTATAAGAGCTCCAATTTCTCATTATATTTGCGGATGGTAGGCATTCTGTTACGATTATATTTCTATTAGTGTCAGTTATATCTCGGTAATCTGAATACTCGTGGATTTTGGACCTGCCCCTGGCAAATCAGATTACGTCATCTCCCCTTCCCCAGTTTTCCTGTCAACTTTTGCGTTTCCAAGACGATTTAACCGCGTGATCATAAGCGCCATATAACATTTAGATAGGATCAGACCTTTACCCAAACCTTGTACGGTACTTAACTCCCCCATATTAATAAACCCATCCAAAAGCCGTATATTACCCCCCTTCAACCAGAAATTCCTCTCAATCTTATCGCTTTAAAGAACCATGGACATCGCAAGAAGCGCTGATCGACAAAACGCACCGCCTTTGGCCAGGCAAAACGCTTCCCAGTCTCGCTTCAAGCTCAACCTCCTCATTTCTTTTGTCTTCACACTCCTCCTCCTCAACTGCCTCTTGTTCAGCTCGAGTCTTGGTCTCCATCCCACCACAGTCATCGTGCTTGATGTGCGCCATCGCTTCCAGCAAGTATTTGCCTGGCTCCTACCACAGTCATGGCTCGCGCGCGACTTCGACTTGGACCACAACATTGACCTTCCGCTCTCATCTATTTTTGCACCGATTCTCCCAGTTGACGGCATCTTTGAGTACGGACTAACAAAATATACGGAACGTATCTCCGACGGCGGTGAAACTGTCACCACCGTCCACTACAATTCGTCCCAGCGTATCATGGCACGCTATGCTGCTTTTAGCACCATTCCCTCGCAGAAACTACTCTCAGAGGTGGTCATCTACCCCGGTGACGGCTGCTCATCGCACGCTGAGGGTTATGCACACACGTACACGGACAAGTTTGTGGTGTTGTTTCGTGGCAACTGCTCCTTTTTCGACAAGGCGCAGAATGTGATCAAAGTCTTGAAGCCACGAGGCGTCATCATAGCGGACAACAGCCCGCAGCGCCACGAGTTGATCACTATGTACTCAAAGAACGGTTTGGGCGATCTTGATGGCGAGAAATTGGGCGTGCCGGTGTTGTTTGTAACGTATGAGAGCTACCTGTGCCTTGCAAGGTTCATTAAAAAGAAGAACAAGGGCTGGAAGTCTTTAGAATCGTTTGATTCGGTACAGTTTGAGGGCCCCAAATCTGACGATCCCTTTAAAGCTCCGGTGAGATTTGACGAATCTGAAGATAACACCGATGAACCCGATCTCAGTCTCTCATTTGTCCAGCTCTCTACTATTGACGATTCGCGCTTCTTCAACGTACTCATTTCTGTCATCTTCTCGCCTCCGCTTCTCCTCTTTCTCATCTTCTTGGTAGTGAAGCACCACGAGCAGCAACGTACCCAGCCCCGCAAGGTGGACGAAAACTTTGTCAAGCAAAATCTCCCGGTGTATATCTACGATCCAAAGTTTCTTATACCGCAACGCGACTTTAACAAGTTCCAGAAGCTTGCCACCAAGCTCAAAGACGAGTTTCCCAACTTTGCGGTTCCGAGTGTAATGTCCTCGCTGGCCTCCATCTCGTCACTTTCTTCTCAAGTCTCCATGTCCCATTCAGACGAATACTACTCCCAGCTCACGCAACTTATCTTACGACTCCAGAACATTGATATCCTCGTTCCATCCCTTGGAAATACAGATTTTTCCCGCCTCAACTATTTCAACACCACCAAGTGTGCGATCTGCCTCGAGGTGTACGAACCCTGGGTGTCTGAAATAATCCCACTTGCATTTTGCAAGCACATCTACCACCGGAAGTGCATTTCTAAGTGGGTTGTGAACCACAACACCAAGTGCCCGTTATGTCAAGACGACATCACTAGCCATGACTACAAGAATGACGACCCCCACGAAGGGTCAAACATGGTCTTTGACGAGGAAAGCCATGTCTCTGGAAGTCTTTCTCCCGATAGCGACGGTGAAGTCACCCCTCTTTTAGCGAATACGTTGGTTTCGGATGGGCAGTATGGATCAATCACAGATTCTTTTGTCAATCACTACAACTGTGTGAACCAGGTACCGAGACGGGGCTGTCAGCTGGTATGTGTGTTGCCCCATTGGAACGGAATGCCCCAGGGGATGTCCCACGGGACGACCTTAATCGAGCGCAGTGATTTATTCACGGCGGATGACGACCCGTACGAGAACCCGTTGTTCATCGATGAATCAGAAGGGCAGGAGGGTATCAAGGAAAATGATCTGAACAGCGTGCTTACGTTATAGTGCCCTCGGAATTCCCTTGTCGCTACGAACCCTGCCCCTTTGTTATGCGCAAGGCTTCATCGATATTTTAGTGATATATGGTGTGTTTTAATCTGTTTGCTACCTTTTTGTTTCCTCGCTCTTGTTTCTTGTTGTCTTTTGTTTTTACCTTGGTCTTTCTTTGTGGTTTATGAATTAATGAATTTTTAGTTTTACTTGTCCCTCTACGTTTAATTGAAAAGTGATAATCTATAATGAGAGTCATCTTGATGGTTGCTACACCTCAAAAGCCGTTGGTTTCATTAGCATTTGGACTCTACTCTTTCACCGTCCCAGGACCTTGCAACATAAATATATAAAACCAAAAGGTCTGTACTCCAACTCCTTCTATATGGCATGTGCATTCCATGTAAATAAAATTCTGCCTGCCCATCTTCGTCCAGAAGCCACTATAGTTCAACAGTCATCTATATTAGATCAATCGTTTATGTAGCGGGAGGGTTGCTCTCTGGTGGACATGTGGCAATGCACCTCCATGCGGTCGGCGTACTCCTCGTAGAAGCCCTTCCAGGCCTCCACAGCGTCGCAGTCTTCTATAATCCGCGGTTTGTGCACGATCTTATCCATTCCCTCGACGTACTTTATCAGTTCCTCGCACTCGATTCGGTACTGGTGATTCTCCGACTTTGGATGGAGGTGGAACCAGGGCTTTGGATACGGAAAGTCGGAGAAATGCACCAATTTCAACTTGTCTAACGCGCCAAACGCGTTCCACTGGGTCCAGTACCCCTTGGTTCCCTTCACCATCGCAGCAGGTAAGTCCGGAGCATCTGCCATGAACACACTGTGGTCATCCATTCTAAACTCCCCGGTCAACCCGCCATAAACCTGCTGTGGCAAAACCAACGTCTTATATTGAAGCTTCCGTGCCGCAAGTTTGCTGGGGTTGAAGACCTTGTTGATGATGTCCATGTCGTATTCATGTGCCTTTTTCCACCATATTGCGTTTATAAGCGCTTTGTATATTTTCATATTCGGCTTGACCACCATGAAATGGCTACCAAACACAAACTGTGCGTGGTGACGAATTGGGGGAAGCGAATCATAAAGGTGCGGGGATTCCGTAAGTATTTTGATCTCATCGTTTCGGTCCTCTCTAGACTTCACCGCTGGGGAAGAGTTGCCGGGGTTCTCTTTGGCTTCATTTTCGAGCCTCTCCAGCACTAGCCAGTAGGCCTGGGGTATGGCGATATCCGCGTCAGGCAAGGAAAACAACTCGTCCATGTGGCCGGCACCTTTGGGAATGGTTGCATCGGCATCAAAGTAGACGATCCGGTCGTATTTGGTCTGGGCGAATACCTTAAACTTGGTATAACTTGCCATGTACGTCGAGTCTTTGCCCTTGACTCGGTGCATGTGAATGGCCCGCAACTCGATGTTGTACAACTGGGCAAGCTCGATCTGGAAGCGGAACTGGTCTCTGGGGATTGTTTTGCTGATATCGTCTCCGTCCTTTACTTCCAACCTCTGGTCAAGATTCTTTTCATATAAAATCACAAGGTTGGGGCACTTGGTGCGTAAGTCTCGTAGCCTGATGAAGTTCATGATGGCAGCGCAGAGGTGATCGGCCTTAGCGGCGTACTGGAAGTACGCTGTTTTAGACCATTCCGGTTCTGGGGATATTTTTGCCACGTATTGGATGACCTCAGCAGGGATGAACTTCAAATTAGACTCCGAAACAGGGAATCCAGTGCTCTGGAGGCTGTATTCGCTGAGTCTGGTGGGCTTTTGCAGGTGGGAAAAGATCTGATAAGCAATGAGGAGGATGCTCACCATCACACAGCCCCTAGCCACTAGACGGCTTCGGAATACCATATCACAGGTCTATTTGACGTAACCGGTAGGGAAAGTGTGCCAATATAGATACTATAGCCTGTCTGTCCATTGCGATATCTGGTCTGACAAAGGCAGAGTGAAATTTTCAAGAGGTACAGTCCGGCATGGAAATTGGCACAAGAGAGTTTGCGGGGCCGACATCATCATTCTTCCGAAATCTCTAGCGTATTAAAATTACTCAATCCATGTTTAGCTTCGCTATTTAGATATATAAATTAGGAACAGAGTCTGTCTTGATCTGCGGATCACTTGCTCTTTTAGTCAGATACATAACTCTCAGTCCTTTAAGCCATATATCTGAATCACCCAGAAGCTTGAATAAAGTGTAAACCCCTAGGAGCAGCCTGTCTCCTTCAGGGTTCCGATCCACACTTTACCTTATATTGTGAAATCATTATTATTAATTTATGGTACTCCCCCAATAATCTGCAGTTCTATCTACTTATTTCTGGAACACAGGGAACTCTAATCCGTGGTTACCGGAGTAGTTGGCCACCTCGGGGCTCTTCCAATCTTTCAACACCTCTTTATCGGTGATCTGGTACACCTCAACGCCCAAAGGTCTACAACAGTCGACCATATCAAGCTCCTCTTCGTCCCCTTCACCCCAGCCCCAGGTAGACAAGTCCCCGCCCGGACAGGCAGACAAGGCCATTAAGACATCAACCTCAGCAAAAAACTCGATGTAGTCGCCCTTGACGGCAGGGCAGGTTTCCATAAAGTACTGGTCGTGCTCGTTCAAACCGGTCAACTGGAACACGTTCAACACGTCGTGGACATCGAATTCAGTCAAGCCATACGGCATAACCGCTCTCACGAGGTTAGAATGACAGTGGAAGTCGTTATCCTCGCCAGACAAGAGCTTATCCACATACGGATCGCATCTGGTCCCGAGCAAGTCGTGGAGTCTACCACCGTGCTCGTCCTGGCCTCTATCCTTCATGGAATCCCCCGTGATTGTGACAAGCGGACGAAGGTACGGTAAAGTAGACCATAGTCTATCGTAGACCGACACATGGGCGCTGTGGAGCTGCCTGGTACGAGCAGCCCACATTCTTTCGCGTGGGTTGTGGAAATTCCAGATGTTCAAGTCACCCACCTGAGGCCCTTCTGGGGTGGTGATCCGGCAGACAGAGCCCGCTGGTACCTTCCAGGCACGTCCAGAGCGGATTGGTACCACTAGTGATTCGGTGAGCTCTCTCTTGGAGTTAGCAACAGCGTCGTAGAAGGTGCGGTCCGCGTAGAGCACCGAACCCTTAGTAGGGAGGTATGCCGGCATTGGCTTCGGCAAGTTGTAGTTAGTTTTCACAGGGGTTTGAGATGACATTTTATGCTACTTTTAATAGGAGGTGATAGCCCTGAGAGATGAGCGATGGTGGTATTTATGTACCGGAAGGAGTGAGGATCAAGATTTGGTCAGTGTGGGCCATATGCATGGCATCACGTTATCGGGACGGCTCCCCGGTGCGTGACATCTGTCCGTGGACATGTTAAGCGAATGCTCTGCGGGGTGTTTTTATGGTTGTGTGCTCCATTGCCAGATCCGAGAAGACAAATATAAGTATTTAAATAACTCCAAGGGTAGGTGGCTTGAAAAATCGATTTAAAATAGTGAAATTTGTTGGCCGTCGAATGTGATGTGTAAAAAAAATTGTTTACAGTCGATCAGACCTGTAAACCAGAACTCTGATCCTCATAAAGTACTTGGTTAGCTCGATCCATAATGATACAGTTTTAATTTAAATAGACGCTTTTATATATGTCCATTAGTTCCTTTTTGGTATCCTACGGTCCTATAAGAGCCATAAAAGGATATGTAGATAAATCATATGGTTCATTCAAAAGTATGACTGATAGGGCTCGCTATGGCTCATTTCAATCGCAGCTAAACCCTCAAGCTAAGAGAGGCCCTCAGCTTTCCAACCGGTTCCTAAAAATCTCATCAACCCGACCCCTTCCTACCACAGGCAATTTCAATGGGCCTGTTGAACAGATCTACTTGGCCATGCTAAAGGACTACCGCGAGGCTCTATTGTACGTTGAGTGACTTCTACGCCTCTCTAACTTAAATGCAGTGTATTAGTTTACATGAGAGCAGACCAATCTGCTTATTTGTAGTTGGACTCGTACTTGAAGTCGGTCAACTCGTAGAAGTTCTCCTTGATGTTTCTGACGGAGACGAATCTGCCGAGAATGTTACCAGACCCGGCCTTGTCGTTAGTACCACTCATTCTGGCACCACCGAACCATTGCTGGCCGACGACTGCACCGGTACACTTGTCGTTAAGGTAGAAGTTACCGGCCGAGTATCTCAACTTTTCTTCGGCCTGTCTCAACGCAACTCTGTCACGGGCAAACACAGCACCGGTCAAGGCGTACTTGGTGGACTCATCGATAGAGGCCATGATAGACTCGTACTGGGCGTTAGGGTAGACGTAGACGGTGACGATTGGTCCGAAGAACTCGTTCTGGAGGTATGGGTGGTCTGGGTTGGTGGTCTTGATGATGGTTGGCTGGATGTAGAAGCCCTTGGATTTGTCGTGCTTACCACCGAAAACGATTTCCAACTCTGGGTCGGCGGCAACGTCGTCAATGACCTTGGCGAGTTTGTCGAAGGACTGCTCGTGGATGACTGGGCCGCTGAAGGCGTTCAAGCCCTCTGGAGCGGCGGTGTTGGATGGGGTGACGGTGCTCAAGGCAGCAGTCATGGTCGCGAGGAACTCCTCGGCCAAGGTCTCTGGAACATAGCAGCGGGAAAGAGCGGAACACTTCTGGCCTTGGAACTCAAACCCACCTCTGACAGAGCTCAACGCCGCGTGGGTGACGTTGGCGGATTCGTGGATGAGGTGGAAGTTTTTTCCGCCGGTTTCACCCACAATACGTGGGAAGTCTCTGTACTTATCGTTGACCAAGTTGTGGTTAATCTTGCTGAAGAGTGACTTGAACACGCCGGTGGAACCCGTGAAATGCAAGGCGGCAAATTCTGGGTCCAGCAACACCAAGTCGGTAACCTGATTAGGTTCGCCCGGGATGAAGTTGACCACACCAGCTGGCAAACCCGCCTCCTCGAGAATGGTCAAAAGGAGGTAGTTAGACAAGGCAGCGGTGGCGGATGGCTTCCAGACAACGGTGTTACCCATCAAAGCCGGCGCCCCAATCAAGTTACCAGCAATGGCGGTGAAGTTGAACGGAGTGACCGCGTAGACGAAACCCTCCAACGGACGGTATTCAGCACGGTTCCAGACACCTGGCGCGGACGCGACTGGCTGCGACGCGTACATTTCTTCGGCGTAACGAATGTTGAAGCGGAAAAAGTCCACCAACTCGGCGACAGAGTCAATCTCCGCCTGGAACACGTTCTTCCCTTGCCCGAGCATGGTCGCTGCGAGCATGTCGTATCTGTACTTGGTGGAGATTAAGTCAGACGCCTTGAGGAAAATGGCCGCCCTGTCGGCCCATGGAGTGTTGGCCCACTTCTGCTTGGCCGCCTTGGACGCCGCGATGGCCGCATTGATCTCCTTTTCGCCAGCCTGAGTGACTTCCGCGAGCACCTGGGCGTGCTTGGCCGGGTTGACCTGTGTGCGTGTACCAGCTGCGGTCTTGTAGATCTTCTCACCGTTAATCACGATTGGAATCTGGAGTGGGCCGTGGTCGGTGAACTTGGTGAGAGACGCACGGAGAAGGTCCCAGTCCTTGGTGTGGGTCTTATCGAACGCCTTGACCGGTTCGTTGACCACTGGTGGAGCCAGCTGGCGTGACAACTGCGCCAACCCGCGGGTTAAGCGGAATGTCACACGTGGGGCAACGGTAAGAGAGGCCCTTGGGGCCTTGAGCGAGGCTCTCAAGGTTCTGGAAACTTGCTTGGACGTGGATCTGAGCATTGTGGGTGTGATGGAGAGAAATAATGGTGCGGAGAATGTTTTGAGGAGACACAGGGGTTTTATAGTTTAATTATCAAACTTGTAGTCGGACGGGGGTCAGGCTCCGGAGCGTTAATGGCATGCGCAAACGAGGAGCGTGCGGAATTTTTCACTGTGGGGGAAAATTGAGGGTGGTGCTACGCGAGGCGAGCGCGAAAGGGAAGAAAAGATCGGGAAAAGATAAGCGCACGGAGCGGCACCCCCGACGTGCAGTGGCAGATGGGAACACAGTCCAACGGCTCGTAAGATAGACGGTGTACAAAGGAAATGTTAGATCACTGATCGGTCTCAACACTAAAAATATATATACTAAGGATTAGATGGTTTGCGTCAGTTTTCGTTCTGAAACTGTAATGCACAGCTGAATAGCATATTTGCACCGTGCGACATGCACTCTACAACCTGTGGCATGGTACTGATGGTGATACAGTTAAATGGGGCAAGATACGACAGGGCAGTACTCCTTCCCCGACAGAAATTCACTGCAGAAACCTACTCCATATTTCAGCTGATACTCTCTAAGTAATGAATATAATTTAACATGGGATAGATGGCCCAGGCTAGATGTTCATCAAAGGGAGTGCAAAAAGGGAATGCTTCCGATTAGTGGCATTCTTGTCTAGTTTGTAGCGCTCCCTGAGCCTGGCTATCCAGCATCTTGGGACTCAAACCGAGTCAGAAAGATACAGTAGATAGCTATGAAAATGGAACTGTCAAGCTCCAAGATAGCAAGTACTTGGATCTATTCCATTGGTATCCTCAAGACTTTTCCAAATACATTATTTAGGCTCATAGCGACATCTGTATAGCCCCTGTGAGACATGATTTCTCGGGGTGGCCAAGTTGGCTAAGGCGCGGGACTGTAATTGCATATGTAATCCTGAGATCGGGTGTTCGAATCACCCTTCCGAGATCTGCTTTTTGGTTGTGCCATTTCTTATGTTTTTTTTTTTTTTTTTTTTCATGCGCGTTTGTGGGTATCCAAGAGCTTCATTCGGGGGGACTTCGAAGTTACATGATTTTACTCCATGATGATACTCCAACGGTTAAGTAATGGCGTTTCCCCCAGTTCATGCACCGACACGACGCATGGAAATAGGACTCCACTAGTTAACCGGGTAACCCACCCCTAATAAGCTTTGTGATTAAATACTGCGTGATCCTGGTCATGATCTGGAGTTAGGTGCAGGACATTTGAACCAGTGTATCACTTCCCGATCTCAGTGGTTCTACGGGTCACGATACTTTGTGAGCTATATCAGTATTTTGAATCATTGCGTACTTCAAATTTCACGGACTGGCTTATTCGGCTGACGGATTGTAGTTAATGACTTAAGTCCCAGCTGTCTTACACGCCAGAATGACGCGCAGAGGCACTCATATGGTTTCAAGGTACGATGCAAGCTAAACGCGTAATATAGAGTATACCTGGTCTGAATTCCACTTTCATGCGTTCTATGCATGATAATGTGCGTTTTTGCTATCCCCTTACGTGGTAATTTGGGATTTGTTCTAAAGCAATGGGCTTGCATCTGTGGACGCTTGTCGTTCCTTGCTTTTACCTTGTAGGAATTCCAGGATTAGGCAAATAGCACTGGAACAAGGTTTCCCCAGTTCCCGTTTGGAAAAACGCCCTCTGGCATAAATACCCCAATATCCCCACTTTTCTTGCCTCATTTCATCTCTTTTTTTTCTTCCTCATATTACTATAATACAATATACATAATGGATTTCAACAGTGTGCTTAAGGAAGGTGAACAATTGGCTGGTCAATACCAAAACCAGCAAGGTGGTAGCGGCGGTAACGGCCAGCAAGCCAACTACGCGCAGTATGCTGAAGATGCCAAGGACGTCTATACGTCTTTCAACTCCGCTGACCCAAACTCTAGTTTCATCAGCAAGGCTGAGAATGCCTACTCTGAGATTAGCAACAACCGCCTGTCCTCTAACAACCAGTCTAACAACCAATCTAACCAGTCTAACAACCAGTCTAACAACCAGTCTAACAACAACCAATCCTCTTACGACGACAACCAAGGTAACAACCAAGGTAACGACCAAGGTAACCAAGGTGACAACTACTAGATGTCCGACACATGATTTTGTGGAACAATTTGTGCCGTGTACGCGTCAATGTATACATATGTACTTCAATTGCTTTATATCAATAAAGGATGTTAGTTATTTACGTAAATACGGCAAAAGTACCAATGAATATCCGTCGATATTGTGGTAAAGCTGCTTCAATTCATATATATCAGCCTCTGCTGCGACACGTAGTCTTGTCGCTTTTTCTTGTGCCATATATGTAGCTAAATTTTAGTTTATAGACAAAAGATTGTAATTTGGCGTATGTTAGCCTAACCATTCATACGGTTTGTTTTATATTTTACCCTTGTATAAGTATAGTGTATGTAACTAATTTTTGGCCCTTCATTTAATCTGCGCCTATATAACCATGGGTCTAGAAATATGCTAACGTCAATAAATTGCTAAAATTCTCATTATTATTAACGACGCCAGTCCTTTCATCTGACCTACCTACCTTATAATTTTCAATTAAAAAGCTAAGATCATATTTTAAAATCCTAAAAACGGGCATTGTTATGAGGCCGAGTGGCAGAGTTTGGATGCTTCACGGTCTTCCGAAAGAATCTAGAGCATTGGGAATTGATGCTTTTAACCTATAAAATCAGCTTCTCAATTGAGCCACAGCTCAGGAAAAAATGATGTCAATTTCAGAAACCTTCTCAAGGCACAGTTAGATACCCCCTGAATCGGTGATCCTCCCTTTTGTGTTACCCTCGCTCATCCTTCTCTCGGCTGATAGCTTTAGTCAATAATAGTTTGTCCAAACAAAGAGATTTCAAGAAACTCAAGACTAAAAAAATGAGCCCAACTCTGAATGAATCTCCGGCTCATCCAAGATAAAACAGACAGAGAAGTGCTCTGCTGTCGGCAGACTCTGTAACTAGCATGGATAGGATATGAAATAGTTTAGGTAGGCTCGAAGTCGGTGAGACAAAGCTTTATTTGGGGAGCCATTTCCCGTTAGAGAGATGGAGAAGAAATTTTAATCCGATCCGTCTCTCGACAGAACGTAAACCAGAGAGTGTCACTAGCAAGGTTTCTATCGAGCTAGGTTTGAGTTAATGTCACAAAATATGGAAATCTGAATCTGATATCCTCAAAGATCGTACGGTATCCAGTAAGACCTGTCATGGTGTTGAATGAATAATCTGCCTGTCAATTAAAGTGAACTGTACTTGAAACTTACAATCACAAAGATACATCCCGAACTGATCGGTAAAAATGCAATTTGTTTGACTGGATATTTCGTCCGAACTAAGCTGTATATGGCTGTAAACCTACCACAAATTCAACGCATACACTAGAAGGTTTGATTATTCATGGTAACTCCGTATGTGAATGATAATAGCCTAAATTGCAATTTATTCGATGTAGCCTGTAACTGCAAAGTCTATTTAAGTAACCTGCGCCGATAAGCGGGAGACGTCTCCCTGTAAAATTACTGAGGAAAACGAAAGAAGGAACTTTGAACCTGACACTCAGCATTACACTAGATTTTGAAATAACATCGGGAATGTCAACCGTGACCGACATTCAGCGGATGGTCCAGGTCACTCTACCCCGACTGGAAAAGTCGAATAGCCTCCATGGTCCTCGAGCTCCGAATAGCTGCAAGATTAGATCGTAGTGGGAGTGGCGGGATCTGAATCCCATTAATATACTTAGTAAAGATACAGGTAATCTTGAGTTATCGGAAGTTACGTATCTTCTACCATCGTAAATCCCGGAGAAGAGTCGGAGTACAACGCCCGCCGCCTTCCTAATCAGGGACTAAATTAACGCCGTACATTAAAAGTTTCGTAAGGAACATAAAAAAATCGTTAGTAAATCTTCGTTCTCAACGTCAATCCTGCACGTAGTCGTCAAGCCTCGGCCAAGCAATATTTTCCGGAGCTTACTCGAATGCGTTAATACCTAGGTCCATCGCAGTCGTCATATATACATAGTTAATACGTACAAATTTTATGATTTCGAGATGTGCATGAGTCGCGCGTAGTCATTCCTATATATATCGGGCGTCACTAGTTGGTCAGAGCGGGGTCATGTGAGATCATCTCTTAGACTTGCCACTTAAAGCAGGCTGGCTTCAAAAATGGGCATTTGTAAGAGGCCCTTCAAAGTCCATAGAGAATTACCTTGGCTAGAGAAATAACCGCAGAGTATACAAACGCTAAGCGCCTAGGCCCAGATCTAAAGCAATATTTGCTAACTCCGTAAGTCCGAATTCGGAAAATCCTTTTACCACGAGTGTTTCACCGGGGGTAAATCTCCGGTAGTTTCACCAGCAGATAACCACACCTGGTAAAAAGGAATTCGGGTATACACCACATACTTCTCGTGAGCAAGTAGATGTGCCCTATCTGCGATCTAACACGAACCTATACTTGCTCATGAGCCTGTAGCTTGAAAAAAAAAGCCCTTAGCTCAATTCGTTAGGTTGCAGGCTTATGAGCCGCCTTTGCTCTCCCCCACTTGCCCCCACCGGTATGTACGGTGTCGTCATTCACATGATTGCGGGTCTGGGCGTTTTTTTAGAAGGCTTGGACAAACTGTATACCCCGAGGTAAGACTTTGAGTAGTCGTAGGTTTCCACTAAGAAAATCAATATTGTTTAAAATTACCCGAAGGGTGGTATGTCGTATCGAGCTAGTGTCAAAATCAGAAACTGGCGCCGACGAACTGAAAACTGGTAGTCAATCCCTCTGGAACTATAATTTACTATGCCAACATACACTACGAGCGGATGAAAACGCCGTGCGCATACTATCCGGTATTCATCTTCTCAGCAAGTACCTGCAGCCCGTGCGTCTTGGCCGATCTGAACCGGACGTATAGTCTGCCTCTTGGTGGAAACAATAGTAGGACTTGTTTACTGTATTAAGGAATTCGCAGCGTATTGTTAGTGAAATGCTGGGGGAGAAATACAGCGGAGATCTTTGCCAATAACATCGCGCGTATCCAACGTGAGCTTTCTTAGTCTCATCATCTGTTAACTCTTTGCACATATGTGCATGTACGTAAGCCACACTTTCGCGCTTATTTCTGTGAGAAATTTTAGGGTTCCAAAATGATCCTGTGCCGTTTTGGTCACTCCCACCCCCTGGTAGCTGACGCCGCGTAAAGGTGCCGAGTTTACGGATAGGAGGGAAAAAAACGTTGTGACAAGCGATCGACTACCAGAATATTTTTTCCCTAAAAGATAAAGCGAACAAAAATTTAGGGTTTCACTGATTTTTCTTGTCGGTATCTCAGAAAAAGAAATCAACAGAACATGTTTCACTGTATGGGGGTGACCAGTAGGCACATACGCATTAGGCTAGCACGTAGAACTCGCTCGACAAGGAAGATATATAAACGTCAAGCATCCCCACGTTCTAATTATTGATTTAGGGTCTACTTACACTATCGGGCCAATCTCCTATCTATATCCATCTTCCTTTCTCTTTACAGATCTGGTTATCGTAAAGTCTGAAAGCTCTCCATTCTACATTTTCCGCACTTCATCCAACTCAAACATTCTACAATGAAAAGTGGTGACAAGGATAGTTTATACTCCGTCGCCTCCGCTGCGGCTAGACCCTTTGCTGGCGAGAAGGGTAGCCACAACTTATCTGCCACTTCCTCGGTCAGAGGGGTTGTCATGGGCGATAGTGAGAACGGTGAAATCCGCAGAGGTTTGAAGTCTCGTCACGTCCAATTAATCGCTCTTGGTGGGTGTATCGGTACTGGTCTTTTCGTTGGGTCCGGTTCGGCCTTGTCTCAAACCGGCCCAGCTGCCTTGCTTTTGGGCTACGCTATCATGTCCTGTGTCATCTACTTTGTCATGAACATTTTGGGTGAAATGGGTACCTGGTTACCGATCCCGGGTGCGGGTTCCCAGCATTTCATCGGTGCCTACTTGGATCCTTCTCTCGGTGTGGCCGCTGGCTGGAACTATTGGTACTCCTATGCTGTCCTTGTAATGGCTGAAGTCTCTGCTGCTGGTTTGGTTGTCCAATACTGGACTGACAAGGTTCACATCGCTGTTTGGATCACTATTTTCTTGGCTGTCATCATCGCATTGAACTTTGTTGCCGTTGAATATTACGGTGAATCTGAGTTTTGGTTCGCTTCCTTGAAAATTATCTGTATCTTGGGCTTGCTTGTTACCGGTGTGGTGATCTTCTTTGGCGGAGCTCCCACGCATGACCGTATTGGATTCAGATACTGGAAGAACCCGGGTCCATTTGTCGAGCACTTAACTACCGGTGCTGCCGGCAGATTCTGTGCCGTATGGACCTCCTTGGTCAAGGCTGGTTACGCCTTCATTTTCTCCCCTGAATTGGTCACGACCGCTGCCGGTGAAACTGAGGCTCCGAGAAGAAATATTCCAAAGGGTGTGAGAAGATTCATTTACCGTATTGTCTTCTTGTACATTTCCTCGGTTGTTGTCATTGGTTGTATCGTGCCCTCTAACGACCCTCATTTGTTGTCTGCCATTGACGCTGGTGCTTCGACTGCTGCTGCTTCTCCGTTTGTTATTGGGATTCAGAACGCTGGTATTCCAGTTTTGAACCATATCGTTAACGGTGTCATTTTGACCTCTGCCTGGTCTTCCGGTAACTCGTTCATGTATGCCGGTTCTAGATCCTTGTACTCCATGGCTCGTGATGGCTATGCTCCACAGCTCTTTTCCAAGTGTAACAAGTTTGGTGTTCCGTACTACGCCGTTGGGGCCACCTCGGTCTTCTCCCTTTTGGCCTACTTGAATGTGTCCTCAAGTGGTGCTGAAGCTTTCGGTTGGTTTTCCAACATCTCCACCATTTCTGGGTTCATTGCTTGGATTTTCGCCGCTGCTGCCCACACGAGATGGAGACGTGCAATCACCTTCCAAGGTTTGGATGATCGTGTTCCGTTCAGAACCCCATTGCAGCCGTACGGTTCCTGGTTCTTGATCGTCTTCATGTCCATCTTGACCTTGACTAACGGGTACGCAGTGTTCATCGGTGGTAACTTCAACGCTGGTGACTTTGTCGCGTCGTACATCTCTATTCCGGTTTTCTTTGGCATTTACGCTGCTCACAAGACTTACCTCTACTTCAAAACTGGTTACACTAGATTCTTGATCCCAATCGCTGAGTTGGACTTGACTACTGGCTTAGACGATGTTGAAGCTGAGGAAGCGGCCACTCCAGAGAGAATTCCCAACAATATCTGGGAGAAGTTCTGGTACTGGTTGGCTTAGACTCTTTAATTTCACTTTTATTTCGCATTACATTTTCCTTTTAACGTTGTTATAATAAAACTAGTTATTCCATTATTCATGCTTGACGAAGAATATGTATAGTCCAAGCTACCTACGTGGGCCAGGTTGCTACGAACATTACTTTTGTACTAATCCGCAGAGCATTAGCTATAACTTATGCTAGTTTTGAGTCATCATATTTTCTTGGAGGGCAGTCACCCCCGCGAGTTTTTCAAGGTCCCATTCCAAGTTCAACCCCACGACTCTCCCGTAGATCTGGAGGAACCAGACCATGAATCTGACACCACGGTGACACGCATGTTTCACTGCTACTCCATCTTCACAGATTTCGTACGTCGCTTTCACATTACAGGGATGGATAAAAAAGTAGTTCTCGCTGTGCAATAGGTGATGCGGTTTTATCGAGATGTTCTCTAACACAAACTGATCGTCTTCTGTCACTCCCCTATGAACGACATGTTCAAAGAGATAGGAGGCATCGAAGTTTAAGGAGAAGCTAGACATACATGGTGAGTCAACTTCCAGTCTATCAAACTCATCGGGATTTGAAAACTCACCCAAATCGTCGTCTTCTTCCGTGGTGTACAGGAACACCTGAAACCCTATCACAGGGCACAGATAGTTGAGATCATAGCTCACCACTAGTTTTAGGAAGCATTCTGGGTGTCCATCCACAAATGTCTTTTCTGGGTAGAACCGTATGACTAGATACTCGGCGTTGGTGTACTTGCTTTTGGTCTGGAGTTTCTGGAGCGAAAGTACTTGGAGCGAGGGGCGGATAAGGTTGATAATGGTCGGAAGAGACTCATGGAATTCCTCTCTAGTGATCATACCAACTGTGTATCAAGATATGCGGCATTTGAGCATTCCCTTTGGTGGGTCCTCTATCTCTGTGCTTAGCTAGGGTAGATTTACAATTGAGTGAGTCAACCTTCTTTCTGTTTACAAACTAAGCAACCATGTGTGGACAGGTTTATATACCGGATTCCACTCGGCGCACACCAGGCTCTCCCTTTGCAAGATGTCAGACCAAACTGTGGCTGTAAATCAGCAAAAGGAAGATCGTAAAAAGAAGTTTAAAGCTTATATCAAAGGAGATAAAGGAAATAAAGCACAAGCCTACTTTATGTCCTAGACCGACAGCCTATCATTTAGAATCTGTCTCAATAGTAGTATCGGGAAGCCATCCCGAGCTATAAGATAGGTACAGTATCCCATTCCGAACCTAAGATAAGATAGGTACGCTATCCCGGGTCAAAGATTAGATCCGCGTATCTCAAACCAAGCATAATCACGCCATCACAAGTCAAGGATCTAGGCTTTTAAGGCTATCAATTCATACTTCGAACAGGTTAGAGTTCGAGAAGCTGCCTTTAAGGCTGTACGTAATATAGCGTGTGTATACCAGTATTGTTTGGTAGAGGTTAACTGTATCAAAGAGAGAACAGATTTAATATATACAGGAATTCTCAGCTCAGGTAAATCGCTTAAGACCTCTGACCGAAGACAAAGGCCTGCAACTGATAATATATGAAGATAACACCGGCACCGCAGATACCTATCAAGATGTTAATACTACAGCCCTTGAATAAAGACTTGACACCTTCAATGGCAACAATCTTCTTGAAACAGTCGAAAGCACCAGCGTATTTGACGGCTTGACCGGAGGTCATCATCATTCTTCTTCTAATGGTGTCCAACGGGTAAGAAGCAGTAGAGGCGGTTGTGGTGACAGTCCAACCCAACAAGAAAGAGGCCAAGAAAGAACCTTCCAATGGACCAACCAAGACAACAGGCTTCAAGGAATCGTACAAACCGAGGTAAAGACCTCTGTAGACAATGATCCCGATAACAGATGGACCGAAACCTCTATAAAAACCAGCGATACCGTCGGACGTAAAGATCTGCTTGTAGACATCCAACAACCCGTTGAACTGACGAGCACCACCGTCCCTAGACTTGACATCGGTAGCCAATCTGGTTCTGGCGAAATCCAAAGAGTAGACGAAAGCCAAAGAAGTGGCACCAGCAAGACCACTGGAAGCCAAGTTACCGGCGAACTATGGCCAGTAACCCTCAGACTTCTTGAAACCGAACATAGCCTTAAACTTATCCATGAAAGCGAAATTCAAAGCTAGAATTGCGAAGCAACGGATCACGGTGGCGGTGTTACCTCTCCAGAAAGAGCCGAACCCTTCCTCAGCAGAGGTTCTTTTGAAACACTCGATAATACCGTCGTACTTTCTAGATAAACGACCCTGCTTGATCATTTCATTCTGGTTTTGAATCAACAACCTGACTCTTTCAATTGGGGCACCAGCGGTCTTAGAGACAGCGGCGGAAACACCGCCAATGAAGAAATCGATAATGAACTTGGTAATACCGTCGGTAGTAGACATCTTTAAATTTTATGGATATGCAAACTTGCTATACTCATGTCAGAGAGCCGGTTCTGATAACCGCCACCAAACACTCCTAATAGCTACACGCAGTCTCTCCCGCAACCTCGGAGATGGCTTTCCTAACTGCAGGGTTTTAAATTTAGGCGTGTGGCGTAGTTGGTGGCGCGTTTGCTTAGCATGTGAAAGGTCTCGGGCCTGACTCCTTACTCGGTCATTTTCTTTTAAAGCTCATCTACATGGCTCTCTAGACTGCAAAATTATATATCGGCTCAATTTTATCTTTTTATTATCCTACCACAGTCGGTAACTAGCTCAAACTAAGGCTTACGCCGTATTCTGCACCACGTTAGCGTAACGTTCATTCTTGAACCTGTTAAGGATATCAACAGATGTCGAAACATTTTCGGAGTGAGGTAGTAACAGCGCGATGACATGGAATAATAACCACATTGGTCTAACAAAAATGGGTTGTTGACCCATATAGTTTCAAAGCACACCATCCCCTCTGTTCCATACGATCCAAGACATCTCTAGTCATAATTGCCCATCGTACAATTTCCCCGAAATTCCCGGGGAATGTACGTACATCCCGGGGCTAGTACACGTACGTATTTACCCGTTATAAACGATTCCGTGCGCACCGCGCAGAACCAACACCCTATACAATCAACGGGTTGTGTTGTCCCTGAGTGTTTTTGCCTTCTTCAACGAATTCAGGCTTGTAAAAGTCGTGCTCGCGTACGACGTATCTCGGAGAATAATATCCTCACGGTATTTAGCGCCCGTGCCCACGCCGCATACGCTTCGTAGCTCAACATACTCGTGTTACAAGTCGCAGGTCGGCCTTCTCCGTCCCAGGGCGTACTAGTAATAAAGATTCTAATCTGGATCAGAAGCTACTCTGTGTTTAAAAAGCGCTTATCGTCCTACCTTTTATCGTATCCACATTTATGAATCGTTCTCTTTGCATCATGCCCAGTTTTTACCGGTAAAGTCGATTATTACTCCAGATCACACTGGTCAGAACTCTACAAAGCCAGCAACTTGTATAAAATCGGACCCCCATACTCACGGCAATATGGCTTCGACCCCGGACCCTGAATGCTCCCCGGGTTTTTTTCGCACCCGCCCTTTTCCCCGAGCGTACGCTTCGAGCAGCATGTAGTTTAGTCACGTGCCTCTGCACGTGCGACCCCGGCCGAAACACGGTCGAGTTTTCAGCCAATGGGAAAAAAGTTGATTACAGATATCCTGCGCATAGTGTTCTTGGGGAAAAGGAAAATTTACTACTGGCTAAATATTTACTATGGGAAAAGCGAGCCCCGGCGCAGGCAGTAAACGGTGGCCGCCGAGCTTTAGAAATATATCAGCGCAACCACATACTCTTTCCGCGATACTCTCTCTCCCGTCCCGCAACTTAACAGAACCACACAATGTTCAGATCTACCTTGACCCAGCTCACTAAGATTGCTGCCCCACACCGTTTCTTGGCCACCACTGCCGAATTGGCCCCAAGAGTCAAAACCTTTAAGATCTACAGATGGAACCCGGACACTCCGGAAAAGAAGCCAGAACTTCAGACCTACGAGATCAACTTAAACGAATGCGGCCCTATGGTCTTAGATGCCCTTTTGAAGATCAAGAACGAACAGGATTCTACCTTGACCTTGAGAAGATCCTGTAGAGAGGGTATCTGTGGCTCTTGTGCCATGAACATCGGTGGTAAGAACACCTTGGCCTGTTTGTGCCGTATCGATACCAACACCTCCAAGGAGTTGAAGATCTACCCATTGCCACACATGTTCGTTGTCAGAGACTTGGTTCCAGATTTGACCCACTTTTACAAGCAGTACAAATCCATCCAGCCATACTTGCAGAGAGACACCGTCCCAGAAGACGGCACTGAAAACTTGCAATCCGTTGCCGACCGTAAGAAGTTGGATGGTTTGTACGAGTGTATCTTGTGTGCCTGTTGCTCCACCTCCTGTCCATCTTACTGGTGGAACCAGCAGCAGTACTTGGGGCCAGCCGTCTTGATGCAAGCCTACAGATGGTTGATTGACTCCAGAGATCAGGCCACCGCTGTCAGAAAGGAGATGTTGCAAAATTCCATGTCCTTGTACAGATGTCACACCATTATGAACTGTTCCAAGACCTGCCCAAAGGGTTTGAATCCAGGTAAGGCCATTGCCGAAATCAAGAAGTCCTTGGCTTTCGACTAAACCACACATATCGAGAAACATCCCGGCGACAGATAAACAACCAGGAAATTAATTATGCACCCCACTGGACCGTCTCCCGGAGTGGAAGGTTCGTCCATCGGTCAATTAGCATCTGTGTCTATTCTGGATATGATTCGTCTCATCCCCTTCCATTCCGTTCTATTCTCTCTTTTTGTCGCGTGTGCATGCGCCCACTTATTTATTATCCAATATTCTCTTATGGCTCTCTTTTTGCTCTTCCTGTCTAGTAATTCATCCCTTCTTCTTGACTTCTAAGAAATAAAAAAAGAAAAGTCTCATTCAACGAAATAGCTGTAGAGTTTGTAGCGCAGTCTAAATTAGTGCCTAGCCGTTGCGATAAATACATAACGTCATGTAACTTATGCACGTATGGTGAGATTATACTTGATCCGGTTGCTCCTTCCCAGAAAATAGTTTAAGGAAATATTAGATTGAGTATACTAAGCGTTATCTTTGAGGGGTTGGTCCTGTTAGCTAAGGTGTAACGTGGGTGTGAATGAAATTATTTAATCTCTAACCAAGAAATTTGAAAACTTAAACTTTTAAATGAGGTCTACGATAATGTGGGGATAGTTTAGCCGTGCTTATCATGAGTCCGAGGTCTACCATTTTAGCATCATATGAGACTTTATACACGTTCTATTACACGGCGATTCGCTATTAGAGGCTATTTCCTTAATTTGAAGCATTCTACGTAAGGGAGGTCAACGAAGCTCTGGGAATGTCTACATAATTGGCACTATGCCACCAGCTCCTTTTGACAAACAGTCTTACCAATAGTTAAGTCATTGGTAATTGTGTTTGGTTTTGGCGATTTTCCGGTCCAATTATCTACCCGTTTGTTATTGGGTGCATACATTTAAATATAGTGTAGCTCCCCCCCTCGTGAGAATGGCTAAACAATCGTACGATGGAGTGCTAAGAGCTGTATGGCCTATAATAGATCAAGGCAATACTTGGGTTCCGACCTCCCAGCCCTGATTACTTTTCAGGGGGTAAGTGGGACGTTTTACCCGTTGTGTGGGGAGGAACTATCGAATATATCATCTCCAGAAGTTATCCCCTTTCCCCTTTGATTATCGTATACTCCCATGGTCCCCGCAATCCGATTATTTACTAGCGTCGTAAATGCATTTTCAAAACGTTCGAGTTACTGAGACCTCCATATATATGGTTTCTCATTAGCTCTAGATATCGTGATTTAGGTACTTTTATCTCAAGCTTCAGCTCATTCAAGATGCAACCATCAACCCAGACATCAATCCTTGCAGTAATGAAACATTTCACCGAATACCCATTGATTTCACTAATTACCAACCAAAGGTATTCCCGGCATAAACCTCACTAATTTCATGGAGCAATGCGTCTATGACATAGGCAAATCTCTGAAGCAAATACTTATAATACAAGCCATATCCCGATCTTGGATACTGACACAGCGAAACATATCTAGATAACCCTCCAATGGCATAATATCACCAACGCTATACTCCCCTAATGGCTTCCTCTTCCAGTTGTAAATTTTGGAACCGCTGCTCAATAATCGCATCCACATTCTCCACTTCTTCTACCTCTCCCTTAAACCGCAACTTCTTGCGCATAACCCCCAACGTGCTATCACTGCGGATGCGAAACGCCTTTCCGCTGGGCAACACGTTGTAGTCATCCGAGTCATGGCCCAGTTGGCTAAGCGGCGGAAGTTCCAGCGTACCAGCTCTCTTCCGCGAATACGCATCTTCGCCGACCACCAACATTTTCTTTCCAAATATGCGTGCGTGCAACTTGCCGCTGAGCGGTTGGTCCTGAGGCCAGGTCCAGCCCTGCTTCATCTCCTCGAACGCGTTTTCCTCAAAAAACTTACGCGATTCATAGTCTTTTTCCAACACCTGGAAGATCTCCACACGGGTGGGGCTCACGGCGAACTTGGCTGCCTTGAGCAATACATCTACCAAGACGGACACCACCACTAGCACAAGCAATGCGGCCCACCAAGTGTAATCGCGACCAAACTCCTCAATGAGCCCATACGCGACGTAGAAAATCGGCGACTCTTTTGTCTTGTAAAGCCCCGCAATGATCAAGTTCCAGAGGAACCATCCACCAATGGCGATGATAAGCGAGCCGAACGCGTAGACCGTACGGTTATGCATTTCAAGCAACTGGCACTTGACATTGATCACAATCACCAAAGTTGTAAAGGTAAGCACACCCGTGGGGAAGGTGGAGTTGTCTCGCAACGCCCCAAAGCCCCAGATCTCATAGCTCACGAATGTTAGAAGCAAGCTCTGGCTGGCCGCCACGAGCATCCACATGACAAAGGCCCGGAGGTTGAAAATTTCCGAGAGTCGCCCAGTTTTGTACAACTCTGGAACTGCAAGCAACGTAGCAGGCTTCAAGTCTTTTTCAAACATTCCCACACAAATCACACAGAGGGATGTGAAGAGAGTGTTAAACATGGAAAGAGACCAGCTCTCGTACATCGACGACCCAGTATACATTGTGTACCGCTGGTACACCCCCTGAGAAAGGTAGAATAATAATTCCTTGTAGAATGTGAGCAAGACGAACTTGGATGTCCGGACGTAGTTGTAGCGCCCATGAACAAGCAAGAGCTTGAGCAAGAAGCGGAACTGCGCAACCGCATAGTCCGCGCTACGCGCGGCCTGAAGTCCCTCTTTTCCGGTAATCCCCACACCGATGTCCGCGCTCTGGATCATCGCAATATCGTTTGCACCATCGCCGACCGCAAGCGTCACGCTTTCGGGCTTCAACGTTCGTACCGCAGACACCATGTGCGCCTTCTGCGCGGGCGACGCGCGGCACACAACTGCCGCATCGGTCTTACAACACAACTCCACAAGCAAGCTCATCGCAGGACAGTCGCGCTCGAGCTCCATGAGCGTGGTACCGTCAATCACCACCACACAATGAGCCATGCCCCCTATCGCGAGATCCGTCGCAGAAATCCGCTGGAGCAACTCATCCTTCCCAGCCGCAATGTCCAACACCACGACTGTGGAGTAGTCACGGATCAACTTGCATGCGTAACCGATATTGATGGCTGTCTCGCGCTTGTCCCCTGTGAGCATCCACATCTTGATTCCTGCACGGCGGAGCTTCTCGATTGCCGCGGCCACCCCGTGTTGGAGCTTATCTTCAATCGCGGACGCACCCACGAGCAGCATGTCACGCTCGAGCACGCTGCCAACCGCCGCGACCTGTGCTGCGCGTCCCGAAATAACCGTTTTTGCCGCCGCATACTTCGTTGCCCACGTCGCGTACTCACTCTCGTCGAGCCAGCGGTACGCATACAATAACGTACGTAAGCCCTCGGTGGAAAACTCTTCCACGTGCTCCAAAGTCTTTTCAATCACATATTCCTCGTTCGCAACAAGATTGTCAGGGGGGATATACGATTCCTCTGCCAAGTGGTATTTCTGCGCTTGTTGGATGTGAAGCGACCTGCGCGACTCCTGGATGATCTCCGCGAGTTCCTCGTCCTGCACTACGGGGCTGTCGATCGAGACGCGCACGGTGCTGTGACGCGCGAGCGAAAAGCTCTGACGGAGCGACGCAACGGAGGTACGCGGCTCCTGTGATGCCATCTTTCGCAACACCGCCTCTGCCTCTGCGTTCTTACGCGCGGTCGTGGTCTCCAACATGGTCTGGGAGATCCTTGCCGCCATTTCGTGTACCTTGAGGCGCTCCAAGATGACATTATCAGCGCCTTTACACACCAAGCATAGTCTTCCGTCAGGGAACTTTACCACCACAGACATGCGCTTGCGCGTAGAAGTAAAGTCGATCACATCCATTACCTCGTAACGGTCGAGTACGGGCGCAGCACTGGGGCCGTGAGGGTAGGTCTTGATCACAAGCTGGGTGTGCTGGCGCTCAAACACCACGAAGCCCATCTCCTTCGCTGCCATTACTAACGCAAGCTCATCGGGAGACGATGCCAGATAGGAGACTCCTTCTAGACCAGGTTTCGGCAAACACGTGTTGCAGAGAGCGAGCGAGAGGAGAAAAAGGGTTGCTTTCTGCGAAAAAAGGGATTCAGGGTGGGTCTGGAGGTGTCGGATCAACTCCCGAGAATCAGAGGGAGCAGTAAATGGATCTGTGTCAGAAGGTGCAAAGGGGTCGGAGGAGTTGTGTTCCCAGCTCCTGCCCCCTACACTGAACTTCTTGAATAACATGATGTTATCGGTTAACGTTCCGGTTTTATCACTAAAGATGTAGCTCACCTGCCCCAATTCCTCTAAAATCGTCGCAGTTTTAGATTCCGCAGGCGTGTTGCTCTCATAGTGGTACATGTCGAGGTCCCAGCACATCAACAATACCTGCATCACCTTGATAATCTCAGTCGTGACATAGAGCGAGAGCGGGATGAGCGTGTTGAACATGATGATATAGCCCATGAGGATCGCTGCGACACCTACATCTTCATTGTAGAGGTACCAGGTAGTGGCACGGTTCCGTGTGTAGTCCAAGCGCTGCGCCATGGTGAAGAAGGCCAGGAGGCACACCACCACGCACACCATAAAGAGAACGATGCGGTTGATGGCTTTTTGAAGCTTAGGAGCTTTAACGCGCGGGTTTTTGATGGAGTTCATGCGTATCTTGGTCTCTTCACCGGTGAAGACGACAATACCAGTGCAGGAGCGGGTGTTTCGGATGATCGATCCTCGATAGATAATGTTGTCGGGGCCCAAAGCATGGCTGAGAGCGCTAGATCCAGTGTCCTCCATCCCCAGAGAGCTTTTGCTGCCTTCGTAGGACTCCTGAGTATATTGAACGTCAAAGGATCCCAGCGCGTGCTGAGCGTATTCATAGGACTCCAGGCCCTTCAGAGTGATACAAAGGTCTGTATTTTCATTTCCCAGGGCCGTTCTGGCGCCGGGCTCTGTATTTTCGATTCCATCTCCTTGGCTTATGATAAAACTTCCTTCAAAGTTGTACAAATCAATGTTGGGATCTTCAGCGGTAATCTCGCCTCTGAGCATAGTAACGTGCTGCATCTGCGCTAACGCACGCGGCGGAAGACGCGCCTTGAGGTTCGTCTCACCGTCCAATGCCATGGTCTCAATATACGCCTGGGGCTCTAGATCACTGTACAGCTCCGCAGAAAGTAGTACGATATCCGCCGGGACCCATTCGTCTTCTCCCAACTGCACCACGTCGCCAACCTTGACATCCTTCCAGTATGTCATTGCGGTTGTGCCAAGTACGCGGCAGAGCCGCAAGTTCTCACGGCGGTCTAACTTGTGGCGTCTGAAGTCGTCCCACGCCTCGCGCCCCATGCTGATCGACACGAAAATAAGCAACGGAATGATCGTGGTGTACTGGCCTGTGGTCGACCACGTAGGGATCATCTGGAGGATTGCCACCACGAGGAAGTATGTGTTTGCGAGTTTCAGGAACTGCGCGTACAACTGCCGTGGCAAGAATGTGACGAGGGTGTATCGCGACGATGTGATGCTGTTGTTGACGTACGGGAGGCCCGTTCTTTCGTCTATGAGCTCAGTGCTACCTCCGAGCGGAATATGGCGCCCGTTGCGCGATGGGGGAATGCTGCTGATACCTTGAAGCTTGTTCTTGAGAGATAGGAAGAATCCGGGCTTCTGGTACACCGGTTTCAACACCTCTACGGAGCTGGAGTCGATGGTGAGGTTGTCCGTGGTCCGTGACGCCGGGCTATCTGTGTAAGTCTGAAGCTCTATTGGAGAGGACTCGTCCTCAGTATGAGGCTCAGGGCCTTCGGGGGGCTCCTGCGCCCTTTTGGCTGTGGATAGGAGTTGTTTGGTGAACATCTGCGAACGAAGCGACATCCCCCTGTGCCGTTTCCTCAGGTTGGAATCCTGGGTACCAGGCGTCCCAGGTTCCTGGGTCGAAGAACTGGGCATGGTAATATAATAGGTATTTCTTGAAGTTTTTTAACGGTGAGTGAAGCGCAATGTTGTCCGAAGTTGATTAGATATTCAAATTTACGATGGCATGCGGCGCGGAGGATCTAGCAGGACAGAAATGCTCCGACCGAAGCCCAACGGTAACTGAAAGTGATACGTTCGGGAGTTGACGAATTCCTATTTTAGAAAAACATTCATAGTAATATTATTGGTAGATATTCAGTTTATTTGGTTTAATTGTGGTATTTCTGGAAATTTTCTTTAATAAAACGTGGGCACTGAGGAGTGGATGCTAGAACTTAAAGTGTAGCTGCGTCCCGTATAGTGCTCACATTCAGGAATAAATGGGGCTAGCAAGTAAGAGAACCTTGAGAGGGGACTTGGAATGGTACTTTAATAGGTGACATCTAGCATGTTTCTAATTTCACAGTGATTTTATACTTAAACCGGTTCATATACTTGTGGATAGCAACAAATATTATCAATCAAAATTGCCCATTGCTAGTAATTTCGTCTAAAGGTGCTCCGTGGTATGTCTGTTATCCATGATAGAACTATATACGCATATATAAGACCCGTCAATGATTAATTACGTATATAAATTTGTTTGTTTGTTTGTTTTTGGTGTTTCAGAGTACGCATTACAGTACATATCGTAATTTAGCTTCCTTTTTCCCCAGGATATGAGTTTCTGATTAACGATTCCAGGTTTTACCCTGTAAGTGTTCAGATTCCGCACGAAATCAGTCTTTATATTTATCCTATTATTTCTTTTTTTTTCTTTACTAACTACTTATTATCACGCAAATCGCTGCTCTTGCTTTGCCTACCGAGGTCTAACAGCAAGCAATCTAAATTTAGGATGCTGGTACTCACAGACTTTAGAAAAAAATAAACATAATTCAACTATAAAGTCTCCTTTGGAAAAAAAAGAAACCAGTGTGTTCCCTAGCAGTATACGCTTAAGCAAGCGCATCCACCACCTGCAAGTATTCGAAATAGAACGCAATGATCTGTAAATGCGACTCAAAGGGGATGTGTTCATCTACTGAGTGCGCCTTTGTCTGTAATGTATGGGCGATTCCCGGGCGGTAGCGATACACGTGTTCAGTCAAGGCCCAATACCATCTGGTGTCCGTGTTACCTGTGGAAATCCCCGGAGCTACTACTATAGGGTTCTCAGCGCCGTACTTTTCAGGGTACGCCACTTCTTCATAAACATGTCTTATCACCCCGGCAAGGTTCAGCCAGTGCTCGTCGTTGATAGGAGTCACCGGTGCCACTTCTAAGGGGTCGTCATACAAGATCTCAAACCTTCCGCTGGCAGTGTCGTTACGAAGCTGCCTGGCCTGGGTTATATCATAAACCCCAAGGTCGAACTTCGCAGCAACAGCAAGCAACTGGGTCAAATCCTTAGAAACAGTTTCATCCACTGTCGATTCGATAGCCACACGGTGGTTTACCACTAACGAAACGTGCTCAGGCAAGGCATTGGACTTGGCGCCTCCCTCGATAATGTCGATAGCCTGAGAGGTTTGAATAAGGTAACGTGTAAGCTTATCCTGTGATAAGTGTTCTCTCACCCTTCTATTCGCCCTACGGTCAGTTCCGGCATTCAAAATATCCCTTTTCAACCTCGGATTGATGCCTTTGGAATGGGTGGCAATACATTGGAACCCCCAATATATTGGATTCTTCGGCGTGAAGAATGACTCAAATTTTTTGCTCTCAAGCTCATACACAAGCTCCGACATGATACCAATTGAGGTGTGATCTGGAGGAACGGATGAATGGCCTCCGGGAGTGGTTAGGTCAATGTTGATATTCACCGAACCTTTTTCGCTAGTCCCTGGCAAAGCTAAAGTAAGACCTTCTTGTTCAATAAGAGAGATTCCTCCTTCGTCTATGATAGCGTAGAAGGAATCTGGGCCGTACCGTTCGGTCAAAAGGTCAGCGATACTTGAAGCACCTCTTCTCCCACCAACCTCCTCATCGAAGCCAAACCCAAGCACAATACTGCGCTGGGGAGTAAAGTCGATTTTAATCAATTCCTCTATAGACTCTAGGATCCCGAGTAAAAGGTTCTTGCAATCAGCAGAACCTCTGCCCCATAAAAACTCTCCGTCATACACACCATCAAACGGTGGATGGGTCCAATCCTTGAGTGTCGCTTCTTGGATAGGAACCACATCCTGGTGGGCCATAAGCAATAGAGGCTTCTTATCAGAGGTACCTTGCCAGGTGTACACCAAGCCCCAAGAGTGCACCTTTTCCACCTTCAAATGGGCATACACCAGGGGGAAAGTATTCTCAAGGTAGTCGTGGAAAGGCTGGAACTTTTCAGCCCAGTACTTCGGGTTGTCCTCCACAGAAGGGCTAGTATCGAAGGTGGTGGTTTCAAATTGAATCGCACCTGAAAGCTTAGCGGCAGATTGCTCTCTGAAGACCAGCGAGCGCATAATTTTATCAAGAATAGTAGAGTGGACAGTTTCTGGGCGGACATAGTCATAGATGGGACATGTGCTATCGCTGCTGCGAGTAAGGTCAGTGATGGCATCAGTAACGAAGGCATTGGTAACCCACCAGCCTACGCAAAACGACGCTAGTAAGGCCATGGCAAGGGCATATTTGGGCTTTGCAAAATATCCGGGTTTGGTTCCCGTGTCTAATGAGACCATGTTGCAGGTTGTTTGTGCTCAAAGAATTGAAGTTCGGGCAGAAAGGACGAAGCGCGACCGGGGTATATTCAATCACAAGTTTGGAGTGAATAAACGCTTTGTTTGGTAGATAACCAATTCACTATTGCTCTTTTATGTAAGCCAGTATATATACCAATTAGAATGCGGATATCACGTTTATATAGTCAATGCTAACTTCTGGTCCTAATCTCTGTTGTGCTATTTTTTTGTTTCGAAGGATGAAAGGGGTAAAAGAGGAGTATCCTGTATATTTACATCCCCACCTAACTTTAAGATAAGCTCGTATGGGGTCGTGCGTGGAATCTTGACATCTGGCCTGTAAATTTATAACATACTGCCTCGAAGTGACTGCAGGTCTAACCAGCTGGTCCTCTAAAGCTATATTGGCGTCCTGTTTCAAATTTAAAGCTACTTGGTCACCTCTAGCACAGTCTCCAACACATCCCGTCTTACACCTTGGATAGATAACCCCTCATGTCATCTACGTTCCCCCAAACCAGAGCGCAAGCGGTGGCTTTGGAACAGCAAACTGATACCGCCTTGTTATCCTATGCGTCTTTTGCTCAAAGCACCTCGTCTTCAGCCACCGCCGAAGAGTTGTCCCTCGAGAGACAGGTGGATACACTTTTACACAAACGTGATGAGATTATTGGGATCTTGACACGTACGCTCGAGTCCGATAAAACCTTGCCTGCTTCCAAGGTGAGCCAGCTAGCCAGACACAAGGAACTGCTCACAAACCACTGGCGTGACTTCGGGCGCATCAGGGGGTCCATACAGCAGGAACGTAACCGCATGAACCTCTTGTTCTCTGTGAGATCTGACATTGAGGCACACCAGAAGCGTACGGAATCCCACAACGATACCCATTTGGACGAAGACCAGTACATGATGGGCGAATCCCGGAGGGTCGGAGATGCCAACGGCGTTGCCGATAGATTGTTGGCGCAGGCATACGAGACGAGAGAAGAGTTGTGGAGACAGAGAGGCGTTCTCGGGTCTGCCTCCTCGAGATTGGGCGGTGTCATCAGTACTATTCCTGGTATTAATGTGGTGGTCAAGAAGATCAACACCAGGAGAAAAAGAGACGCTGCTATCTTGTCTGGGTTGATAACCTTGTGTATTCTCCTCTTGTGGTTTACCACGTAGACCACCTTCAAGCCGACAGCCATACCCAAAACGCTGAACCACCTCTCTTGGCCTAAATTGCATCCATATTTTAATAATTCACCCCAAAATTAAAGGCTAAGTATTATTGCCGTCCTCTGTATCAGCTTATCGAAAAACGAAACCCCCCAGTATACCAAATGTTAGGCTGGCGTGTCCTCGTCAGTGTTGTAAGTATAATAAATCCAACATGAAGTCCGTCTCCTGGACTTTAAGAATTTCCAGTGTTGCACAAGGGGAGGTATCTCAGAGACGAGGTATCGTGCGTGACCCTATATAACTACAAGAGAGCTTAACAAAAGAATAACCTGGGGCGGTATTTAAAGTTGATTTATAGTTTAGAAATTAATGGAGAGGAGACAAGGTTGCTTGTTTGATTGTTTAATCGAACAAACCGAACCCCATGTCGTCATCGGATTCTTCAGCAGCTTCTTCGGCAACCTCTTCAGCGGCAGCTTCGGTGGAAGCACCGGCAGCTGGGGCAGCACCGGCAGCTGGAGCAGCACCGGCAGCGGAGAAACCAGCCAAGATTTGCTTCAAGTCCTTACCTTCCAAAGACTTGGCGAACACGTCAGCCCAGATCTATAATGTTAGTAACGTACTCTATACAGTGGCAGTACAGAGAAGGGGAAACGTTTGCTTTTTAAAACGAGGATCAAGCCTGGGATGAGTAAACCACGGGGTGCAGCACACTAGAAGAATGGCTATCACAAGGGTGTATAGTTATCTATCAGAATAGCTCGAGTCCCCTGAGGAGCTTATGAGAGTGGTCTTGTTGTTTACAACCGGATGGCACCCCCTTGTCAATTTCTCCGTCCCCTTAATACACCCCGTAGTTTCAATATTCTTGGAGAGCCACTTCGTAATTACGGGCAGCGATTAAGCCTTTTGGAGGTTTGGTAGAGGGTGACGAATTGGACTCATATTCCCAAATTTGATATTTCGAGGTTTCTTTCTTGGCTCCCTTCTTCTGTTCTGGATTTCTTCAAATACATACGGAGTCAACGGAAGCACCGGCAGCCTTGGTGATAGCCAAAAGGTTTTCGGAGGTAATTTCGACTTGAGCGTCAGCCAAGATCAAGGCAGCGTAGGCAACGGAAGCTTCAGACATTTTGTATATGATATGTATGATATGTTATCAAAGACTTTGAAACGTACCAAAAATTCGCTTTTTTTACTTCTATTAACCGTTCTTTAGCAACAACATGGGTTTGGCAGCGCTACACGCCTACAGTAACAGGCACACGTTGGGAGTCCCATAGTGGGGAGGAAGGTCAGGTGGCCGAGGGGTGGCAGTACTACCGTGATACTAAGAGGGCGTGGAAAATTTTCCAGTATACAGGGCGAAAGATTATGGTGAGCGAACGACTTTTTGCCAATATATTCGAGGTGTCACCAAAGTTTTCCATTTTTGGAATTTTCCCAGGGATCGGCCCGCGAATCAGAGGTCAGTGTTTGGCGCGAGAGAGGCGAGCTACCTACAGGAAAAAGAGGTTCCCAATCAGGAAGCTAAAAAAGCAGTCACAGGGCATACAACATTGTACTAAAGTAATACTGAAGAGGGAACAAAACAGACTAAGACAAGCTGAAATATAGTATGGTCCAGTTCGCTTTAGTATTTATTCTTTGATGACTTCAAAATCTCAGAAAAGGATAGGCATAAAATGGGCAGAGCAACCGTCCGGGTTATTCGAAGCGAGGTACCCTTCAGCTCTTCAATACGCTCTTCCATGCATCAAGCTCCGTTTTGAGCTGATTTTTTCCACGTTTAAATAAAGGTAACCGTGCTGGAATAGTTTGTTGTGTTTCCATGTCTGAAACAATATAAACCATGCTCTTTAGTCTAGTAAAGCCCAGTTTGGGTTCTCTGCCCTCTCTTATATGGCGTACTTGGACCAGGCTGTCTATTAGTATAACGGCTCTCGCAACCACTACAGCCGCACGGCCCTGACGTAATGTTCCAACATTGATACTGGTCGTTTCTCAACTAGTGTCCAACATCAACACCAGATTTTAGGTAACGTGGAGCGAGTGTTACACAAATCATTCAATAAAATAAGTATTATATAATCTAAGTTATTGACTTCGGTCCCATCGAACAAAGGTTTCTCTCTATCTCTTGGTCTCGGGGGACGATTCTGATACATCCTTCGTAAACCTACGTCAAATTATAATAAGACAAAGTCAGTACGCCAGGTCCTTCGATTGCTCCGTTAAATATATTTCCGGTGGTTTATCTTCGGCTGTATAGTGGCATACTTTTGTATGCCACATAGTGGCGAGATTTGCCCGTGAACGCAGATATGCACTCTACATAATTATTATTCAAAAGATATATTCTTTACTTATACGCAGCCAAGAGTGCAGATGCCAGCGATATGGTACAATAGGAAAGGCCTCGGAAGGTTGGAGTATGTACAGTTTGCGGGTTAACCATTTCCTGTATGCGCACCCTTGGGTGACTTTGACAAGCTTAGAAGAATTTCTTCAAGTTCTTCAACCAGTTAACGTACATGACGTTTTCCTTGTACAAAGAGTACTCGGTAAGGAAAAGACCCAATTCCTGGTCGATTCTTCTGTCAACCAAGTAGTTTTCGATGGCTTCCTGCAAGTTTTCGTCCAAGGTGGCAAACTCTGGGCCTCTGTAAGAGAGCTTTCTCTTGTAGTCGGCTTCTAAGGAGTTGGACAAAGCGTCGGCGGAGTTTTCAAACTGGGCGGCAGAGTCGACAATGAAGGATTCACCTTCAGAGTCGTACAACATCTCAGCGTGGAAAGCGGTGTTGTCAGCCTTCTTGACGATAACAACGTTGACAGATGCCAATTCCGGACCTTCTTGTTCAAGTTCAGCACCTTCTTCGGCCGGGTCCTGGTCTGGGAATGGAGAGTTGGTGAAGTGGTCAACGTTGAAGAAAACATGGATGACTTCGTTGGCAGTTTCTCTAATCAACTCATGTTCGGTGGCGTCGCCCTTAGATTCGACGATCTTGACGTTAAAGTCAGAGATGTACTGCTGCAAATTTTCAGGCAAGGAGGACTCCAACTCAGCAACTTCCAACTCAATCTCAGCCTTCAAGTTGTCGGAGACAGATTGGAAAGCGGAGTTCTGCGGGCGGGCAGAGATGGAGAAGGCTCTGACAGCGGTGAACTTTGGCACAGCAACAGCGGATCTGGTGGCCACTCTAGCAAAAGAGGCCTTAGAGGCAGCGCGGAAGGCTTGAGAGATCAAACGGGAGGACATTGTGGATAGTTGGTAATAACTTGAGTAAAGGAAAAGCAGAGGTTTAGCGGCACCCTGCCTTGCTTTATATGACCCTCAATTTCCCAGGCGATAAAAAAAATCCTGCCTGTGCAGAGCACGCCCTTCCCTCTGTCATTAAGGTTCTTGCCTGCACCGAAGGAAATATTTTTCAATGCGATGAGACAGGGGAGTTCAGCGTCGTCGCGGCAACACGTGCAACAGAGAGATGCAGCTGCCGATCATACCAAAGATGGACGGGTCTGGGCTTGAAACAGGCACAAGCGTTCCAAATAAAGAATTCCCGAGAAGCCATGGCGTTAGCCTCGCCAGATCCTCATATCACGCTTGCTCAGTCACTCCGTCCATCTTAACCTACATAAGGAGATACTCGCTTTACTCTTGTTAGGTGCTTGTATAAAAAGTAGCCCTGTTTAGTCTGCGTGGAGTACTACTGTTGCTGGATATCCTACAGAAGTAATATCTATATCTTCACACGAGGCATTGGCAGGTTGGTTGAAGGACGATTGGGTTAAACGTAATTCATACATGTCAAATGTGGTTAATCTGCGTAACCCTAGCGTACTGTAATCGGAATGTAGTTCTCGATGTCTTTATTCTGCCTAGAGTATATACAGCCACGTTTTTAGTGTTGAAATCAGCCTCCATCCCCGCACTTTGTTCCCCTTGGGAAACTCAAGCAATTTACAAACGCTAAGCTACATATTTTTTCCTCCCACGCTGCCCTTTTTGACAAGTGGAACGTGTTAAACTAAACAATGCCGAACAAAATTCATTATCATGGAACGGATTCAAAACTCCGATTCCTCTTCCGAGGCTTCCTCATCTGCCACTGCCTGGAAATACTCCTGGACAAAAGCAGCAGAACGGCGGTATCTTCTCTCTAAGTACTTGTTATAGATCGCCTTATGATGGACTTCGGGGTTACGACAAGCTTCTAGCAACAACTGGGCCAATGGACGCAACTGCGATTCGGTGTATCCGGAGTAGTAGACGTGGGCTGGGGTCCAAGTGCCACGATTAAGCAAACGGCGGGATAAATAGTGCGACCCGGCGGCTAACCACGATGGCTGGCACGCGACAAGCCTTGGCTCCATGATGGTAATCTCCAAGAAATACTTTGCCAACGTTCTGGTCTCGTAGTCATAGTCATCAGCCTTACTGGTACGTCTCAAGAAGGACATTGGGCCGGGCCAGCCCATCTCAAACTCAAGCACATCGATCATGAATCTTTCAGCTTTCAACAAGTCATCGACGGTATAGGAATTATCCACCATATAGGCAATTTCGTGAATCAGGGGACAGTTAATCTCCTCGTACTTGGCCGCGATGAACAATGCCACAATGCCAACAAGCTGGAAACGCGACAACGACACCTTACGTTTGCTCAAGAAGCGATCCATGTAGTTAATCGTCAAAAACAAAGTTTCAGGCAACAAATTAAAGCGGCCGTGCACTTGGACAATCCAATCGATAAGCACGCCACGCATGCCCCACTGCAACTCGTCCTGATGCTCCATGTAGCGGGCATCGGGGCAAAGCTTGATCTCCAATTCGTGCATGTAGTTGAAAATCTCCGGGGCATACTCCGCCACCATGGTGACATCATACGTGTCCTCGTCTTCTTCGTCCAAAGTGTCACGCGAAAAGACCTTCACTACATCCTGCAACTCGTTGAAAATGGTTCGATTCCACTTAGGCTCCAAGGGTTCAAACTCATCAATCTCCGAGGCGGGCTGTGTAAAGTGTTGTGTGGTGTCGGAGGTGGCAGCAGCTTCTTGTCCCTCTTCGTCTACTCCGTACTGGTGAGCGGTCTCCAACGGATGCGATTCCAGATGGGGCTTCTCCAACTGCGCTTCGTAGGTTTCATACTGTGTTATATGCTCAAAGCCTTGTAACTGATTCTCCTTCTCATAGTCCAAGTCGTCATCGGTGTGGTCTTCTTCGGCCTCCTGAGGCTTGATAGGATGCGAAAACGACTGCGAAAAGGGAGCGTGTCCTTCGGGCATAGCTCTGGACTGCAGTGGTTGTGAATAGGTTCTCTGGGCTTTGACGGCTCTTTCGTCCTTGGAGTCATCAAGGAAAATCTGGACGCGGGGAGCTATTTTGCGCAAACTCTCGATGGCGCTGGTGGTTCTGTAATTGCCCGGAATTGGAACATCGCCCAACGCCACACGGCTGATGGGCTGGGTTTTGCTTATCGACTCTTTTTGCTTGAATCTAACATCGTTTTCATTGCCAAAGGCGGCGGAAAGGGTCTTGGAATTCATTGTGGGCGGATGAAATATGTGCAGAAATGCGATGCCAACCGGATCGGATGATTATCAGTTAATTGTTCACAGCTAGTGGGGTAAGCGATTGACGGTAGTTGGAAATGAGTGGATAGCAAAAAGAGTGTTATGGTTTTGTCTGCAGGGTGAGAGAAAAACAAAACACAGAAACTACTTAAAAAAACACGGCTGGACAGACAAGTTTGTGATTGCGATGAAAAAAGGTATACAACAGGGGAGATGGGTTGTAGATGATATAATAGTAGAGTAGGCCAATCGAGATGTGGACTATGCTGATAACGTTCTGTGTGGTAGGGTGAGGTAATAAAAAAAATAACGAAAGACTATGGTTAGAATGTGTTGGGGGGAAACGTAAAAACGAGTGAAGTGGTTAATTGGGATTAGGTACTTGGTTCCGACAGCCAGAAGGGAAGAGGAAGAGAGATCAGAGATGTGTTTATAAGGAAGAGGGTACAAAGGTGTTTGTGTTTGTTAGCGGCTCTTAGCACTATGGAGAATATTCACCATGCGGCAGCTTGTTGTTATTTTTCTTCGTCTCGCCGCTTTGTTTACATGTTGTCATAGCCTGCATGCACGCATATCCCTGCAGAGGCCTAAAGCAGAGAGCGGTGTTGCCGCTAACTTTCAGAGCGGGGACATGGTTGTGGCTCTGGGAGGTTCATCTTATGGCTCAATGTGGTTACGTGCCAAATTAAGTGATCTCAGTCTTCCCTGGCCAAGGTATTTTTTGGTTTTGGGTAGTTGCTGTCTGCCCTGCATTCCCATTCGAAGCAAGCATAGGGCCGGGTTCCAGGCTGGGTTACATCAGTTTAGTTTTTCACAGGCGCGCTGCACGTGTACTGTGGCATAGTTACGAAGCTCACCCGAAAATAAGACAATAAACATCAAATTGCATGTTCGACATAGTTATAAACAAACGGTTTCAGGAGGAAGTCTACAAATCAGTTACGAAGTCTGTGTAGGGAAAGGATCCCGCAAGATCATAGCGAATAGATTAGAAGTATTAGAGAGTGTGTATTCCCTGCAGTGCGTTACACGTAAGGACAGGGGCATGCAGTGTAAACAAACTTCTAACAATCACTATGTCCTATGGATAGGCTTTTTTTCCTCGGGGATCTATTCCGGATGATACCACTGATTATCGGCTGTTTTATCCAGAAGTAAAGAGCTTTCATTGTTGAGAGTTTCCTGGTTTCGGCTTTCCTCCACGGCTTTCGTGCTTGTGTGTACATGGAAATCGCTGTAGATATTCGTAAGTACAGCGGTTACAAAAATCAGTGACATGCTGATAGTAGCTCCGGCGATGCATGCGTATGATGTGTCAAATTCGGAGCTTGCTGGGGTACATCAGTAGAAACTCCGCCACGATGATGGATCAGCATTCGAACTTCAGAGGAGCAGGGCTTGAGAGAATGATCAGTGTCCGCCTGGCTCGATGCTTTCTATTACTGATATCACATGCAGTAATTTGAGCTATTCTCAAATAGAATCCCACCCCTTGATAAATCCAGGGTTTAATGTCGTGGCCACTCTTCTGACTGTTTCTTTCACATAACCTCCGAGATTTTATGTTTACCTTGTATTAGGTAAAAGCCAGCTATTGTTGTTTCTTGTCCCGGTAAATTCTGACTTTCATTTTAGATCATCCCTACTTAATGCATTACCATAACGTTTTCCGGTGCCATTGTTACTTACCTCAGCTATTCTCGAGTGTTATTTTTTTAGCCGCCCGAAGATAATCAGACAATATTATGAACCTTAAAACCTGCCATTGAACCATACATGGATATATAATTAGTGAAATACAAAGGGGAATATGCGTTTCGGATCGTCAGGTACGTCTCGAAGTGCTGTATATGGAGGTTTACTTACTATCTGTTCGGGGAAGGCAATCCTGAGTGAGAGCTACTAGACTCTGGTGTTTACGTCTATCCCCTTTGGTAACAAGACAAAAACGATAATGTGTTCTTTCTGAAATATTCCTAAATTTGTGCAACCCGAATTATTAATACGTTGTTAGGTAATTTAAACTCAGTATAGCTCTATAAAGGATAGCACGTAGAGCTCCTCTGAGAGATCGAAAATTAACTGGGCACTACACCACATACACCAAGGCCACACAGCTTTGATATCCTTGCCTGCTTCACGAGAACTACACACTTTTTTTTTTATTCTCCGAGAAATCTTCAAAATATATCACACCCAAAATAACCAGCTGTTATTCAAATTGTAATTCCCGGGTATTTTCTGGATGGCAAATCCGACATTGGCTGTATTCCATGCTCTCCAAACTACCACAACGGGGCAAAAAGAAAGACCTGCACACAAGGAGCAACGCTTCCACAATCTACCTTGAACTCTAATCTATGCTTTCTTTTTTAGTCTCCGGATTACTCACCGTGCAGGCCTTTGAACTACACTATAAAGTACTGTCCCTTTCCCAGAAAGGTTGTGCTCGGCTCTCTCCACAATCTAATACCAGCAGTAACATATCGTGTTTACTATATTCGTAACTAATCCCGTTAAACATTCTCAGTCCAGTTCGACCAACCAGATTCTATCCTTCTAAACGACTATTCCGGATGACTGTGAACCCTGTTACATACACCAACCCTGAGATCACGGTTCAATACCCTGGCTCTCAAGTGACCTTGCCAAACGGGTTTGGACCAGTTCCAACCCTATCTGATACTCCGGTCTTCTATTTTGACATCGATAACTGTTTGTATGACCGTTCTCTCGGCATCCACGACCAGATGCAAGTTCTTATCCACGATTACTTCAAGGGAAACTTGTCCTTAAGTGATGAAGAAGCCCACAAGTTGCACATGACTTACTACAAGACGTACGGTCTTGCCATTGAAGGTTTGGTTAGAAATAACCAGGTTGACGCATTGGAATACAATGCCAAGGTTGACGACGCCTTGGCCTTGCACGGACTTATCACCCCAAATCTTAAGTTGAGAGCTATGTTGCAAGCTCTTAAGGAATCAGGAAGCTGCCGCATGTGGTTATTAACCAACGCATACAAGAACCACGCTTTGAGATGCATTTCTCTCTTGGGGTTAGGTGACTTGTTTGAAGGCTTGACCTTCTGTGATTATGCCCAAACGCCAATTGTCTGCAAGCCAATGACAGGCTACTTCACGAATGCGTTTGCGAAGTCTGGGTTGAAGGCAACTGAGGAAACCTTGGCAAACACTTACTTTGTGGACGATTCTGGTTTGAATTGCAAGGCTGGTGTGGACTTGGGTATGGGCCATGTAGTGCACTACATTGAGAGGAATGAAGATTATGAAGAGGTGGTTGGCAGTGATAATTACGCGAAATATTACAAGGCTGGTGGTAGAACTAACGGGATTAAGATCGTCAGAAACATCCTTGAACTTGAAACCGTCTGTTCTGAGCTCTTTTAGAGCTGAGACCCCTGGGTAGAGCAGAGTTGTACTCTTAGTCAACGAAATTACAAGCAGAACGAGGCGTGAATGGGTCCAGGTGCTAGAGTTTAAATATTCTGTCTACAAGTATAGATCTAATTGAAATGTGACAAAAGCTATAGAGACCCTATATCTGGGGCCAGCCCACATAAGTACGGCCTGTCATTTAAGAATTTATGGTTAATAGCTAGGTACTTTTAAATCCTCATGCATAATACTGAAAAATAGTTTGTATTTGTTATAATTCCATATTTAGTCTTAGAAAGAAGTTCCTCGGAGGCTACCTGTGATATAGATAATGTGAACTGTAGCCCGCCGTAGTTTTTACAAGGCTTGTTGGGTAGTATCCAAAATTGGAAATGAATAGGCCTATATTAAGCATATTACATCTAACGTTACTAGGCACCGCTGGTTATGTGCAATTCAGCTCACATAAATATCTCCTGTTACCGATATTTCTTAACAGATTAAAAGTGGCGAAAATGGCAGACCTGGTTCCGTATTCGTCAGTCTTATTTTAATTTCTTGTGATATGCTTAGCATTCTTGGAGACCTAAAAAAAAGTAGAGCTTTGGATTCATCACCCTATTATTTTATGTCCATTTTTTTATTTATTTTTTAGGCGTTTGTTTTTAGATTGGCCGGTATAAGGGCATACATCTAGTGAGCCGAGTTACCATTCTACCCTGTGATCTATCAGTGATATCTGTCGCACCCATCGATGGTCATACTTGCATGCAATCAGAGGAACAGAACACCCCACCCGAGATACTGACACGGAATTTACATACACATAAACTTCCCTATCTCTATTTATTCCTTCCAAACCTAATTAAAGTAATCACGATAAAGTTGTACCTGTGGGATGTTCCTTCTGTTTGGCCTGCACTAAGGCTTATAAGGCTTAACCGGCATTCTCCGCTGATCGATCGCACTATAGTAAGCAGCTGCCGCGGCCCGAGGGGAAAAACCACAAGGCAGTCTGCACGCAGTTGGAATAAGGAAGGCTTCACGCTTAACGCTGAACTCTAATAAGAAATCCATGCATGCCTTCATTTTGGTCACTGTTGCACCGCCACCGGAACTTCGCGGTAGGACATTGAAATTCGGCCTTGGCTCGCTTTCATCTTTCCTAATTACATATATTAAGTGTCCATTCCCGACTGTTTTAGTAGACCCCAACACTATAATCCCATTTGCAAAACCCCTTCCATATATATACAGTGGAAATATCCGATTCAAGCACGAGCTACAACATTCCAACCTCTCAGAACTCTCTAAATGACTATCAACGCTATTACATACACAAACCCTGAAATCACTGTTCCATACCCAGGTTCCCAGGTGTTTTTACCATACGGCTTCGGCCCAGCTCCAGTCCTCACCGATGCCCCAGTTTTTTACTTTGACATTGATAACTGCTTGTACGATCTCTCACTCGGAGTTCATGGTTTAACTCAGGTCCTTATCCATAAATACTTTAAGGAGAGATTGAATTTGTCTGACACCGAAGCTCATAACTTGCACATGGCCTACTATAAGACATACGGTCTCGCCGTTGAAGGTTTGGTAAGAAATAACCAGGTTGACGCATTGGAATACAATGCCAAGGTTGACGACGCCTTGGCCTTGCACGGACTTATCACCCCAAATCTTAAGTTGAGAGCTATGTTGCAAGCTCTTAAGGAATCAGGAAGCTGCCGCATGTGGTTATTAACCAACGCATACAAGAACCACGCTTTGAGATGCATTTCTCTCTTGGGGTTAGGTGACTTGTTTGAAGGCTTGACCTTCTGTGACTATTCCCAAACGCCAATTGTCTGCAAGCCAATGACAGGCTACTTCACGAATGCGTTTGCGAAGTCTGGGTTGAAGGCAACTGAGGAAACTTTGGCAAACACTTATTTTGTGGACGACTCGGCTTTAAACTGCAAGGCTGGTGTGGACTTGGGTATGGGCCATGTAGTGCACTACATCGAAAGAGATGCGGATTATGAGAAGGTGATCAACAGCGATGATTACACAAAGTACTACAAGGCTGGTGGCAGAACTAACGGGATCAAGATCGTCAGAAACATTCTCGAAATTGAAACCGTTTGCTCTGAGCTTTTCTAATTGAAGCAGAGTAGATTGGCTTGTAAAATGCATGCGACGTAAATTTTAGATATTAATAAATGAATATTCGAAAATCCGGGCGAAATGATATAAAGGGCAGCTCATTAACATTAATCGTAGGACAGCCAGGACTGTCGGAACCTTCGCGACTAAAGGCAGCTCGTATTAGAGGTGGAGTATAACCCCGGCTAAGCCATTCCTTAGGGCTGAAATTATTCTATACACCCCTTAACCAACTTGAACCAGCATTTAGTCGGATTCTGGTTCCCATTTACCCTCACAGCTTACACATCCAAGTTTTATTACAGAGCCGTTTCTTTAGGACATAAATAGAGTTCGTACTGCCACGCTCAGTTGGTGTCAGAGGCAGCATAGTAGTGCAAGTAGGCACCCAAGGTCTTGATACCACCGATGTAGTTGGACATGTCGACCTTTTCGTTAATGGAGTGGGCACCATCGTCACCTCTACCCATTGGCAACAACAAGACGGAGGTCTTTAACTTCTCCTCGAAAGACAAGGTGATTGGGATAGAACCACCCTCTCTGGTCAAATCTGGTTCAACGCCCCAAACAGCCTTGGTGGCCTTGGCGGCGGCAGTGAAAGAGGCATTGTGTGGGTTAGAAACCCAGTAGGCACCGTCGTGGATCAACTCACAGGTGGCTGTGTTTGGCGAGCCCAACTTGGCGAATTCGGCATTGACATAATCGATAACAATCTGGTCCAACTTAGCGGATTCGATGTTTGGAACGGTTCTGATGGAGAACTTACCGATAACCTTGGATGGAATGACGGTCTTGGCACCACCGGAGGAGAAAGCACCTTCGACACCGTGGATGGACAACGATGGAAATCTCCATCTGTGCATCAAGATGTCCTTCTTAGACTGGTACAAAGCGGTGTTGGAACCAGAGGCGGCAGTCAAGTCAGAGACGTCAAAGTCGATGTCCTTATACAACGCTTCTTCCTCTGGGGTGACTGGGGCAACCATCTCCATGATGCCCGGGATCTGGATTTCACCCTGGCCGTTAACAAGAGTGGCCAAAACGCGAACCAAGTCGGTCATTGGCTCGGCAATGACACCGCCAAAGATACCAGAGTGCAAATCGGCACCTGGACCCTTGATGGAGACCTGGTAGTAGTTACACCCTCTCAATCCATAAGTCAAGACTGGCTTCTTGGTACCCAACCAGTAGTTGTCCGAAATACAGACGGCATCCACACCCTTGAAGTAGGCATCCCTCTCCTGTTCGATCAACTCATCGAGTCCAAGGGAACCGGATTCTTCCATACCTTCGAAACAGGTGACAATGTTGACAGGCAACTCAATCCCGGCATTTCTGTGGGCCTCAATAGCGTTCAACCACCCAATGACTGGGCCCTTGTCGTCGGTAGAGCCTCTACCGTACAACTTGTCGTCCTTCAAGACCAACTCGAATGGGTTAGTGTTCCAACCGTCTTCGAGGAGAGCTGGTTGGACATCGTAGTGACCGTAGATCAAAACGGTCTTCTTAGATGGGTCCTTACCGAAACGGGACAAGACAACTGGTGGCAATTGCAAGGTGGAGTTAATGACTGGGGGTGGCTGAGTGCCTAGCTCCTTCAACTCGATGTCGACAGCACCCAAGTTTGCCAACTGCTCCTTCAAGTAATGGGCCATCTCGACGACCTGTGGTCTTAAGCCTTCGTCACTGGAGACGGAAGGAATGGCAACGGCATCGCTCAATCTTTGGATAAAGGCCGGCTTTAATTCGTCAACCTTAGAGAAGTATGTTTCGAGGGTAGTTTGAGACATGGTTTTATGTGAGTTAGGATCGGTAATGATCTTGCGTGTCGCAAAAAGAGATCTTTTTATGAGTTTGGCGGCCAACCTCAAGGAGCGAAATTTGTTTCGCGCTTACAACTGTCAAAAACAGACTCTGGTCTGTCCGGCATATAGGATAGCAAGGTACGTCCGTGCTACCACACGGCTGCCGAGGGGTTTTTTACGATGTTCCCGTGAGCGCCTACAACCGAGATCCTAACGGCGGAGCTGCCTGCAGCCTAGGGAGACATGACAACTTTACGCTGGTAGTATCCATTTGAGCGGAGGTGTTTGTGGCCTTTGTCTGCTACTGTTTCAAGGTACGCTATAAGCCTTCGTTACTATTTTATAGAGCTGTACGGAGTGTGAAACACATCAATTGGTCTAGGTGGGGGCTTGGTGCAGGCTTTCTTTTGCTCGGACGAAACGCACATGCATACATTTTAAATCGAAAAACTTTGTACGGGCGTAGTGGCCATACTGTAATTAAGGAGAGTAGCGTGCAAAACTATGTGGGTATATATATATATATATGTATATATAGTGTAGTAATTTGTCAGTGTGCTATTGCCGGTATTTGTGGGCTCGGACTTAGGTATAGAAATGGTATGCGCAATCAATATCAAGACTACATTCATCGGTATTTAAGTAATGGATCCAACTTGGTATTTAGCAACAAAGAGAACATATGGTCAACAATAATAAAAGTAATTAAATCATTACGTGCATAATTTTACGTTATGCCAATATCAATTTTTTATATACCCATTGCAAAACATTCATACACAGGCATTAACATATTATTCAATAGCTTACTTCTAAATACGGATTAAAAAACGCATTTGGGATACTTCCTATTAAAGAATCTGCCGTGACTCATGAAGACAAAGCAACTTTACCAGTGGGCTCTGCCAGCCTCCACCCTTCGCCAGACTTCTCCCCACCTTAAACACAGACCCAAGCCCCTACAATTCACGAGAAACACTCTGAAATCACAGATCTAACCTCTCCCATAAAAAAGGCCAATATAACTAACAAAAAAACAAATAATCCAATCTAATTATTGCCAGTTTTGCCACCGGGTTTGCCACCGATTCTTGGTATTTTCTTATCTACAGGACTGAAAACTATCTTTTAAAAACCTCCCCACCTCCACTTCTCTTACTCTTTCCGTCTACCCCAACGAACTACCATGGCATCATATTCCGCATCCCTGACCAAGTCGTATCTCCAGGCAATGCAGCCGATGCTAGAGCTGCTCAATGAGTTGGCCCTTGCCACCAACCCCAAGCTCCCCACGATCGACACCGAACCGCCAGCAGAACTCGACCTCGACCTGTTGCTCAGCCGTTTCGGTAGCATCACCACAGACTTCGAGACATCTGGATCCGATAGTGAGGATCTGCTTGCGGAGCTCACAGCGAAATTGGACTCCATTGCCAAGGGAGCGCTTCTCGACTCCATCGTGGCTACGCTTTCCAGCTCGCAGGACGATCTTCAGTCGTCGTTGTTCGACCTTCTCGGGTTTGATGAGTTTGACCTTATTTCGTGGATTGTGCAAAACAAGCAGGGGATTTTGGAAGCACGCAGGGATTTGAACATTGATGCGCGCGAGGATCTGGACTTGCGCACACCCCAGCTTATGACCCCCCAGCAACGCGACGACCAGCTTCGAGAAAATCACTTACGCACTAAAAACCAGACACTTCTCCCCCGCAGTACCAACCAGGAATATCCCCACGTGTTCAGAGCCTATGACGCTGGCAACACCCTCTCCGTTACGGGGAAAAAGTTTGCCCTCCCGATCGGCACCACGCGCCAGTCGCTCGAGACCCACGAAGAGATCATCATTCCGTACCCCGATAAACGCCCGCCAATCATCAACGAACGACTTGTACCGGTGGCGGAACTCGACTTCCTCTGCCAGGGCACCTTCAAGGGCTACGACACGCTCAACCGCATGCAGTCGTTAGTGTATCCCGTCGCGTACAATACCAACGAAAACATGTTGGTGTGCGCGCCGACGGGTGCGGGTAAAACCGATGTGGCGATGCTCACGGTGCTCCACACAATCAACCAGTTCGTGACAGAGACACAGACGTCCGAAGGCATCCAGGTGGACATTGACTACGACGAGTTCAAGATCGTGTACGTGGCGCCGCTCAAGGCGCTCGCGGCAGAGATTGTCGAAAAAATGGGCTCGCGGCTCGCATGGCTCGGGATCCAGGTGCGTGAGTTGACGGGGGACATGCAGTTGACCAAGGCCGAGATCATGAAGACGCAGATGATCGTGACGACGCCCGAGAAGTGGGACGTGGTGACACGCAAGGCCAACGGTGATAACGACCTCGTGAGCAAGGTAAAGCTTCTCATCATTGACGAGGTGCATTTGTTGCACGAGGAGAGAGGGTCGGTGATCGAGACATTGGTCGCGCGTACGCTCCGTCAGGTGGAGTCGTCGCAGTCGATGATCCGGATCGTCGGGCTCTCGGCCACCTTGCCCAACTTTATGGACGTGGCGGACTTCCTCGGGGTCAACCGCCACATGGGGATGTTCTACTTCGACCAGTCCTTCCGGCCGTGCCCGTTGCAGCAGCAGCTCCTCGGGGTGCGTGGTAAGGCTGGTAGCATGCAGTCGCGCGAACTTATCGACAAGGTCGCGTATAACAAGTTAGTAGAAAAGTTGGACGACGGTAAGCAGGTGATGGTGTTTGTGCATTCGCGCAAAGACACGGCCAAGACCGCGCGCACGTTCATCAGCATGGCACAAGAGCACCACGACAGCGAGCTCTTTGACTGTTCGCTTTCAGAATCGCACGACCGCTTCGCACGCGAGATGGCGAAGAACAAGAACAAGGACTCGCGCGAGCTCTTCGCGCACGGCTTCGGTGTCCACCACGCTGGGATGCTCCGTAGTGATAGAAATCTCACCGAAAAAATGTTCCTCAACGGTGCCATCAAGGTGCTTGTATGCACGGCAACGCTTGCATGGGGTGTAAACCTTCCCGCAGCTGTGGTCATCATCAAGGGCACTCAGGTGTACGACCCCAAACGTGGTGGCTTTGTTGACCTCGGCATCTCCGACGTGATCCAGATCTTCGGGCGTGCGGGGAGACCACAGTTTGAAAAGTTCGGTACAGGCATTCTCTGCACCTCCAGCGATCGTCTCGACCACTACTTGTCGCTTATTACGCAACAACACCCGATCGAATCACGACTCCTGGAGAAGCTTGTGGACAACTTGAACGCGGAGATCTCGCTCGGAACGGTAACTAATGTCGACGAGGGTGTTCAGTGGCTTGGCTACACATACATGCACGTGCGGATGCGCCAGAACCCGTTCGCGTACGGTATCGACTGGGAGGAGTTGAGCCAGGACCCACAGTTGGGTAACCGCCGCCGGCTGATGATTGTTGCGGCCGCCAGACGCCTCCACACGCTTCAGATGATTGTGTTTGACGAGCGGTCCAACGCGTTCATTGCGAAGGATCTCGGACGCGTGGCATCCGACTTCTACTTGCTCAACAACTCGATCGAGATCTTCAACCAGATGATGAATGCGCGCGCAACCGAGGCGGATGTGCTCTCCATGATCAGTATGAGCAGCGAGTTCGATAACGTCAAGTTCCGTGAGGAGGAGGCGGTGGAGTTGAAGAAGTTGACAGAGCTGGCACCGTGCCAGATTGGTGGTGACCCCGGCAGTGCGCAGGCCAAGACCAACGTGTTACTCCAGGCGTACGTGTCGCACGCACATGTGCGTGACTCCGCGTTGGTCTCGGACACCAATTACGTTGCGCAGAACGCTGCTCGTCTCTGTCGTGCGCTCTTCTTGATCGGGGTTAACCGTAAGTGGGGGACCTTCTCCAAGATCATGTTATCGATTTGCAAGTCCATCGACAAGCGGATCTGGTCGTTTGACCACCCGATGAAGCAGTTCGACCTTCCGGCCGACATCATACGTAATTTGGCCCACAAGAACCCGTCCATGGAGCTCCTACGCGATATGGAGGCGCGCGAGTTGGGCGACTTGATCCACAACCAGCGCATGGGTACGGTACTCTACAAGTTGATTTCGCGGTTCCCGACGTTACTCCTCGATGCGGAAATCTTTCCAATCACCAGCAGCGTGATGCGTGTGCACGTGAACTTGGAGGCCGACTTTGTGTGGGACGACCGCTACCACGGTGGGGCCCAGGTGTTCTGGATCATGGTAGAGGAGTCCGATCAGTCGCAGATTCTCCACTTTGAAAAGTTTATCTTGGGAAAGAAGCAGCTCAGTCACCCGCACGAGTTGGACTTCATGATCCCGCTAAGCGACCCGTTGCCACCGCAAGTAGTCATCCGCGCCATCTCCGACAACTGGATCGGCGCCGAGACGTCGCACGCCATCTCGTTCCAGCACCTTATCAAACCGCACAACGAAACGCTCCAGACCAAGTTGCTCCGCCTCCAGCCACTCCCCGTGACCGCGTTGCACAACAAGGAGATTGAGAAGATCTACCTGGCCCGCTTCAGCTACTTCAACCCGATGCAGACGATGACGTTCCACAGCTTGTTCAACACGAACCTGAGCGTGTTTGTGGGGTCGCCGACGGGGTCCGGGAAGACTGTTGTGGCCGAGCTCGCGATCTGGCACGCGTTCCGTGACTTCCCTGGCACCAAGGTTGTGTATATCGCGCCGATGAAAGCGTTGGTGCGTGAGAGAGTTGATGACTGGCGTGCGCGCATTTGTGCAAACACGCCTTACAAGTTGGTGGAAATGACGGGTGACTCGTTGCCCGAGGCGCGTGATGTCCGCCTCGCGGACATCATCATCACCACGCCTGAGAAGTTTGACGGTATCTCGCGTAACTGGCAGACGCGTAAGTTTGTTACTGAGGTTTCATTGGTCATTATGGACGAGATCCATTTACTTGCGTCGGACCGTGGCCCGATCTTGGAGATGATTGTATCGCGGATGAACTACATCTCGTCACAGACCAAGAACCCGATCCGGCTTCTCGGGATGTCCACCGCTGTGTCCAACGCCTACGACATGGCCGGCTGGTTAGGGGTCAAGGAGGGCTTGTTCAACTTCCCGCAGTCCGTGCGTCCGGTGCCGTTGCAGATGTATATCGACGGCTTCCCGGACAACCTCGCGTTTTGTCCGTTGATGAAGACCATGAACAAGCCCGCGTTTATGGCGATCAAGGCGCACTCGCCAACAAAGCCCGTGTTGATCTTTGTGGCGTCGCGCCGTCAGACCCGGCTTACTGCGTTGGACTTGATCCACCTCTGTGGGGCAGAGGACAACCCGCGGCGGTTTATGCGTATGAACGAGGACGAGCTTGCGGATATCCTCCAGGATGTCAAGGATGACACGCTCCGCCTCTCGTTGCAGTTTGGGATCGGGCTCCACCACGCTGGTTTGGTGGAGTCTGACCGTCAGATCTCGCACAAGTTGTTCGAGACGTCCAAGATACAAATCTTGGTAGCAACCTCGACGCTTGCGTGGGGTGTGAACCTCCCTGCCCACCTCGTGATTATCAAGGGGACGCAGTTCTTCGACGCAAAGATCGAAGGGTACCGCGATATGGACTTGACGGACATTCTCCAGATGATGGGGCGTGCCGGGCGGCCGGCGTTCGATACCAGCGGGATCGCTATTGTGTACACGAAGGAGTCAAAGAAGACGTTTTACAAGCACTTCTTGAACGTGGGATTCCCTGTCGAATCTTCGCTCCATAAGGTAATGGACAACCATATCGGGGCAGAGATCTCCGCGGGGACGATTAAAACGCGCCAGGACGCGTTGGACTTCCTCACGTGGACGTTTCTCTACCGCCGCGCGCACAACAATCCGACGTACTACGGGATTGAGGACAGTACGCCGTTCGGTGTTGGTCGGTGGTTGGCTAGCCTCATCGACGATACCATTACCAACTTGGAGGAGTCCAAGTGCGTAGTCACCACTGGCTCCAACGTCATCAAGCCAACACCGTTCCTCCACATCTCATCCTTCTACTACTTGTCGCACATGACTCTCCGCAACCTCGTGAACCGTATCACGCCGAATGCCACGTTCCGCGAGGCGTTGCGTTGGATGTGTGAGGCCGCGGAGTACGACGAGTTGCCGACCCGCCACGGCGAGGAGTTAATCAACATGGAGATGTCGCAGGAGATGCGCTACCCGGCCGAGGATCTCGATTGCGAGTTCGTCTGGGACCCGCACGTGAAGTCGTTCTTGTTGCTTCAGGCGTTCATGAGCCGCGTAGACTTGCCTATTGCGGATTATTCTCAGGACACAGTGTCGCTCTTGGACCAATCGCTTCGTATCCTCCAAGCGTACGTCGATGCGGCTGCCGAGTTGGGCTACCTCGCAACGGTGTTGGTGTTTGTGAAGATGATGCAGTGTGTCAAACAGGGATGTTGGTACGACGATGATCCGTTGTACAATCTCCCGGGGTTGACATCCCGTCCGAAGAGTACCACGTCTGTGTCGCTAGCGGCTGTGGGCGCGATGAATGCGGGCGCGGTGACCAAGCTTGCGGACAGACTCGGAGTCGCGCGTGAGAAGCGCCGCGCATTCGCGGACGTTGCTGGAAAGTTGCCCACCGGAAAGCTCGAGGTGTTCCAGAAGGATGCCGCCACGCTCAGCATTAAAATGCCGCACGACAACCCACCGATGAGCAAGGAGTTTAAGGTGTACTGCCCACGCTTCCCGAAGGCACAGCGCGAGTCGTGGTTTGTGATTGTTGCCGATGAGGAGCATAACGAGTTGTATTTGATCAAGCGGGCGTCTCCGCGGATGATCAAGGGGAAGGGTATCGTTGCGTGTACCTTGGATATTCCGCTGGAGATGTGCGGAGCCACATTGAAGGTGATTGTGATTAATGACGCGGTGGATATTTGTTATGAGCAGGAACATACATTCGTGGAGGTAAGCGAAAGCAATTCAAGTGACTTGTCGTAACTGCCAGAGAGAAAAATAAGTCTTACGCTGTGAATGTGAGTATTATAGGCTGTTTGGATTTAATCAACTTCTATAGATGCTGTGTATTACAGGGATTTATTGTTTTCGCTTGACTCCACGGGGGGGCTTGGAGGTGTCTGAGATAGGAAAGGCACTACTAATATTCAAAAGCGAGTGGGAGGCTGTCTATCTATCATGGGATTCACGTGTGTAAATCTTCCCCTTTGTACCCCCAATCGGTTTATGGTTTTCACTATTGAGGGCAATACACGGTAGCTTTAACCCAGTTATAAAAGAAGCGAGAGTTATTTAAAACTAGTCCATGCCTCTTGCTATTTTCTATAGCTTTCGCGGTTTACCCTTTTCTAGAAGGTATTGGAAAGCATAGCTGAGCTAATTTGAAACGAGTGAATTTGAAGCAGGCAAACTTAAAGCCAAGCTGGAGACCCTGAGGTCTTACTGATTATTGTGAACCAAAAATCTTGACGTAGTAAACGAGGAAAAAGTCAAGTGAAAGGTTTGAGACACTTCCCAATGATATTATTCGTTGAGGATACCCTATAAAAATGGGACACCTACACTTTTTGAAACAATATTCTATTTTATTCAGGAACCCTCATGCATAGCCTGGCGGCCGGAAAACTAATATACAAGCGAAAGAGCCTTATTTCATTCAAAGAACTCATCCTCCTCCTCCTCATGGGCTTTCTTCTCTGTGGCATCAGGTGCGGCCTGGCCGCTGCTAGCCTGCTTAACATTGTCAAGCTTCTTACCCTCCAACACATCTTCGATGGAAACCGGTAAGGTGCCGTTGTCGAACATGGCCTCGCACTCCTTTCTGAAGCTCTTTCTAATCTGCTCGGTCATTTGCATGCCCCTCTTGGCCTTGGCATTGTTAAGGGTAGCAGCATCTTCTTCCTTCGGATTAGGGTACAAAGAGATGTACTTTTCGGTCTTGGAGAAGTTTATCACATAGGCTAAATCAACCTGGCAATGTTTAACAACTTTTCTTTGCTTTTTCAAATCCTTCTTCTCAGCATCTGGGTTGGCTTCCAACTCGGCCATTTCCTTGCTGGCCTGCTTCAACTTTCTGAGCGCCTTCTTCTTCTCGAAGAAACGCACCATGTGGTACTTTTTGGAGATAATCTTGGCCCTGTTCTGCAAGTCACTATTTTCCAACTCGAACTTCAACGCCTTCAAGGATCTCTCATTGGCCACACGCACATCGGCAGGCAAGTTCTTCTTCTTGGTTAACAATCTCTCGATATCTCTGATCTTCTTTCTCAATTTGGACGACCCAGCGCCCATGGAGGACGCAACTTCAACAGAGGCACCACCTTCCCTTTCTCTCTTGTTTGACTTCACAGCAGGCATTGTAAGGTGTGGGGGATAATATAACAATTGGTTGAAACAGGTAAGTTTCTTTTTATCGATTTTTCACTGCGTATATTTTTTTATAATTTTTTCCTATCCGGCACCGAGAGTGAGGCTCAGCTAATTTTTCTTTCTTTTGCATCGCAGAGTCGGCGAGACAAGTCAATATACCACTTCAAAACGGAGAATCAGGATTTCGTAGTACAGCACGTTTATGTCAAGGAATGAGACTGAAAAGCATATATAGGTGGAATAAAGGTGACTGTGAGTCCAATGAAGAATCTAGGTGCATATGGTAACCGGTGCTCTTCCTCTTTGGCGTGTTCACTGGAGATTGCGCGCTACATACAGGATTGACGCTATATATTTGTGGTCTTTTAATAGCTGTATAGGTAACGGGTATGTATATTGTAGTAAGAAGTGATATTAATTTGAGAATCCAATCCGTAGTAACTTTATTCATTGAAAACTGTCTCTGTGCGGATAATCCCAGTTTAAAGCTCAGTTGCAGGCTTGTCGAGGTAACTGGAAAACATCGGTTCAACAAGGGTTGGGTAACGCCGTTTAAGCTATTGAACTTTCAAAGCATCCAGAGGGCAAAACAATATCAAAACATCCCTTCAGTCTCATAAACACTTGTTGTCTAAAGAAGATTTATAAAATACATATTGATCTCTAAAAGTCGCTCAATGAGGGTCTAGACGTCGGGCTCAAAAAGTGTCATCTAGAACCCAGTACACCTCTTTCCCTGACATTGCACCCCAGTCACAGATCAGATATCTGTGACTCTATGTACCATAAATCTCGGTATCTAATAACTTTTTGTTCCCTATCTATTTTTATTTTAATAAGATAAAATAATAATTAGTATTAAAATTCAATCAATATACCAAGCCCTAAGTGGACGCTCCCTCGTACACCCCCAGTTTGTCTATTCCTGCACGCGAAAAATCTCCAGACATAAACAACTAGTTAACAATACAACCTTCCCACACCACGTACCTTCTACACACCATGGATCCAACCTCCCAGAAGCGTCCTCTTGATGGATCACCTTCCAAACCACACTACAGTACACGCACCGTGACCAATTCCATCCACAAGAAACCGCAAGTACTTGTTCAGCCGCGGTTGAAGCCAGTACCGTGGACGCTTGCCGACGCGCAGACCGCGGTCAAGCCTTTACCGTTGCGGGCCGTGGACGACGCGGAGGCCGCAGACTACTTTCTGACAGAAGACCATCCGTTCAACCGCCGTGGCTTTAAATACAAGCCGTGCCGGCCGAACCCGCAACTCGAGTCGTCGCTCTACTCGACGTCGGACTTGCCGCCGTATGCTGCGCGCGTATCATACTTTGACCGTTCGCAGGCGGTGACGACAGATGTGTCGCTCTCACGCGTCACAACTGCACAAGGCTGGCGGTCCGCACGCGCAAACGTGTGTGTGCGTGAGGGCGCGTGGTACTTTGAGTACAAGATCGGCCAGGCGAATGAGAAGCTGTGCAAGGCACACGTGCGCATCGGAATAGGTCGCAAGGAAGCGTCATTAGATGCCCCTGTGGGTTTTGACGGGTACAGTTACGGGCTCAGAGACGCCACAGGCCAAAAGGTGCACTTGAGCAGACCGTCAGAGTTCATGAAGCCTGGTTTCAAAACTGGCGATGTGATCGGGATCCTCGTCGAGTTGCCCTCGCTTGATACCCAGCGAGAAATTGGCAACGCGTTTTTGAAGGCCAACCCGCCGCAACAGACCTCCAAGCGCGCCCGAACCAAGGCCACCGCGCCGCCACCGCTGACCCTCGAACTCAACATTGTGCGCGACCAGATCCCCATTCGTTACAAATCAAACATTTTCTACGAACAGTACGAGTACACCGCGACACAGCAGATGAACCACTTGCTCAACCCCGTGACGGTTTTCGGCGAAAAGGCCGTGCCGGACACGGAAAAGTACCAGCCCACAGCGTTGCCGCGGTCGGCGATGACGGTCTACCGCAACGGCACACGCGTCGGCCAGGCGTTCGAGAGCTTGTACGCGTTTTTACCGCCGTTTTCGCAGCAGAATGGCCAGAAGGACAAGCTCGTGGACGACGGGTCGTTGGGGTACTATCCCATGATGTCTGTGTTTAAGAACGGGGTCGTCGAGCTCAATCCCGGGCCCGAGTTTTCCGCTGCGGATGACGAGTTGAGAGCCAGATTGGCAAACAAGGAGGTCCGGCCGTTATGTGCCCGATACGTTGAGACGGTTTGTGATAGTGTGTTGTGGGATTTGGTCGACGAGGTTGAGAGCCAGTACTTGGATGTCTTGGAAGAGCAGAGATAATGGTGATAGATAGTTAATGAAGGTTTAGATATTTTGTTTCTATTGGACAAGACAGAAGCAAGTTAATGGTGTGTTAATCTGGTGTATTCCAGAGAGGTTATCGAAGAACTTAAGGGATGAAGGCCAAGGTCGTCAGTTCTAGAAACGACACAGGCGTAAACATTGCTATTGTTTTATATTTTTATATATCATTTATTGAGCGCCGAATTCAAGAATCCTTCTCATGGAATGTAATTGGTGTTGCCATAGGGGTATTTATATGAGAAAGCAGATTACCACTTTTTCAATCCCGTCCTTGTTCATATCAAAAATAACCCCAACTCCAAATATAGCCTTGAGTCGCCGTGGATAGCCTATAATCCTTGGCATACCTACCATTACACCATATAGAGCAGTGAACATGTATTGACGCCAAACAACAATTACACGCAAGCCAGCTTACATCTCAAAGCTTAACCAGTCGAGGTCCTTCATGTTGACCTTGCCATCACCGATCACTACCTCATCCGGCACCTGGGCCTGTATGGTCCGGGCGTCGGCAGATCTCCCCCGGCTCTGTGGTATCAAGCCCTCATTAAAGCCAGCTGGCCCGTTGATTATATCCAGCCGCACATCCATGCTCATAAAGCCGTCCATGGAAATGGTAGAGGCATCGGTGGACCCGTCCATCGTGTACCCAGAGCTCGCGGGCTTGCCGTGGGTGCTCATAGCCATGTTAGCGTTCAAGTTCAGGTGGGAGTTGTTCTGATAGTGGCGGTTGCTGAGGGAGTTCGAGAAGGCCTCGCCTTTAGCGAAGGAGTTGACGTTGTGCATAGAACTGTTGGCCGACATCTCTTTGTACTCATCGTTCTTGAAGAAGTCGTTAAACGGAGCGTTCACGTAACTATTCGACCTGCGAGTGAAGGAGTTCGTAAATGAATTCTGGTTGAACGACTGCAGTGGTGGCTGGTACGAGCCTGGTGAGGTTCTGGTGGAGTCCATCGGCGTTGGCGATGCGGCGTCAGGTGAAGTCACGCTTCCGCCTATGCTGCCACTGGAACGCGGCTTCAAGCCCATGCTCAACTGCGAAATCCTAGGCCCGTTCTTAAAGCTCGACGGCTGGGACGCAAAGTTGTTGAATGCATTGGCATTGAAAGACGACGAAGTCTGGGGAACTCGCTTAGCATTTACGTCAGAGTAGGAGCCTGCCAAATTGTTACTGGTGCTCAACTCGGATTGCCCTCCGTACAAGCTCAACTCGCTCTTACGACGTTTGAAGCTAGAGGAAGTCTCGCCATAGTCCATCGAGGAAGCCATGGAAATGTTGGAGGGCGACTGAGGAGGGCAGTAATAGTCCCCCGGGGTCCCTATCGGCGTGTTTCCCATGGAGCCAAACGTCAACGTGTGGGCTGACTCGTTATGGGCAGACATCAGCAAGTTGCTGGGAATCGGAATCCCGTAGGACGAAGGACGGGAGCCACCCTGGAAAGAGCCAGGCCCCTGCACCGTCAGTGGCGGCGTGGCAGTGATCGGCTTCGGGAGAATAGGAACGTTCTTATATCTTCCCTTCGCTGACGAAGGTAGATCCTCATATACATTCCCATTTCCCACACTTCCACTAAAATCACTGGCCCCATGCATGCTTCCTATGCTCCCGGAAACACTTCCAGACTGGAGAGTCGGGTAGTCACTAGGGGTACTTCCAGGGGCAAAATGATACATGTTCTGCATCTGTGGAGCAATGCTCGTGTTTCCGTTCATGGTCATCGACATGTTCATCGGAGAGGTTCCTGGGTATTGGCTACCAAACTTCTTGTCGGACATCCCAGATTTACGCGAGTTACGCTTCTTGATGACGTCCGTTTTGAGTGAGAGCGGACGCATGGTGCCGTGGAGTTTCTGGAAAAGGCCACAGGCATTGCACAATGTGTTTCCTGCAGGATCACGGCGCCAGAGCGGGGTTTTGAGGGTTTTGCAGTTGGAGCATTCCACGGGCGGGGAGGCAGGCGACGAGGCATCGGAGCCAGAACCGCTGCGCTTGAAGAAGGATTCGGATTGGGCGCTAGAACTTGCCTCCAGAGGCTGTGACGACTGAGACTGAGATTTGGTTTGCTCTTGGGGTGCCTCTTTTTGTTCACTTTTCGAAGCACCGCCCAGTTGGCCCAGACGAGAATTCTCGGAAGCTTGTGCACTCTGAAACTTCTGGGGCTCAAAGCTGTTTTGAGAAAACCCCTGGAAATCTTCCTGGTCGTTGGGAAGGGTAACCCAGTCTTCCATGTCCATATCGTCCGTCTTCTTCTTTCGGTCGGAACCCGGGCTATCCTCCATGCTGGTCGGTGTGATGATCAGGAATGGGTTCTGCGCGTTGTTGTAGTGCTTGTTCTTCCAACCATGCGGTTCTTCAAAGCCACCGGTCATGGGCGAAAACATGTCCAAGTCGTTCATTTGCAAGGGCAGCGTGTGGTGTGGGAGCGCATCTGGGTTGTCTATATACCCGCTGGCGGTGACGTTGGCCGTGGCTGTTGTGGTGGAGGTGCCGCTGGACCGCTGCGGTGCAAGCGCGTTGGTGAAGAGCGCGCCGTTCATTTCTGGTTGCCGCTCAAACGTGCTCTTTAGGATTTTTTTGGCAGAGTTGTAGATTTCAAAGACTGACGGGACAGGTTCCATCAGAGAGACTGGATTGCAAGAGAAGTGGGTGTTGACGACCACTAACTGATAGGATTTAGCTAATAGTTTAAGAGCCTGGCGTGAGACGCTTGGATAGCTGGTTTTGGAGCTGGCGGTTATAAGGTGGTCACTGCCAGTTGCAAATTGAAGTGGGGGAAATTCTTCGCGCGCGGAATCAGACTCGGGCAAGGTACGGTAGGTCTGACAGCAGATAGCAGTATCAACACTTCGGTAGTGATGCTTGGAAAGTGAATATATATGTTTAAACGTCAGAAGAAACAGTTACCCTTTTCTTGGCCACACTTTTGCTCTCCAGGGTTTTTTTTTTCGCGTGGCAGCGCCAGTTTTTTTCTTCTGCTTAACTTCCCCCCTCCCCCGCACGTGATGGGAGAAAATGCTGCGTGACTCAGGATCCGGCACTCAGGAGCTTGCATGCCGGTCACCGAGTTCCGGGCCGGTTTCGGCAAATGGATAGTGGGGACGGGAGGGACCCCATCAAGTTATTTTTGTTTTCCAGACTTACAGCTTGCGATGGTATATACTGTAATTAAAAATGTAAGAAGTGGTAATGTGTGAAACTTTCAAGCTTCTATTAAGCCGGCAGGTTGTACAAAGGGTAAAGACCAGACCATGCGGCTGGCCCCAGAAGCCGAGCCGAGCATACTAAAAAAAACCCGGAGGCACAACCCTCCGTGGATATGGGAGTATCAACAGGGTATATGGCCTCCCGAGATATCACTGTCAATAATCGCGTAGATAAGGTTTTTTGAACGTCATTTTTAGACTTGGTGTCTATATATAACGAAGTCAGAGGGATCTGCGGCGAAGCTTGTCTGTATGTGCAGACGGTATATTATACGAATCGAGGCTAGTCAGTATGGTATTATATAAAGTGAATAGAATAAAAAACCGCAGGGAGGGGCCTCTGGCGACTTATTTGCCGTGGGAAGAGAATGGTATCGGTCAATATGGTAGAGTTGATTTGCCGTTAACTATGGTACAGATGATTCTAAAAAGATTGACGCTCAAACAGTCGAGGGGAGAAGATGTTGGCATCAAGCTCAGCCCCATCCTTCTGTTGAAACTGAGGTGTATATATGCTAGAGAAAAAATGTATGAGGCGGTAAGAAAGTACGATTTTTCTCCTCGATTTTATGACTATCTGCATACTACATATCATCAAACCACGGAATAAGGAATTCCACAGAAACATCAAAATCACCCTAGGGAAGGGCGAAAGATTTTGCTGAGTGCTTTATATAATTAGCATGGCTTTTGAAATTTCACTACAGCGTACCTAAATAATACATCAATGGGGTATAACGTGAATATATCTGATATCTCTGGATTAACTTAGAGATGAATTGGAGAAGATTTATCGTCTAACTCGCAGGCTTCTCTGCCAAGACCTGCAGCACGCTAATACAGCCGTTTGGCATGCCGCCAATACCCGTAAGACCCTGTAAGCCCATCTGAGAATCTAAACCCGCTTTTTCCTAAGTCGTTGGATTTTTGATGGCATACCCCGAGAATTGCCCAAAATCACATATTGCCCAAACGGGGGAACCTCTGTTACTTAAATCGATATACCCCTTGTGTGATGGTTTGTGGTAACTATTACCGTTTTTCATAGCTGAAGGCAACAATCTTTATTACACGTTAATTAATGCCCAAGTGGCAGCGCGCTTTATTCTAGCGTGGGCCCTCTGTATCATCTAAATACAGATACTAAACACCTGTGTCATATTTTTCAATTTATAACATTCAACAATCAACAGTTTGCTCGCCTTCAGTGCCCAGTGACTATGCCTTATTCTCCTTCTCACGCTGCTGCTGCAAACGTCTCTTACTGAAACTTAACAACCCGCCCAACTCTTCGTCCTCGTCGTCCTTTCTAAGGGTTCTCCCCAACGCGCTGAAGTCCTGGCTACCGCCGATAATCTGGTCAATGGTGGTGGGGGCGGGCGCGCTGACGTCGCGCTTGTTAAACTTTCGCGAGTACTTTCTGTCTTCATCACGTCTGTTGCGATGGCCATGGGAGGCGGAGCTGGGCGTGCCCTGTTCCGAATGCAAGCGATACTCGAACGACACACCCTGTACACGGTCGTTGGAGCCTGGGTCGGTGGTGTGGACTGCATCGGCACCGTCCATGATCAAGTCGGCCTCGCGAATGATGCGGAGGATGGCGTCGCACAAGATGCGGCGCGCAGAAAAGGAAGTCAACTTCTTGGTGTCCTCTTCGTCACGGCGCTGCTTGTCGAAGTGCGTGTTGGAGTTCCATACCGAAATGATATCCTCGTCCTTGCGCACGGACAACACCAATCCGGAGATGTCGCGGAGCAACGTGTCGGCGTGCTCACCTGGCACAAGCGAGCCGCCGAGCAGCCGCAACACGAGACGCTCCCAGATAAGGGACGTGCGCTTGCGAATCTGCACTACCTCCAGTGCGCTCACGTGGCCGCCCGCACCACGAGTGTCGCGCTTGCCACCGTGACTGGTGCGCCGCGTGAAGCGGAACACCCAGCGCCCCCCCTTGGTGTTGACGGGGTCCTCCCACACCGGTTGTACTCCGTGCTTGAAGATGAGGAATTCCGTGCCGGTCGGGAGTGTCGGTGCGCGCTTCAAAAGTGCGAGCGACTGCCACAACTGCTCCACCGATGCAATCTTGTCGGTAGTGCCCTGTGACGCTGTGCTGGGGAACGATAACGCCGTGGTCGTCTGGAGGTACAGGTCAACTGCGGGCGGTACCAGTGTCTCATCCTCTTCTTCTGCCGCCGCGGACTCGCCTGACGGGCGTGCACGCGAATGATGCCATATGGTCCACGCGTACGGCAAGACGTGCTCCGCCGTCGGGGACTCGTTCTTCATGGAAAGCGAGTTTAAGATGGATTGCGCCTTTAAAGAGTTGGAGGACATTATGATGGGTATTAGTAGATTAATATATGCTGATTAAGGATCAGATTTAGGGCATGCAAAGGGAGGGGAGATAGTATGGGGAGCGTGGATCTCGAGCCTTTGATAAATCCACTGCGTAAAATTTCTCATTAACGCTGGAAATTTTCTGACGGACATACTAACTGGAGGATCCGGGTAACCCTATGCAGGATATGTATATAAGACATAGATTACATCAGAGATACTCTTGCCATATATATCTTGATATTGCCAGTTTCTAATGTTCAGACTCAGAGCCAACTTTGCAAGACCATTGGTACGGTCGTATATGAAACATAATGCTAACCCACAGATCTACCTTCATCCAGTGAGCGATACTAAGACAAAGGTGTCCTTCTCGCCTAAAGAAACAGCCGTGGCCATCGGTACCTGGTCCCATACCTCGCCGCTAACGCCAGAATCACCCATCCCAGTTGAAAAATTCACCACCAACCCTCAATTCACCCCTCTCATTGACAAACTGTTTGCCACCCACATCTACGACGACTTCACCTTCCAGTTCGAGGCCGGCGGAAACCCCGGCTGCTACATGCCCATCTACGACTTCAGGGCTCCGCCGGTACACGGAAGAATCCCCGAAGTGGACGATATTTTCGGTTACGTACTTGTGAATCACCAAGGACAAATTGTCGAGGGTTCGTGGCAGGAAAACTTCATGTATCGCGTTGTAAACAGCGAGGGTATCATGCGATTGAGCGATCACATGCTCGAGGTGGTCAGAAAGGAGTGCGAGCTGGTTGAATAGACGATGGATGGTCTTGTATATAGGGAGGATTTAATAGTGAAGTTTTGCACAGCTGGTATGTATGGAAGGCTGATAACTTTGCGAAGTGGCGATGGGACTGTAAAAATACGATCTAACCGAATGATGGAATTGGTTCAAAAAACATACTTTCGAAGAGAAGGATTTGCCATCCTTTCATACCAAAGAAACGGACCAGGCGAACGATGAGAAATAGTTTGGCCAAGTGAGCCCCTAGGCGATGCACGATGGGTTAAGTCCCTTTTACAACTGAAGTACTACTTCGGAGGGACTCGATTCTTCATTATCTCTAATCTGATCTATATTCCGCTCCAAACGTGTATTAACTAAAGTTAATTTCCATTGCTTACACTGAACTATAAAATTAAGAACTGAACACCAAACTCCGAATCAATCAGAAAAAAAGAAAATGCAAGAGACGGGACTCGAACCCGTGGCCTAACAATGGGAATGTTAGATTTTACCCCTAAACCACTCCTGCACACTCTTGAAAGTTAGGGACTGAATAAATTATCTCCGAGGTTGTATTTGAGATTTTGGACTGGACTCTGTTCCGACAGATTGGATCCTGGCGTGTCGTCTGGTATCCGAAAACCATTGAATCATTTCTTTCTACAAAAACAAATTAAGCCTTTTATTCTACTTCAGCCAGGGAGGTATACTCAAACCTTAAAGTAATCAACCAGTTTGTAATATCGAATAGTCAAATAATAAGGGCTTGACAAACAGCGTATATTAATATCTGTAATAATTATACATAATTTATGCTACAGTACATTCATTAATTCTATGCCTTGAACGTAGGGTAGTCAATATAGCCCTCAGCTCCAGTGGAGTAGAAAGTACGTCTGTCGTATTTTGTCAATGGCCACCCGTTGGCTAACCGGTCCGGCAAATCCGGGTTGGAGACATAGTATCTGCCTGGAGCAACCAAAGTCCTCTCGTCCTGAACGTGCCTTTCAAGTTTTTCCAAATCATGTGCGTACTCGCCGGATCTGATCAACCTCCCAGACTATTTCTCCAAGAGGAAGTCGTTGGTCTCTTTTGACTCGTCGCTACGAGGCTCAATAATGTGTAAGTATGCCAATTCCTTTCCTTCCTTAGCACGTGCCTCTAACTGCTCCACAAGGTACCCAAACTGATCCTCCGTGACCTGCTTCCCCGACTTACCCATACCTCCGAACAATCCCCATGGATTGATGCGCACAGCGAGACGATCAGCTCCAATCTCGGCCGTAGCCGCATCCACAACCTCAAGCAAGAACCTAGAGCGATTCTCAACACTGCCGCCATAATTGTCCGTTCTCGAGTTAGTGTTGAGCTCGGGAAACTGATGTGGAAGGTAGCCACTGGCAGCGTGAATTTCTACCCCGTGAGCACCGGCGTCCACAGAGTTACGCGCAGCCTGGGCGTAGTCCGCCACATATTGTTTGATTTCAGCAGTAGTTATCCCTCTGATTGGATTACCGGCAGCCACCGCCTTAGCCTCATCTTCAGGCGTGATATACGTTGCGGAAGAAGAGACATAGGGCTATCCTTGTTTCTTAAGGATATCTCCGTGAGATGAACGGCTCAATGCCCAGAGCTGACAGAAGACAAAAGAGGAGTTGCCGCGGATGGCAGAAAATACTTTGGTCCACTCGGTGATTTGCTCTTGGGACCAGATACCCGGGGCTAAACTGTAGCCACCTGCCTGTGGGGAAATAAACGTGGCTCTGTAACGAGGAATGAACCAGGTTTGGCCGAGCGTTGGGTGTAATACTTGATGCTCAAGGCGGTCGGAGCCTGGGTGGCAGGGTCGTTACGGTTTCTGGTCAACGGAGGAAGCACCACTCTATGGGTGAGTTGATTTTTTCCGACCTGGATCGGCTTGAAAAGATTAGTGTATTCTAGTGGTTTGTTCATTGGAATGATATGATCCAAAAAACAAATAGAAAAAGCGATGTTACGGAGAACAGAGGTGTAAGTAGTAACGGTTAAGCTTCTGATACGTGATTGCTGACGCAGAGAAGTTTCGGTGCAGAAAAAGAAATCTAGGCGCATAAAACGCTGTAGACTGCTTCCTTGAGATGTGACTAAGGCAGGATGATTCGGGAGCTTGTCAGAAGGTATCCATTGGCTAATCCCAAATGGCAATTAAAGCGGGTCAATTAAGAAAATGATAGGATGATAGAAAGAGGCTCCCAATGCTGCTTTTTTTTACTAAAAAAAGTATGAATCAGCCATTACCGTGTAAACCAGTGCGAAAAGTACAGTGCCTCAGAGGTTCACCAGGTGGCGAAACTTTCAGTATAATATTCTCTAGTCTTAAAACACACTGCGTGTAGATTTGAAAAGGAGCCAAAAAAAATTAACACAGATAGTTGAATGGTGAAACTAATACATATAGTATAGGGCTAAATTTGCCCTTCTTAGTGTATCGAAAGCAGCCCGCTTTGGGAGGGCTGCCCTGCAGAGCTCAAATCTTCCCGGCTTTTAGAGACTCGGGTGCAATGAAATGATAACTCGTATCTGGAATTTCCCAAGTCGCTAGGTCTAAGGCCACACTTTATAAGTATACTTATCTAGCTGAGTGGGGTGGACTCATGGAAATGCGGCAAAACTGCGAGATTTTGAAGTCTTGGGGGGTTCGATGAGAAAGTTCATGGGCTTCAATTTATTATCAATTCCCTGCTCCAGTCGCCTCTAGTATCGTATATAGTTATTATGTACACACTCTTCAAAGGTTTCTCTTCTCAAATATTTATGTATTTCCCGGTAAATCTTGTAAGTTTCAGAATTTCAATACCTACCACTTACTTTTAACTACGTATCCTTAAGCTTTATCACTCTGTTTCAAGTCCCCAGCCTGACCTTGATCTCATGACTTATTAGCATATATACAAGCCTTTCCAAATCCATTTTAATGATACTTCACCGTTCCAAATCCAATCCTCGGTCAAGTTACCAAAATTAACCTATCTACTTTAGTGGTTCCATATCACATTTAACCATTTTAAACCATCCATCCACTATCATCTACCACATAAACCTCGCTTACTCCACACACCAATGCTCGCCCTTTCCCATGACCCACTCTATATGCCGGACATTCATCATATTTCAACTACTTTAGCTCCGTGCTCAGAATTAACCATCACTCTTCTGCAATGTTTTCGCGAATCACCCATTCGAGCGCCGCCAGACAGACAGTCCTCTACTCCACTATCAAACTGGCGATTCGCTCTCCCGCGGTGGCTGCGGGAAAGTACAAGCACGTTCCATATCTAGCCGCCAACGAGAAGCCGTTCTACATCACGACACCGATTTTCTATGTAAACGCGGCGCCGCACCTCGGTCACTTGTACCTGATGCTTTTGTGCGATGTACGCAACCGCTGGGAAGTACTCGCGCGCCGACCTTCGTTCTTCATGACCGGAACGGACGAGCACGGGCTCAAGGTGCAGCTCGCGGCGAAAGCGAAGGGCTTTGAGGCAACGAAGCCGTTTGTGGACCAGGTTCTGGGCAACTTCAAAACACTTGCAGACCTCACCGATATCAAGTACGACCGCTTCATCCGTACGACCGATGCTGATCACCTCAGGACGGTAGCAAAGTTCTGGGGCATTTGCCAGACTAACGGATACATCTACCAGGCGGAGCACTCGGGCTGGTACTCCATCAGCGACGAGACCTTCTACCCTGAAACACAGATTGTCGATGTGGTGGAAAATGGTGTCGCAAAGAAGGTGAGCAAGGAAACAGGATCGGAGGTGACGTTTGAGTCAGAATTCAACTACTTCTTCCGCTTGAGCCACTTCCAGGAGCGCCTCATTCGCCACATGGAAGAGAACCAGGACTTTATTCAGCCGCACAAACGCCACATGGAGATCTTGCGCGAACTCAAAGCAAAACCGCTCGAAGACTTGTCGATTTCGCGGTCCTCCTCCAGGTTGCAATGGGCAATTGACGTACCAAACGACCCGTCGCAGAAGGTGTACGTCTGGTTTGATGCCCTCACTAACTACTTAACCAGCTGTGGCTTTGCCAACCCTGACTGGTCCGCCGATGCCAGCGCCTGGGGTAACACCACGCACTTGATCGGTAAAGACATTGTCCGCTTCCACAGCATCTACTGGCCGGCCTTACTCATGGCATGCGAGGTGCCGCTTCCAAAGCAGCTCATCGTACACTCGCATTGGCTCTGCGATGGGCGTAAGATGAGCAAGTCTGTCGGGAATGTGGTTGACCCGATTGCCATGGCACAGTACTACGACTCGGATGCTCTCCGGTGGTTTCTCTGCGAGAATTCGAGTCTCGAGAATGACTGTGACTTCAGCGAGGAGCGCTTGCACGTCACGCGAGACTTGCTTATTGGAAAATTTGCCAATCTCATTTCCCGGTGTTGCTCCAAGAGCTTCAACGTCGAAAGGGCGTTGAAGAGCTACGCTGCTGGTGAACTCACCACACCCGCATCGCTTGAAAAGTTTACCCAGTTAAGCCCGGAAGCGGCAAAGCTCTACCATGAGCTTGTGGCCGAGTTTCCCGTGTTGTTGGAGCAGATGGAAGCTGACATGACCGGGTTCCGCACCAACGATGCTCTAGACAGGGTCTGGAATGTGTTGAACAAGGCCAATTTGTTCATCACCCATGCCGCCCCGTGGCACTACAAAAAGCAAGCCGTGGTGGAGGACGCAGAGGTGCGCAAGGTTCAGGACTTGATTATTTTCATGGGTGTGGACGTTGCTCGTAACGTGGCCATTCTTACCAAACCGTTTATTCCGAATTTGGCAAACAAGCTCTTGGATAGGATCGGCGTCGCCCCGGATAACAGAGATTTGTACGCGTTTGGACTTGGTAAGGATGTGAGCTACGGTAAGGGTGTGAACGGCGCTGGCGAGTTGCCTATCACCAGAAAGCCGATGAGGGGCACCGAGTGATGGATGTCTATTGAAAGAGCGTCGAAATTTGTAAATAGCTATTTTGTTCATATTGAAAAATCTGGTGGGTTAGAATGTGATCCGAAGTTATGGTGTCACTAGGTTAAGAGGTTTTTCTGGAATAATATTCCATTGTATAAGGTGTACAACCTATAACGTAATTCTGGCAAGAGTATCTGCGATAAGCAGCGTATGTGAATATTGCATCAATAGTATAGCACTCGTATGAGGCTCCCGCTATAAGTTAATAGCAAATACGGATAGGACAGCGTATAAACATTATGCGCAGTATAGATATAATGCAGCTGGTAAAGCTATATTATTAAATTTAAATATTCCAGTGTATTATTTGTTATTCTCTAGTTTAGAGAGCACATTCTTCGGCCCATGGCTTCAAATTCACCCCACAAGTTGAATACGTATTCCACCTTTCGTCATTATCGATTGCAGATAAAAATTTTCATCAATATTAGATAATATTACATATTCATCCATCCCATAACTTGTACCGATTTCCGACACCTCCTAAACCGATACTCTAATTACCAAGTATCTACGCAACGATCTGAATACACTCGCACTCCAAGGTATCTAAATCCATCACCACCACTTCGCCCGTGGAAGAAAACTTCGGAATGCTGATTAATCTAACTTCCTTCCCATCTTCGAACGCAGCCACCATGGTACCGAAGCGCGGCTGGTTTCCTGCAAAGTACACGTGCGGCAACTCATCCATGATGAACGGATCCTCTTTTTCGAATGGATAGCACCATAAAGTGTCGGGGCACGTCGGCGCCAAATGCGCCCAGCGCAAATTCTGGTGCATGATAGACAAGCGCAACTGCTGGCTGTTGGTATTTTCATCGAGCAAGTCGAATGGGAACACGTACTTGAAAAAATCGTTCACGTTTTCACCGGATGTCCCAAGCATGCGCACCAGCGGGGCCTCGATCCAGGTCGGATTTGATAAGAGGGAGAAGTATGCATTCCCTTCATCCGTAACATACTTGAAACACTTTGGAAGCAAGGACCTGTGCCACGGCTGCTGGGGATACACACTGTCAACGGGATCACTCTCACCTGGCATCAACTGAATCGGCATTGTATTCAACAACTCGCTCATCCAATCGTCCATCTTTGCAAGCGATGTGGTGTTGTAGTTAGACACCTGCTTGGCCCCGAACATGTCTTCCTCGTCCGTGTGTCTGTTTTTGTTGCGCTGGGTGTTGTCAATGGAATTACCAGCTACAAACAAACGAGTGATGCTGGCAGCAAGACCAGTATCACCAATCTCGCCCATCAAAAACCCCTTCAAAATCTCCAACCTGAGGTCAGGTGCAGCGTCTTCCGTGAACCCCAAGCCTGAAACAAAGGCCACCTTTCCCGAAAGTTTGGACGGGGCCCGCGGTAACTGGTGCGATAGCGGCGGATAGACAATGTCAAAAACCTCAAATACACCCGCCTCCACCTCCTGGCCCAAGATTCCCGCCACACAGCCTGTCACCATGATGTTATGTCTGGTGAAGAACTCCTCGTCCTTGGAATGCAACACGATTCGCCCCGACTCGTCCTCCATGAGAATCTTGTCCGTCGACCGATCATCGCTTTTGATATATGTCTCTTTAGGCACCGGTGGAGCCCCGTACGTACCGCTTGCCACATCGTCAAGAATGTTTGGCTTGTACTTTAAATCGCAGAAGACAGTCCCCACAACGTAGCACGGTGCCTGGTCGTTGATGTCGAGCACTTTGTCAACTTTCGCGTACTGCAGCCCCCATTTGGCGTCCGCAAGAGCCTCCACACGCGGTCTCAATGTCGACAACCGATGGTGGTAGAGCGAAGCAAACTGCTTGCCGAACTGACGACGTTGGAACTGCAACAGAAACTGGGACGACTTATCAAAGGAGAGAGGGAGTTGAGAAACAGCGCGGATTGTTTGCTCCGAGGCATTGCCGCTCGAATATGGCGTCAAGAATGTATGAGGCATGGATAGAATGGTGGGCGGTAAAGAAGTGGTGAAAGCAAAAGTCACACTGAAATGTTTTATGGCGCGTAAGACGCGTTGCGCGGGCACGTGGTTTGTCCTGCGGTATGAACTCGCACTCCAACATTTTATAAATCGAACCAATTTTTTTTATTCCTGTGGTTATGAACTTTCTACTTATAGTTGGTATTCCTTGACAGCCCCGATAGATTGGTTAGCGGTCCGTCCCCATGTCCGTAGTATCCCATTTGCACTGCGGGAAGTGGCGTTCACGTAGTTCACTCTGGCCAACCAGCCAAAGCTTTATGCTGATCTTGTATTACAAACACACAAGGAGATACAGCCATCTAATTATTATGATAATCCATTTTATAACATCTTAGATGGCTAAGGTTTAATCTCTTTCCATAGATTTGACTGCAAATTCCTTACTGGATAAAACAGTATTGAAGTGGTTCTGGTGCGTGCTCCTACCGGCACTCAGCATCGACTTCAAGCTTCAGGCACTTGCTTGCCACACCATCGATTCTTCTGCAAAGAAACACGCCTACCGTATACCTTGATCTTCCTCAATTACACCCACAGACTCATACACAACTCTTCAGCATGGCATACTTCCAGCAGCAATCGTATGGTAATAACCAGCCTCAGTTCTACGCGGCGTCAAATGCCAACGCCAACACGTACAACCCCCAGCAGTTCCAAGCGTCGGCACCGGTTTCCGGGTTCATGAACAACCAGTTCGCCTCGCCTAGCGCAGATGTCACGGGAAATATGAGTGGACAACTGTTGTCACAAGGCGTTTTCGCCGCCTTTGGGACGTCTGGGTACCCTGGCGAGTCGCCCTTGCTTGAGGAACTAGGCATCAACTTCCAGCACATCAAGACCAAAACGTTGGCGGTGTTGAACCCCTTCACATCCTACGCAAAATTTGCCGTGAGTAGCACTGGGGAGAGCGACAATGGTGCCGATAACGTGATGAACGACGCGGATTTAGCCGGTCCGATCTTGTTTGTGTTGATGTTCGGCTCCTTCTTGTTAATGGCTGGGAAGGTCCAGTTCGGGTATGTATACGGGGTTGGGTTATTCGGCACGATATCGCTCCACTACTTGTTCAAGCTCATGGGCGACAACCCAGGCATGGACGTGTTGCGATCCTGCTCCGTTATCGGGTACTGCTTATTGCCGTTGGTGCTCTTGTCTCTGGCGGGGGTTTTTGTTAATTTAGACTGTTTCTTTGGCTACATTGCGGGCGCGCTATCCGTATTGTGGTGCACGTTGGCGGCCTCCGGGTTCTTTCAGAGCGTATTGCGCGTAAACGGCGTGAGAGCATTGATTGGCTATCCGTTGATGATGTTTTACAGCGTGTTCGCATTGATGGTGATCTTTGTTGAGGTGAACTAGCTTGCAATGGCTTAGCAACATGCTATACCTTAGAGACATTTAAGGACCCCTGTGTGCAATTCACAGAACCTCACCCAAAGCGGCGGTTCGTTCCTGGGCGATGTTATGACTGATATTGTATAGCATACACCGTGATATCTTTCGATAGTTATGTGAAATATTACGAAGAGCGTAACCACGGTATCTAATATGCCCGATCCCTTTGCTAACGACCTATATTAAATAATCTGGTCATGGGATAGATAAAGCTTAGCCAAGTAGAGGATAGCTCTATAAGTATTACCGCAAAAGTAGTAGCGCCTACCTTTGCACGATGAGAATATATAGTGGTATTTAGCTATTGTAAATCTAGAAATTTCACCAGGGAAGGGTATCCAAGGTTTGGGAGAACCTTACCCGATGAATTGAACACTTTTAACAGGGATACACGCATCCACTGAGTGGTCGTAGCTTATTATGGACACAACTAGTTGGATCGCAGATATCCACTGCAACATATATTACTTTGAAAAGTATAATAAGAATACGAAACTTCTAACAGGAGTTTAAAACAAAATTACATCTTAGCGATAAGCTCTCAATGGAGACTTGAATGGAATGAAAGAAGGAGAAACATAGAAAAATGATCAATCAGGAAATGGAAAATGGCAGATGTTGCATGACAGAGTTGAGTTGAATAGGGATAACATCCCAGACTAAACGTAGACACCAACGGAGTTAGCCAAGTAGACGGAGCCGCCCCCAAGGGCCACACTGGCCAAGGCAGACAACGCCAAGTGTTTGACATCGGAAACACCGAACAACGTGTGTGTATTCTTCTCAGTCATCGATGTGACAAAGATGATAGAGAGCCCAACCACAAAGAGGAAAAAGCACAAGAAGCTCTGCTGGGACAAGGCCAATGCCGGGACGTATTCCTCGGACGAGTAATCGTATAGTTCCTGGGCGCATTAGTATTCATCAGATGTAATCTGTGTAAGTATATATGATACATACGCTTAACTGGATGTATGAGCCGGCCATTGCGTGTCTTTTGGATACAAAGGGCTGGGCTTCAGTTTATATGACTGCCAAATGTACTTGTTAGAAATATGCGCCACGTACGCGAGAAATACGGTGACATTACGCGAAATTGCTTTGGTGAAGTTACAGGCTGGGAATTGCGCGAAGAGCAAGACCGGAAATCTTACAAACACGGAAGAAATTAAAGATCCGTTTGCCTAACGCCCATCACATCGTATATATACACACGTACAATGCTCCGCACAGTTACCCTTTCCAGATTCGCTGGGGTATCCCGGAGATTCCAGTCTCATAAGGTTGCCTTCCCTACGAAGCTCGAGCCACTTAATGTGAATCACCCAGAGCAAAAGGTGCCAGTAGCACCGGACGCGAACGAGTATGAAGCTCCTTCCTTTGGCAAGCTTGCTGTCCGCTGGCCCAACATGCCTTCCGCGGAAAGGGACGATATCATAGCGTACTTGAATGACCGACAGCTGTACGACTGGAGATACTTGACGAAGGAAGACCGCCAGGCCATCTACTACGTGTGCTATGGGCCGTGGGGTCCAAGAGACCCTAATCCGCCGGTCAGCACCGGCGTCCAGTTATTGAAGCTCTTGGGATTGTCCCTCGGCGCCGGTGCTGTCAGTGTCATGGGCTTCTGCTACTTGCAGGACCGCAAAGTGTTGGCCAAGTTTGCCGAGACCGAGAGGAACTAAGCGAAGAGGCCTAGCATGAATTGATGGATCAGCATTGGAGAGGTGACCTTACCGTTTGTATTCAAACATGACTTTATATAAGCAAGATAACTGGCCTTGCAAGATACCACTTGGATCATTTTTCCGTTACTACCCTTCCCTGTATATAGATGTAATGACAAATACGGCTTAAAACGTTTTGTAAGATACCTAAAAAAACACTAATTCTGATCGATTAAAAATATTTGTGAGTCCTGGGGATTGACATTCTACCTTGAGAGGCTTTCTATAGTCAAATCCAGAGTGCCACAAACTTCTTAATATTCTTTATTTCTGGTATCTGGATATACTTTCACGTGCGATCCCCTCCAGGTCATCAAAATTAGGTATTGGCCTCGGATGAAGTTAAGTTGGGGCATCACTGCTTAAATACCAAATAACAAGGTAGTTTATGAAGGCTTGGAGACCCTAAAAGCGTGTACAACGGATTGAGGATTATTGGTCCGGTAATTATCACTGCCGTAGCTGGGTGTAACCGAATTTTATCCAACTATTAAACCGTTTGAAGCCATGCACCTCACCTGCACTGTTCACTCTGTTATGCTAAGCTCCTTATTAGCCATCGCATAGTATTTTTGTTCTATTCTTTCATACCGGTATTCGCCTATCTGAGCTATTTCAGACAGCCCTGTCATATCATTTGGAAGTAGAACCTTATATCCAACCTGTTAAGACCCAGAAGCCATGAAATATGACACTTATTTCAATGTTACTGTAAGTCCCCGGGCTTGGGAGCCTATTTCCGGGTACTCCTCAATGGGCAATTACTAAAAGTAGAAATAAGTTATATTGGTTGTCTGCTCGATGCTTGAAATACACATGTTGCATATGCAGCTGGGGACATGTTCCATGTATAGTACTGAGCTCTCTTGCATGATAATAGTACGCTTCATTCCCGGTCCAGTTTATTTCTCGGGGTTAAAGACTATGGTTAAACGTATGCGTTATAAGGGGTTATGCGTTATAAGGGGTTATGCGTCTGTGGAATTCAGCGGCTGCTATCTGATGAGTTCACGGTTCGGATTGCCTTGTATGCCGATTCCCACCGATATATCCTAGTGGTCCGGGATCGGAATTATGCTAAATCCCGTGGAAAGTTTTGTCCATATTTGGCTCCAAGAGGGCTTAGGCAGGGTGTATACGACGATGCAGCCGTTTTTTGCCCCCCGGAACCCGGAACCCAAGAACACTGAATAGCCGGTGAGACATGCAGCAGGTAACCAGATAATGCCAGAACCCTAAGCCCCAGATTCATAACTCGTCTAATATACAGTGGTGTCGTTTGTGAGGGTAGATCAATGATAATAGATTAATAGAATATACTTCTAAATAGACTACGTACCAATGTAACTGTATGAAGTCATTGCTGCTTTCCTGAGTACACAACGCTTGAGAAAGCCACCTGTACAGTCTTTGCAGGCTTAGCTCCTGTCATAAGTATAGCAAACTCTTTCATATTCATATTGCAAAAGTACATCGACTGTAGTAAGCGTGTAGCTGTCACGTGGTAGGGATCAATATTCTATATAAGGAGGTCAATCCCTCCCTCCTTTATCCTATATACATTATATAGGTAACCAGTATTAGTTATTACTATAAGTAGATATTCTACTCTTGAGGTAGAGATATACCACATCGATCCTGTGAAACGCTATTAAGCATACTTGGCAGCTTACTAATATAATACTGACCACGTCGTATATAACTAGACGGGCTCATGCAGAAAGTGATATTAGCTTAAAAACGAACTTTCCTATGCCACCTGGTTCTTCAAGATAAGCTAAATTCAACCTATATTTTAGAGGCATAGATGTGGTCAATAAATATACACATGTGAAGCCCTTTTTTTTTATAAATCACCTTATTTTTTCGTTCTCCAGAGTCGCCCCATAACTCCCCAAGAGGAACTAAACTCAGTCAATCGTTTTAAGACATAGAGAAGCCTAAAAAGCGTGTACGCATGATCTTTTTTTACAAATTGCTCTTTTTTCACCTTTTGGAGTCGCCCCATAATTCTTCAATATATGTCGGAAGATACCAACATCACATACTTTATAGCTAGCAGTTTTACCTGCATCCATTTCCTGCACTCATAACGAGAGATGGCGTACGCCTGCATATGATCTCATGCACTCAAGTTACGTAAAATCTAGCGCGGATCACTTGAGGTAAAATTTTGGCTATGGGTCGGCAAGTTTCTCACTCGGTGCCGAGTAGCGGTTTTCCGTGCTACCCTCCGTACCTCCTATTAAAACCTTAGTACCCCCAGCACGTGTCGAGAGTGACTGTTTCGGTTTGTGGGGAAGTCTTAACTACGTGGATGGCCCGAAACACATGACTCACGTCTATCAGTCATCTTTGAAACTCCATTTCCGCGCTCGGAGAACTTTGACGTTCGCAACGTTGCCATATACTGTATATGACCTCATTACCCCAGAATATATTAAACTTTGCCCCACCTTACGCAGCAGGTATAGCCCCGAGTATAGGAAATAACCGGGTAGCATCTAGGCTGAATGACACCGAATATAGTTGATGGCTTCATGACATCCACAGTAATATGCCCTCTTAATTGGTCAGGCCTTGGTACTTTGGACTCGTCTATGATATTAACAGCTGGAACTACTGCCACAACGAACAACCTGGGTTGGTGAATATGTTAATCCCACAACCATTAATAATAAGTGGTTTCGGTCTTGGCAGAAGTCCAAGTGTCCACTACCGCGGCATTAATTGTCAGTCACATGATGGCCACCATGTAAACTTTTTTGGTTTTGCCAGCTAAGAATTAGTGGTCCTTCTCACCGCCGTTAGCGATATAGTTGCATCGTCATCTTTGCTTGGGCTGTTTTCCCGAATTTATTTTTAAATCCGAAGCATCATTATGAGGAAAGATCCGGGTGAAGAAAGCTAACATAGTTATGCTTCGGCCGTTTAAGTATGATGCATGTCGCAATCGCCGGGAGTAATCGTATGGGTTTGGCAATGACATGTGTGTCACATTAAACCTACCTAGCTCGGCTCAACTCTCTACGGCATGGAGATAAAAATCGGATTTAGTTCCCAATTTGGGACCATTCTCTCATGCAGACGCACCCTGGATAAAAAGACGTTAGCGCTAGAATTATGGTGCCGGGGGGAGGGGGATTACTAATGCCGCACCTCCGCCTGCATATCCTTCGTTTTCGCTCTACACTACTGCGGACTGATTATTAAGCTTAAGCGACTTACTAATGTGGTTCATCGACAAACGAGATAATCTGTTGGAAGCCACCGACTGTGGCGATCAACTGTTGATAAAGCTAAATTAATACAAGCTTACAAATGCTTTAGCGGATTAGTCATATGATTAAATATCGTAAGGCAGCTGGAAGCAGGCCAAAAGGCAAACATAGGTCGTAAGTAAAAAGGTCATAGTAAGTCAAAAGGCAAGAAGTGTATGTACAAGGGGAGAAACACTCCCAGTGCTTGACAGATATCATAAGCTAAAAAAATCCTGGAATAATGGGTCGTGAAATCAAGGAGTCATAAGTCGTGAGCATGGAAGTGAAATTAGTATCCTTCAATAATAAGTGAATTCAGAAGAACCATTTGGTGGTCACTCGACTGCATGTGTAGCTGTTTACCCATCAAGCTTTCGACGTTATTGTTTGCACTGATCGAACGTGTAGTGTCAGTGGTAGAGCGGTCCTTGGCGTATGTATATTCATTGTGATGACCAGAAGAATCGGACTCGGAGTCTGTTCCGGAACTGTAAGTCAAATGAGGTTCTTGTTCTTCCTCTTCCTCCACCACGGGAGTAAGCACTCTGGAAATATGGTGGCTGAAGGTGTACGGGTTGAAAGAAGCAACACCTTTGTTGAAGTCTTCGCCCGCGTCGTCTTCAATGTCGGAGTCGTTGTAGTATTCGTCATCGTCGTAGTACTCGTCATCATCGTAGTCACTCTGGGAGTCGTAGTCAGATTCGCCATCGGAATCGACTTCGTAGCAAGTGACAGTAGTGGATTGCTCACGTTGTGCTGGAATTTCAAAGTGAACAGACGGGCCCGCATCAACTTCCACATCCACCTCGACGTCAGAGTCGGAGGAGTCGTCAGAAGAAGAGTCGCAGACCGAGGAGGACAAACTGTCCAACAATCTGTCAAGAAGGTTGGCCTGGGTAACCAAAACCCTCAAATCCGCGTTAGGGTTTCTGGCAGTTCTGGTCAACTTGTGTTTAACCTGGTTGGCTAACTTGTAGCCCTGGTAGGCCTCGGAGGTGGAAAGCATGTTTTATGGTAACGATGAGTAAGTGGGGTCGTTAGCATTCACTGAATATGTATAGAAGACAATATCTTGTCTATTTGTTTATTATAAGAGTGTAAGGTAGTGTAAGGTAATCTAATGAAGTTCATAAATCTGTGGTCTGAGAAAAGTGGAAGCGGTGTTTATTTATATAAAACTTCAAATTTGCCGCCAGAATCATTTGGTAGTTCGGAAATAAGAGAATAGCCCTGCCGCAGTTTTGTCAGCATGCGTGCATACACACCTTACGCTTGCGGTGGTTTCTTTTTACCTACAATGCAGGATACGGAGCTAAGCATTGCGGGCTATCCGAAGCCGACCGTGTAAGTTCCGGATATCCCTGGAGCGGCGGGACGCCAAGTAGAGATGCATGGAAATACGTACAGGCTTCTGATTTTTTGCGTACATCTTATGTACTTCCGTACGTGACACGGCGCATCGGCGCTTACTCATATCCGCTCCCGAGAGACATAAAGTTTACGGCTTACTGTCATACACTGCGGATGTGTGCAAGGTCTAGGCTCATCCGGCATCGATTCGGGGTGGGCTGAGGGGTTTTCTGGGAAAGCAAGTTGTCGCGGGTGATTCACCGATTACAGTACCAAGTCCCAGTGTAGAGTGGAGCAGGATGGAGTGGAGTTCAAACTAGGAGATTCTCGGGTGAGCCAGTTTGCGAGGCCTAGAGTTAGAGTGGAGGGGACGACATGCTTATACCTCCATCTGGTAAACGAGTTTAGCTAGACTGGGAGTTTGAACTCGGAGGTGTCTTGACTAATAGGTCAATAAGCGTGAGTAAAGGCCTGCGTCTCGGAGTCTTTGGGGG